AAAGATAAATAAATGATCAAATATTTTATGTATAAAAAAAAAATTAATTATTTTATTTTTTTTTTTTCTCAAAACATTTATTGTGTCTAGTTTCAAAATATTAATTTTTTCTTTTTTTTTTTTTAAGTAAACCGTGTCGGTATTCAGTGTCCGGTAGACAGATTTTTTTAGGTTGGTTTATATAGAATTTATAGAAATTTTTTATCTCTATTATCTTTCTTTATTAGCCAATCAATTATTTGTTGTACTTACTTAATTTGAAATTAAAAATTTGTAATTAATAAAAAAAAAAAAAGAAGAAAGAAAAAAAGATTGTGTTTAAAGGATTAAATTCCCTTGCATGTATGTAAACCACATTAGCCACATATATGAAAAATTTATACGTAGGTTACGCCATTTTTTAATTAATTTCTCCTTTAAAAAATCCCCGTTGCTTTCTTATCGGTTTAAAGAAAGTTAAACGGATAAATATTTCATCCAATAATTTAAATAAAAAAAAAACTTTTTTTTTATATTCGGCCGTAAATCCGATACTTAAAGCGAATATTTCCGCCACTTTTGTGTTGCACGAACATAATAAAGTCACATGATCTCAACCCGTCACCGCAGGAATATTTTTTTTTTTTTTTTTTTTAGTAAAATTCTTATATTTGGAATTTTTGAATGAAATTTTCTTGATCCTGCACAAGATTATTATATAGGCACCAATGTAATTTTAACGATAAAAAAATCTCTTCTTTTTATAATTAAAATGGAAAAAAGGGAGAAATGGGATGATTCTTTTTTTAAAAATATCGACGACGATCATTTATTAAAAAAATTGTGTGAGTCGTTTCAAAAATAAATTTAAATAATGCAAAACATTAATTAAAATTCCTAATAAGTATTTAATGAATTGAAATCATTTAAGGGACGGTAATGATCTGACTTTTTGGTTTAAATTTGATAACAAGAAAGATGATTATAAATTAAGGTTGTTTTGTTTGTACGGTTCTACCGAACTTTTTTAGCCGATCCTAAAAATGGTTAAATAGAAAATCTTCTTCGGGTGGTGAAACATTTTGAATTAAATGCGAATAGAGATATTTTTCGACATCGCCACTTTTAAATGGCTGAAATAAGTTATAGCCTCGGTCGTTAAAAAAAAAAAAATTTGAGTCGAATTTTAAAGAAATCATTAGCTAATTACATATTTTGTATAATTTATTTAGTTTCTTGCATAAATGTTTATTTATCTCTTTAATGTTTATTTTCTTATAAATCTGTAATTCATTCTCTTGATAAAAAAATGATTATTTAGAAGACGGCAATCAAATGTACTACCAATAATAACATCTCTTTTCCAAAGATATCTTTATAATCTACCAATCCTAAAGATTATTATAAATATATATATAAAAAATTAAAATTGAATGCAAATGCATTGTTGATGATTGATCGTGCGAAAACATTTCATCACTGAAAAAAAAAAAAAAAAAAATTTTAAAAAGATTGTTTTTAAAAGGAAATAAAAATAATGTAAATAATGAGTTGCATTAAAGGGAGCATAAAGTTTAACCTTAATTGATTTATTTGAAAAATTTTTTAATTGGAAATTTCGGATATTAAAATTTTTTTTTACTTCATTATTTTACTGTACACGCTTTATTTCCAATTCTTTCGAACAAGATGATTTTCAAATTTTTATTCACGCGTTGCGTGGATTAACTTTTTCTACTTAACGTGTTTGTTTGTAATTATGTCATTTTATAGGGGGTATCACAACCTTAAAACTGATAAGCGATTCAAATTTCTTTGTATTGTTTAAAAGGATTTTACAACCAAAAAAAATTTATTAAAATTGAAAAAATCGAAGTAATTGATTTGAAATCAAGAACATGTGCCGAAAAATGAGAAGGTTATGGGATATTTATTATATCATTTTTTGTAACAATAAAAAAAAAGAAACACTTTATTAAAGAATTCTTAATTATATTATTATAATTTTTTTTTATTTTTTATATATATATATATATATATATATATATATATATGTAATATCATAAATCTTAATAATATTATTAATTCTTAATTGTAAAGTAAGAAGAGTTAGAAGTAGAGTAACGTTTCGTATTAAAGTATTAAAACAAACATATTGTTATTACCGATGAAATATTTACTAAAAATTATTTATTTTGTTGTTATTTTTTTTTTTGAATATTTTCGAATTCCCGTTTTTTATATCGTAAATATGCATACAGCATATACAGTATATGCATTTTCATTAATTCGTCGAATATAATGATCATGATCATTTCGATGAAAAATTTCGTAAATTTTCTTCATATTTTGCCATGTATAATACGTAATTTATCTAGAATAATTCGGTGGTGTAAAATAATCTTGCGAATTTTGAGAAGGTACGACTACTTGGTCGACATATGGAAGGTAATTTGTAGTTGTAAAATGTCTACTATATGACGACGACGTAACAGGCGTGACATTTCGGATATATTGATTATGATTATATGGCCAAGAAAAATATTCTTGATAAGTTGATGGTAACCTAACATTATTTTGATTATTTAAAAAAGTATTCATATTATCGGAATTACTTAAGGATAATTGTGGTAAATGCAAATTATTAGGATCTGTTGGAGAAGGTACAGAATCATCTGTAGATGATTCATTGGATTCTGCTTTAGAAGCTTCTTTAGCTTCTCTTTGTCTTTCAATATTAAATATATGCTCGACTTCCCTGGCCAATCTTCTATATTCATCTTTGACACTTGGTTTCTGTTTGTGCCAAGACGTAGATGCTAGTGATGATACCTTGGTTTGTCTTGGATGAAGATTTTGTCGTTTAAGTTCGCGAACAAATTCCTTACGAAAAAGAAAGAATTCGTTTAGCATCTTCTTGCTTCGTTTTCCTCCTTTATTAAAAAGTTCTAGTGCCAAAACTTTTGGTTCTATGTTCGGAGGAAATGGCGGACTAATAATAAGATTATCGTCGGGATTTTGTGGTCTGATTGAGGTTGTGGAGGTTGTTTTATTCTTGTGGGTAAAATTTTCAGCTACCATAGTAAAATTTGCAGTTCTTTCGAACTGAACGGATTCTGTTGAAGCAGGATATTCAAAGTTAAATTCGGTAAACGTAACTTCATTACCGTTAATATTGTTAAGGTCCATATTTACAAGCGTAAAAAATTTTTTATACTAAAAATATTTTATATATATATAAAAAAAAAAAAAAAAAAAAATATTTATGTACCATTAGAATCGTTAGAAACTTGTCCAGAACCACGAATTTGCATGATACTTTACGAAAATTTCTAAACGATAAAGAAGATACTCGTATCGGTAATAAAACGATAAATGTTGCCCTATATGAGACTAGTATGAGACTAATATGAGCATGCATGTGAAAATTTGAAAGATCATCATTTATTCTAATAACTGATAAGTACTTTATGGTTAGGTTACGTCACGTCAATGGCGTCACATATCCACGTGACTTCGTAAACATAATTGTGTTTTTCAAGTTTTATTACGTACTACCTAACATTCTTACTCCTGATAGTAATATGGATTTACAACCTGTTGCGTTGCAACCAAGTTACGGTAACAAAATTTCCATATCTGAGTATATTAGATATACATGGGGTTTTATTCATTTATAGTGTAGATGGAGGGAAATACATAAATACAATTACAGTTTATATTATTATATTTACATTCTATATAATAAATACTTTGAAAGATTTCTTTATATACAATATTTTAGTTTTGATAATTGTCACGTACCTTGATACACTGATATGAAGTAGTTCTTGATAAAGCAACATACAGCTGCCATGTGGATTTAGTATTAACANAAAAAAAAAAAAAAAAAAAAAAATTTTATAATATATATTTTATAGCAAAGCCAAACAACCAAATATATTTTATTACATTCACAGTTAGAATACTAACTTTATTTGAAAATTTTTTTAATGTAAACCTAATTTGATCCTGAGTTTGAGGTTGAGTCTTACAAACAAAATGAGGGTGATGAGCTCATGCCAGGGCACGCCAAAAATTTTACGGAGAATTTTGATCCTTGTATCCATAATAAGTAGATAAAAAAAAAAAAACATAAATAAATAAACATAATCAGGGACTTTTAGGAAACGTTGAAAGAAAAAAATGATTAAAGTGGAAACAATTATTGATTATGTGCTCATTCATTTGAAAGTGGGGATTAAGAAATAATGAGTAGCCCATTACTTTGAATTAATACAAATTCGGGAAAAATATAGAAAATTCCAGCGTTACATAAAACGTGGTATATCAGTGTTCATCATAATAAGAAATGGAAATACGAGTTTTTATAAAAGAGAAATTGAACGAGAGAACTAACCATTATGTTTTGATAATCATGTGCTCAGTTAAAACCATTTTAACTAATTCAAGTATGCTATATAGGAATTGAAATTCCTATGTAATTTAATATTACATAATCCGAAGATCTACCCCTTATATATTGTGGTTTAGTTTAAAAGATCATCTAAAAAATTGGCATGGAATCAAAATTAGAATGATTTCCGAATACTCCGTTCTTTCATATTTAGTAATAATAAAAAATATGCAATAATATGCCACTTAGCAAATCAGCTTTGTTACTATAATTACCTTAATTTATTATAGATAGAAAGAAAAAAAAAAGAAATAAATAATTCCGCATAGAACATGAGATCAAATATGCTAGAATCACGGCGAAAGGTATTATCAACCTTATTTCCTGCCTTATATTTCCTATAATGTAAAAATCCACTGAAAATCTACACGCGTAAATTTAAAATTCTTTAAGTCATGGAAAAGAACGGAAAGAACGAGTCCTCATCGTTTCATTCGAAAGAAATAAGTATGATCCTAATTTAGAAAATAAGATTTTATCGTTTATTTATTTTATCGTTTATTTATCTTATCTGTTATCGTTTATTTATCTTATCGATTATTTATTTTCATCGTTTATTTATTAAACTAAAATTTTTTAAACTTACTCAAAATATCCATCATTCATCATATTAAAAAACAATATGTTTAATATCCAAAATAAGATTAAAGTCTCTTTAAAATGAATTATTTTTAGAAATGATTTGTCATAATGGCAAGAAACTGCGCAAGATCAAGAAATATCATAATGGAATCAGTTGTCACTTGACATATTACCAAATATTAGTCATTTGCATTGTTTTGATTGAAATTTTTCATCATTGTCTTGAAAATGGAAAAATGGGTACGTGCGTGAGAATTTGAGGAAATGTTGAGCATAATGAGAACGAGTGGACCGCAATAATTTGAAAGTTAAAATTTTTTTTTTTTTTTTTTTTCTGCGTTTGTGAAACCATTTCTAAAATACGCTTAATATGAAATTTTTAAAAGTATAATCGGAGTTTATTTTTTTTTTTACATTCAAAAAACTTTTATTTGGGTAAAAATTTACTTTGCCCCATTATTTTGACCAGATTTATAATTATTATTGGCCAAAATTTTTAATAAATGTTGGTAAATAACCTTAAAATGATTTTTATTAGGCGTAGTAAAATCTTATTGAACGCTGTTCGCCCAACGTTACTTTACATTTTGCATACTGTAATAATAAGAATACGGTTAATAATCGACCTTTTTATTTACCAAAATCGATCTGCCATTTATATTTATTGTTTTAAATAGATGTAAATAAAACGCCAATTTACTAACTATATATGCTCGTTATTTGAACAATTTTATAATGATTTTAAACAGACATTTTATAATCGCAATCCAAACAACATTTTGTATTGTTCTCATTAATATATATATACGTCCTACACATATTTACAATATTTTACAATACATTTTATCGTTAAAAATTCTAGGAATTCTAGATGTAAATTCTTCCATAATTTCTCATTTGATTAAATTTCTTTATATGTTAAGATGTTCTATTAAATACATTAATCACTAGTCTAATCAGTACTAGGAGCTAATCCGGCCTTATTTTATTTTTTATTATTATTAATGGTAATGTACATACGTATATTTTTACGAATTTTAATATAATGCTTTTAAGTACAAATTTGAATAACCGTTGAATGTTATTATTATTATTTTTTTTTGATGTCAATATATATTTATTCATTTATTAGCATGTACGGTATCTTTTACTATTTAGGTTAACAAATCCAAAATTAGTACGATGACATTTTCAAAAGAACTTTGTAATATCATATGATATTCTTAAAATTGAATTAATAATAATAAAATTATTAAGTTCAATAGTCCAAATTGACGAAAATATTCGTTAGAAAGGTAATACGTAACGGAATTAGGACTGGGACGGAATCTATTCTATATAACGGATTTTATGATATAACGGATTTTTTGATATAACGGATTTTATGATATAACGGATTTTATGATATAACGGAATTTTGATATAATGGATTTTTAGAAAATTTTACTAATGGAATAATGGAACTAACTGGTCCAGTATATTGAATTTCACTGCATATATATTCAAAATATTTCTTTGATAAGTAAGTAACTAAAGCAAACTTGTTTTATTATTATAGACGTATTAGTTGCTCGAATTATATTATAATTAACTGTAACGTTATAATTGACAAAATTTTATAACATTTACAAGGAAATTCCCTATAAAAAATTTTTTCAGAAAAATGATCACATGTCAGAGTTTCCTCGGAACAAAAAACTGGAAAAATGATCATTTATCGGAGTTTTTTTTCCAGAATTTTTTTTATAGGGAAAGTAATTATCATGTGAACTAGCATTTTCTTTTTTAAGTTCACAGTCAATTCTCAAATCCAGGTTACATTCATTATCAATCAAGGAAACGTTATTACGTAAGTCTACATGAGTTTAACTTATTTAATTTTTATCTTTTGTTTTCTCAATTTCCTAAACAAAGATCAAAAAGTATAATTTTTTTTGCGGATAAAGGTATCTAATGTTAATAACAATCAAACATATTCGATCATAACATAATATTTTATATGTAATATTTCTTTGGATTAAAGGTGTGAAAAATAAGGAAAAAAAATTAAAATAAAAATACCTCGTATTAATAATAACGTTCGAATGCTTACATGTTTTTTTTACTCTCTCTTAAATAGTAATTCATTACTATAGCAGTTTTCCATTTTTATGTCAATAAAGGAACGCCAGTGGCGCTCATACAACTTCCAGTATTTGACCCAACGAATTGGGAATTAGAAACAAACTGACAGCCACCCTAAAATATAGGCAGCTTAGGTGCGACCAGGTCCAGCCAAACAGCCAAATAGTTGTTTAGAAGGATGTCCATAATGGTTTTTTTTATAGTATTTTATTTGTATTTATATTACGTTGAAATCATGTGATTGCAAGCCCCCTTTTTCGTGGGACAATATTTGACAATACTAATCTTATCATTTTATTCCATAAATCGTAACGGGAAACCATAATTACACACTCATACATAAAAAAATTACAAGCATAAATAACATAAATAATAAACAAATATTAGCATATCAAAGCAGCAACAGCTCATATAATACATATGATCATAAATCATATTTGTTTTTTTCCTTTTTTTAAAAATTAAAAGAAAGAAAAAGAAAAAACGACTGCCATTTCTTTGTAATATTTTTAATAATCTTAAAAGAAAAAAAATTTACATACGGTGGGGAAATTCTACAAAAAATTAAAGCTAAAAGCTAAAATATTTAAATAATAAATAATAAATAATATAATAGTAATAATTTTTTCTTTTTTTTTTCAAAATGAAAAAAGAAAAAAATTTAAAATTTTAAACGATTTTAACGATTTGAAAAATTTGAACGATTTAAATTTTTCTACTAATTTTTTTTGCCAATTTAATAAAACATATTATCGAGATTTATGCCATTATTGTAGTTATTATATAAATTAAAAGAAGGTTGTTCTCCTTCTAAACGATTAATTGAAGGTAATTGTATATCTTCGAATGCTGGAGATAAATTATTATCATCTGATGATAAAGTCGGGGAAATTTGATTATTATTGTCGAAATAATTATTCTCAAAATTGAAATTTACGAAATTTTGAGTAGGCACGAACGGTTGCGGTTGATAAAAAGTAACATTATAATAAGGATTTCCAGCAGCAAAATTATTATGACTATAATTATTATTAACATAATTATATGGTTCAAGATAAACTGGTTCTGGTGGTTGTGAACGTTGAGCGAGAGCTTTTTGTCTTGCTTCTATGACTAATCTTTCAACTTTACGTGCAAGATCTTTATAAGTAGCCTTGACATTTGAAGGTTCTTTCTTCCAAGAAGCACTAACATAACCAGACATATCAGTCATTTTAACTCTAAAGTTATGTAATCTTAATTGATCCAAATATGCAATACGATAGATAAAAAATGCATTTGGACTCTTTGCTGATTTTCGATTTTGTCTACGTTTTTCGAGAATATCTTCTGCTTTGATTTGAGGGGGGAACGGTACTTTTATGTCTTCAGGATTCGTTAAGCTCATTTTCATTTTTTTTTATTTCTGAAGATATAAAAAGTTGAAAAAAATTATGAATATATATCGCCGAAAGAAAGGAAGTTAAAATAAATATTTCAACGTGAAATAAAAAAATTCGAAGTAATCAAGAAGAAAGAAATTTAATTTCTTATATTTATACAAAAATGAGATTTTTTTTTTTTTTTGTAATTCCGATAATGTACTGTGCGTGTGACTCAGAATTTGTATACTTAGTTGCTTAAAATATTATAAAGTAACCTTTTAAACTTGTCTATAGAAGTACAACAATAGATAAAATTTGGTAAAATTGGGTCTCGGACATCTCTTCCGTAAATTTTATCAATGTGCCACGTTATGTTTCACAAAATACCTTCTTTTGCTTATCATCAAAAAATGATGAAATTTTTTCCCAGATTTTTTACGCAGTAATTTAAAATATATATTGACGCGTTTTTATATGTAAGTATTAATATTATTTATATAAATAAAAAAAAAAGTTAACAATTCATTTTATATCGGGATTCTGTGAAACATAATAAAAAAATATTTAAATAAATATATACACTAAATCAATTTCAAGGATTGAATGTTAAACCAATTTTGGGCACTTTTTTTTTTGGTGATATTTATAATTGTTTCACGAGAATAAATATAAGAAACCAAGTAAAACCAAGTAAACTCGGCACTCAATTATACTTTTTGATTTATGTAACAAAGTACGAAAAAAGGTTCCTCCCCTTTTCTCATAGATCCCCAAGTGTTAATTCTTTGTCTTTGCAGGTAATCACATGCTAAATTTATACTTTCTTTCATTATCAAACTAGTTTGTTTTCCTCAAATGGAATGCTTCGACGATAGATTTGGATGCTTCTTTTTTTTTTTTTTTTTTTTTTTTACGCGTGATGAGATTTTACATAAACTATTACTAAAATACCAGAAAGTACCAGAAGATCGATTATAATAGATTTGTATTCGTTCTTAATCTAAATGCAGAAAGAACCAATGGAATTTTAAATTGTTTTAGAAGATTCTTTTTATGCTAAATTTGTCATAATTCATTTTTCCTAATAAATAAAGTAAGTTAAACTAAAATTTATATAGTCATTTTATACTGTATGTCAACATAATGTTATACCCCCAACCGACAGATAGACCCCAAAACATCGATCAAAAATTTTAAAAACTACCGGGTAGTCCACGTACGTTTAATTTATAGAAATAAAGATGGCTGATTCTGATTGGGTGTGACAGGGTTGCATTTCACAAAAACAAATATGGAAATATGAATCAAATTTTCTGCGTGAAAAAAAAAAGATTACCGGAAATGATTTCCGAATCAGAATTAATTATTATGACATTAAAAAAATTCTTCGCTTTCATAAATATGATGAAATTAATCCATTTCAATGGAAAAAATGGCGTAACGGAGTTCTTGGAGCTGCGCAGCTGAATAACAAAAAAGGAAACGATCTTTCTACGTTCAACCCCTTTATGTGTGGCTAATCAATACTAGTATTTGTGGCACACGCTTTATTTAAAGGCGCAGCAATAAAATATTTGATTGGCTGGTGTAGCCGTATCGTAAAAAAAAATGCCAAAAATACATATGATATTTTTAGGTCAATATATTCCGTTTCTTTAACATTTCTTCCTGGAATTCGAAACGAAATTCGATAATTACGATATTTCCCTTGATAAATTCGACTAGAACTGAAAAGGAATAAAAACAATGTGTTCAATACGCCAGTCTTCCCCAAGAATTCGTCTTTTTATTCAGAAAAAAAAAAAAAAAATAATTATTTCCCATTAATGAGTTAGGCGATTCGGAGATATAGTCTGTCAAAAGAATACTCCGATTTATTGGAATTTACTTAATAGGAAACAATATCAAACATAAAGACAAAATGCAAGAATTGCGCAAATTACGCAAACAATTGATAAAGGAATCATAAAGAAAGCTATTGCGCATAATCATAATAAAATTTGTGGGGTTTTTCGAGACGATAATGGACAAGAAATTTTTATATAAAATGAAAAAATACTTTGATAAAATTTTTTTCATTCATCGAATATATCACATGATTTCAGTAATTAAATGTCTTTAGGGTTAATATTTTTAAAATATGTAATAAAAATGTAACAGGGTAAATTATTCTACTATAAGTTTTAATATATGCGTCGTTATGTTTCCGAACTATTTTTCATAAATAAAATAAAATAAAATAAATGAAATAAAATAAAATAAATGTAATAGATTTGAAAATTGAAATAGGTATAAACTTATTTTCTTGATATTGTTTCTTACTTTACTATATAATTCTCTAAATCTAGCAACCTATATTACCTTTAAAAAATAATTCTATCTCCGGAGCGGTGTTTTGCCGAAAAAACTCCTTCAATCGATCAAATACATGATTTAAAACTTTAAACGGTAAGGCTCATCTAATAAATTCCCGTTTTTCCTTCTTTTTTTGATTATTAAAAGAAAAGGTTTATTTATTTATATTTATTTTTAATACAATTTTTTTTTTTTTATAAAAATTTAAAGTTACATCGATCTTTTATATTAAATATCTGTTATATATATATATATATATTAATTAACTGATTTTGTCCCTTTTTGAGCGCGTCACGACGTCACGTACGTAATATGTAAATAATTATTGGTTTAATTTTCATTATTATTGAAGCATTTATAATGTGCATTATTACCTTGTTAACTAATAACACTCATAATATAAAGATGTTTATAAAGATTTTATATTTTCTATGCACTACAATTGAATTACACATATTTTGTACTTTTTTTCGATAACCAAATTAGAAATCTGTTATCAAAGTGTTAAACTTTTTTAAATAATAAAGAAATTATATCTTTTATGGTGAAAAATGATGCCAATATTCGTTTTAGTTGCCATATTAGATTATGTCAATAATAATTGAAAGTCCAATCAATAATAGTGTAAAGTAAAATTGATCAATTGATTTTCTCTTTTAATAATTAAATTAGTTCGTTGTATAATCAATCCATTTCAATTTTTTAAGAAAAAAACCATCACAGCCACCACAGGAAATGAAAAAAAAATTTCTTGTTTTAATTTGTTTATCTTTTTTGGAACGAAAGTTCAGTGGCTATGCATTATTGTGGTGTTATTGTGGTGTTTATACTCCGTTTATTACAAAAATTATTATTTAAATTGTAAGAGCTATAATTCCTATATAATGGTTCAAACTAATTAGTCAATAAATGATATATATTTTTTTTTTATAGAAAACTCTCTATAACACACATTATTTGTATCTTTGAGAAAAAAATATAGTTTAAATTCAATTGGTTTCAATATTAAACAATAATATCAAACAAAAAAAACTTGGTGTTCTTCCTAAAAACAATTTAGGCCCGAAAAATTTGCGGAATAAACGATTAATTCCGACAATTATTTTTAATTATTGAATTTAATTACAATTTGGCGGCATATATGTACATTGTGTACAATTTTTTTTAATCTTTTTTTTTTTTATATTTATACACAACTGAACCTATCAATAAGATAATCATCTTTACTATTATTCAAAGATTTTATTCAATTGTTAAATAAAAAAAAATTTTATAAATTAGATATAAATAAAATCTTTTTTTCTGAAAATCAAAAAGNAAAAAAAAAAAATATTTTTAAAGCTTCAATTTACCGATCCAAGTCACCAAGGAAGATCAGTATCTAATAAAAAAAGAAATAAAGTTAATCCAAAAAAAAAAAAAAAAAAAAATTCACAAAAAAAAAGGTTAACCTTATGATAAAAAATGGCATCACAAAATTCCGATAACAATTCTCCAACTACCCAAATTATTACTCTCCCTTTTCCTCCAATTATTTCGGCACAGGATCTTATCGATAAAAGATCCCCTGAAAGAGTGACAGCTAAAAGTCCCAATGCTTTCTTCGTATATAGGAAAGCTTTTGTAAATTATTTACAAATTTGTAATCATAATCTTAAAATGCGCGACGTGTCTTCCATGGCAGGATTATCTTGGAAAGCGGCTTCCAAGGAAGTTAAAGAAGCTTATAAACAGATTGCTCGTGAAGTTGAAAGAATTATAATTTCTCAACGTCAAAAAAGATATAAAGAATATAAAAACAACCTTAACAATCTTAATAATCTTAATAATAACGCCATGATTAGATCAAATTATTTAGGATTACCTTATCATTTTCATAATTCAACATCTTATATTCCACAACAGCTTTCGACTATGCCGACGGGAACTTGGTTCCCTGCTATCGCTTCTAATAATTCTAATCAATATCAAGTTTATGATATTACTACTCAATATAATTCATTATCTTCAAATCTTGGTGATCAGGCTATTTCTGTGCAACAATACGATCAACAACAACAATTTGATCAACAATTTGATCAAGAATTTCCAGCATCCCAAGAATTAATTCAACAGAATTTTGCACCAATTAATTCAGCTATTGATCAATTCACTACCGATTATTTTAATGAAAATGATTATATCCTTTGGTCACCACAAAATAGCGAAGAAAAACAACAAATTTAAGAAAAAATTATATATATATATATTTATAACGATACACGTGAATTTTCAATATGATAACTCTTGTCGACAAAATTAAGATTATTTACTTTCGATATTCTTTTTTTATTTATTTTATTTCGTTTTATTCGGGGAAAAAGCTTTCTTAATTATTTGGCAAAGCCAAAAATATGTTTTTATATAGTTAATCTATTAATAGATAATAAGGTTTTTAAGTTTTCAAATATGTTAAATATGTTATAAGTATGCTTATGTTTTATTTTATTTATATTTCGCGTTCGCTTTTATGTTTTCGTATTTTATCGTACTAGTATCTATCGTCGATATTTTTTTTCTCTAATAAATTTAAATTTCTTACCGTGAAAAAAATCATACATCACGTGATTTCAGCGCGTCAAAAAATTCTTTAAATAATTTATGCATAATAATAATTTATACAAGTATATTGTATATTTTTGTTGTTTCACAATTATATTACATCTCATGCATTAAGTTTCAGGAGCAAATAATGATAAAAATAGTAAAAACAATTCGTACCGTATTAAATAAAATAACATTAACTATTTTTCTTTGGAAATAGTTTCACAACATATATATTATATATATATATATATATTGTTTTTTTTACAAATATTCTGAATAATAAATAATCTTATATACTTATGATTTGTGTAATAAACGAATGTTAGTACATAAACCTTAAAAATCACGTACATTCTTTTCTTCATTAACTCATAGTACCTGCAGTAGGAATGGAAAAGGGTACGATCAGAATTTGTCGTCCATTTTTATCGTTCATTTACCAAATTTCTCGTTAATGTTTGGTAATTGATTCATCCTTTGTTTATCTCCCCTTGAATTAATCTATAACATTCAAAATAGTCCCTTTGATAGAGCATGCATAAGATTCGAGAGTAAACATAATCCGGCTATCTTTTTTTTTTTACGCCCATTAATTAATTGTCAAAGATAAAGAACAATCCAATTTATTTTTTTAGATCTGTTTTCACGAGTGGTGATTTGATTGTGTAATCTTTCGCGTTTCTCTTATGAAAACGCCAAGTAAACAATCTAATATTTATATAAAAAGGTTCATTAAATTCTTTACTGTATAATAAATAATATTTAAACCCTTTTATAAATTATTATTATTATTTATTATTATTTATTATTATTATTTATTATTATTATTATTATTATGTAGTCATTTAATCAAGAACGCGCTTTAGTCTAAGAATCTCACTGGTACAAATATAATTTGATTTACATTTCTATATTTAGTTACGTTATTATATTTAATATGGTTAAATATGAATATTATTTAAGTATGGTTAAGGGGAATCGTGGGGTATGAGATCTCTGAAAGGGAAGGGGGAGGGGGGGTCTTTATTTTATATATATATAAAAAATTATTTTATTTTATATATATCAATTATTTATTTGTTATTTATTTGTTTATTTATTTATTATTATTATATTTTTTTTTTTATTATTTTATTATTTTTTTAAAAAAAGGTCATAAAAGAAGTCACTGATTTTTTTTTCAAAAAAAAAAATCTTTTTTGTATTGTATACATAATGTTTCATTAGAAATATGGTAAAGAGCGATTGGCTAAAATTTTATACCTGTCTCTTATACACATCTAGATGTGTATAAGAGACAGATTTAAGTATGGTTAAGGGGAATCGTGGGGTATGAGATCTCTGAAAGGGAAGGGGGAGGGGGGGTCTTTATTTTATATATATATAAAAAATTATTTTATTTTATATATATCAATTATTTATTTGTTATTTATTTGTTTATTTATTTATTATTATTATATTTTTTTCATTATTTGTTTTTTATTATTAATTAAAAACATTTAGATTTATAAGAGCACTAACAAGAGAGCATGGTCTGTCTCTTATACACATCTAGATGTGTATAAGAGACAGTACATATACTTTTATTAGTCATATTAATCGTTTCATTTAACATTTTAGATGTTCGTGATAATGCTGATAGATTCCTAGGGTCTCTTGTGAGATTTGATAATATACGTCACGAAGTAAACATTGGATCACTAAATAATTTCATACAAGGCATATTAAATACTGATTATGACGAAGTAGAAGAAGTTATTGCTGCTGGTACTTCTTCTACTAGTCAACAATCGAGCACTCCAACGACTATAACAACGGCAAAGACATCTCCCCTTCTTACGGAATCATTTACAGAATCTCTCCTTGTTACTCATAGTATGTCATCCTATATACTAACTACAGATATTATGTCAGCGGATATTCAAATTAACAGTAAATCTTCGATTGTAACAGGATCTCAATCGGATTTTTCATTGACTTCACAAGATGATCGCTCTGATGTTACATCATCAACAATGACAACAACGACAAATTCAGCGACAACACCGACTTCTAGAATTTCTTTTAAGAGACCAAGAGGTCGTCCTCGCAAATTTTCTAATAATTACGTTACTATTATTGATGAGGTGGTCCCTACTAAGTCTGGTCGCAGATCTTCACAAAAAAATGCTTCCAATGTTGGAACTAATCGTATTATAGGAAAATCAACCAATTCTTCAGAAATTTATTATAGTGATACATCTGATTCATCTGCTATTTATTCCTCGGATGATGATTCTCATTTAGATAAAGTCATGGTAATAATCTAATTTACAATGAATAATTTAATGAATTATTTTATTAAATATTTTTATTTATTCAAAATAGAACCTTGTTCGAACTTATATTAGTACAACAAAATCCAACATTCTTAAAGATGGTATTTATACTTGGAAGAATACGAGACCTATATTTATAAACGAACATCTTATCAAAGTTAAAAAATTATTCAGGAATAATAATATACCATCTTCAACAAATGAAGATGACGATATTATAAATGCATTCAAAAGAATTCACACTTCTAGAAGATCGATGTATCTCACTAGACAGAAGTGTGTTCATACAAACTCTAACTCTAACAAAAGTACTATTATTAATGTTGTTAATAGTGATGATAATAAAAGGAATAGGGGTAGACCTCCAAAGAGTAATAATAATAGTAGTAAAGGGAAACAAAGTATGCGATGATTTTATGGTTTAGAAGAAAGATTTTTTTTTTTAAAAAAAACGATAATTTCGAGGATACCCTTTTTCTTATTAGCCGTTTTCTGCTTAATTTTATTCGTGGGTTTGGTTACATCTATTTTCATTTCAAACATGTTAATTTCGTATTTGGTAATTACTACTAGTTAAGCTTTTCTATTGATATAACTCTCCTGATTTGCTTGTAAGTTGTAGCTAATTATATATTATATAAGCAATTAATTTTAATAAGGCCAAATAAATCGATTCCGATTCTTTTTTTTTTTTTTTCAAATGAAAGTTCAATCTAATCCCAAAATTAAAATTCTGCGCATTAATTCTGATTAACCCCAGTATCGCCCCCCCAAAAAATCATCCCCATGTGACCGACGAGGTTTTTTCACCACAAAAATTTCGACCCCAGAATAAAATGACAATTATATGATTTCACGTGGAGTAAATAATTTTGGATATAATTCCTGTGCCAAATAAGTAAAATAGATTAGAACGTGCAGCGGATTTCAGAATTCCAGTCATGTGACTCAATTCGGAGATATCCCGAAAACTCCGGAATTGTTATAATTGTAAGGTTAAGATTAAGATTTATCCATTAAAATTTAAAAAGTTATATTTAGTATTTTAAACAATGGAAATTGATGATAAGCTACTATGATGTTTGACTCAACTTAAAAGATTTAATTGAGTGCCATTTGGCATTTGGTAGCGTATGTAGCGTATTAGAAATTTAGGTTTACTCATATGAACACATTCGAATAACTATCTTATGACTCTAGTCATAATTAAAATCAAGATTTTACATCAAGAACAATTTTTTTATTAAGCTGAATGCTACTGAGATAAGGTAATTTGTAATCTGCCAAAATATGGAGCCAATTTGTCGAATTAAGACTTGGCATTGGTGATCATACTTAGTGTGCTTTTATTATTTTTTTGCGAAACATATTTTACATGTTGTGTTCCCAAATCAATGATATGTGGCTAAAAATCAATTTATAAAATGAATTAAAAAATATTGCATAACTTTTCACGGTATCTCACATTCTTTGATTGTAAAATCATAATATATTAGTTTAAAATTCAATAACGATAATTAAAAATTATGGTTTTCTATCAAATATCTTTAAACAAACTTTTACGCTTTATCGGAACAATCATTATATCGATATTAATTATTTACTCATTTTTTAATGATATTAATAATTTTAATAATCGAATTAGTAAAATTGAAGTAATTTCATTGCCTGGGAATCAAAAAAAGATTGATGTAGGTTATGGAGATGACTATTGGATTTTAACTGAAAATAATGAGGTAATAATCAGTACATAATTTTTTTCTTGTATTTTTAAGTGATATAATTAATTAAATTCAGATTGTATCGACTTATGCATGACTTAATTTTTTAAATAGCTTTATCATAAGAGTATGATGCTACAAAAATTTGTTTATAAGAGAAGTGATGTTTTAGATTTTGCCGTCGGATTAGACGGAACCGTTGCTTACATTGATATAAATAATGAAGTATATGTTAGAAGTATGAATGCTGATTGGTGGTAAAATATTCCGTCAATAAATTAACTACCGGTTATAACTTTAAAAGTTTATAAACTATACTATTTATACTGTAGGTATAAAATAGCTGACGGAAGTTATGCTCATCAAACAATTTCTATTTGTGATTACAAGACAATATTTACAACAAATGATAATTTTGATTTCATCAAAGGTGTTTATGATTATAAAATAGATGACAAACTCGACATGTACAATTGGGAATATGGTAAATTATTAAAAATAATATGTATATGTATGTATGTATATACTTAATACTGCATAGCATTAATTTTTATTTTATAAATTTTTAGTTGATTATTATTATACTTATTATCAAGTTAGTTGTGCTTTTTGGGATCATTCAATATGGATTAGAGGTAGCGAAGAATATGCTTATCTTTACAAAGATAATTATACACAGTAAGTCATAAATTTATTTATTATTATGTATTATATTTTTTTTTAATTTATTATTAATCCTCACAAAATTTCCTAATAGTATCCCTAGAACAGAAGTTGAATTAAAACAAGTTAAAGCGCTCTCTGAACAATATGCAATTGGAGTTGATTATTCTAACAATTTATGGGAACTTACTATGGGTACTTGGACTTGGATCAGAAATAATGTTAAAAGTGCGACCATTAATTATAATGGAAACATTTTTTATATTGATAATACTAACAGTTTTGTTTATAAATTAAGCAAAAATTAATTTAGATTTTTAGTTTTTATTATTTTTATATACTTGTATATATATTATATATTTATTTATCATACATTTTTTTTTGTTTTTAAAAAAATAAAAAATAAAGTTACAAATTGAAGATCATCGCAGAGCTTTCTAATTGAGATAAAAATCTTGTATTGAAGTAGTCATAGTCTGTTTTAAACGTCCTCCTGATCGTAAACAAACTACAATTGGTATTAGTGTTACATATATCCTTTACTGAATATATAAAAAGTATGAACGCAATTTTATTTAAAAAAAAAATATATATATATAAATTATTGAAATTGAAATGACTTTTCACCTATTTTTAACGAAAAAGTTGCGTTTTATTTTTATTGTAGCGTTTATTATTATTTTTATTATTTTGAATATTTGCTCGTTTTATCAAGATGTTAATAGCTTTAATAAAGAGGTGAACTTGCCGTTTCCTAATAATACTGGAATAATGAAAATTGATGTTGGTCAAGGAGAGGACTTTTGGATTTTAACTGAAAATTATAAAGTAATGCACTTATGTCATATGAAATATTAAGTCTTAAATATAAACGTAATCATTTAAATTATATATTTATATATATATACTTTATTATGATATTAGCTTTATCATTGGAATGCAATTAAGAGAAAATTTATTCGTAAAGCAAAGGATTATGAACCCATTTATGATTTTTCTGTAGGATCAGATGGAACAGTTATTATTTCTGATTATTATCATGATATAAATATTCGAAGTTATATCGATTCATGGTAAAATATTTTATTATAATTTTGTTTTGTTATAAATTATCATAACTAAAATGTTAAATGTTTGTTGATAGGAATATAATTTATGGACATTATGATAATAGAAATATTTCCATTTGTGATCTAAACAAGATTTTTACTACAAATAATTATATGTTATTTGTAGGTGGTTATTATAAAGATATATATTTCTGGGACGAACGTAAGAAAATTATAAATTAACTATCATATGCGTTGTAAAGAAAGGTACTAATATTAGTTAAAATCGTTATAATTTAGTTGATCGTAACGACTATTATCAGATTTCCTGTGCTTTTCATGATAAATCATTATGGTTCATAGGTTATGGTCATTATATTTATTTATATGTCAATAAGTATAGAAAGTAAGTTTAACAAAATTTTTCCTTTTTATTAAAAACTGAAAATGTAAGGGAAAAAAATTTAATATTTTAATATTTTTATAACCTTACAGATTTTTATAGGATTATTCGATCAGAAGTTCCATTTAAACAAATTAAAGCACTCTCTGAACAACATGCGATCGGAATTGATTATGATTATATTTTATGGGAATATATAAATGGTACTTGGACTTGGATCAGGAATAATGTTAGAACTGCATCTATTAATTATAATGGTGATATTTTTTACATTGATAATGACAATTTTATTTATAAAATAAGTAAAAATTAGTTTGAAAATTTTTGGTTATTATTATTTTTATTACCGATATTATTTTGTCATTATTATGTTATTACAAAAAACAAAAAATTTTTTATTATTGAAATGCTAGAATATCGAAAAGATCATCACACAGAGCAGGATAAATCTTGTATTGGAGTAGTCAAAAGACTACCTCCTGATCCTAACAAACTACATTCGTGCTACATACATCCCTTTACTGAACATATAAAAGGTTACGAACGCAATTTTTATTGTTTTTTACTTTAAGAAAAATTTATTGAATTGAAATGGCTATTTATCAATTATTTTTTATAAAAAATTTGCGTTTTATTTTTATTGTAGCATTTATTATTATTTTGAATATTTACGATGTTAATAGCTTTAATAAAACGCAGAACTTTCCGTTTCCTGATACTACTGGAATAATGAAAATTGATGTTGGTCAAGGAGAGGACCTTTGGATTTTAACTGAAAATTATGAAGTAATGCACTTAAGCTATTAAACGTAATCTTTAAATTATATATATATATATTTATATATATACTTTATATATTTTCTTGATACTAGCTTTATCATTGGGATGGAATTGAAAGAAAATTTATTCGTAAGGCAAAGGATTATGGACCCATCTATGATTTTTCTGTGGGACCAGATGGTTTAGCAGTTATTGTTTCCAGGAGTCCCATTAATAACAACGTATTTATTAGAAGTGACATTGATTCATGGTAAAATATTTTATTATAGCTTTGTTTTATTATAAATAATCGTATCTAAAATATCAAATGTTTGTTTCTTAAAAAGGGAGTGGATTTATGGATCTGATGTTCGAGTTCCTATTATAAGTATTTCCAATTGCGATTACAATAAGATTTTTACTATAGAAGATAGAAAGTTAATTGTATGTAATTATGACAATGCATACTCCTGTGATACACGTAAGAAAATTATAGATTAATTATATTTCGTTATTTAAAAAGAAACAAATAACTAATATTAGTCAAATCATTGTATTTTAGTTAAATATGGCATCTATAATCAGATTTCCTGTGCTTTTAATGATAAATCATTGTGGTTCATAGGTTCTGGACATTATATTTATTTATATATCAATAAGTATATAGAGTAAGTTTATTTCTTATAAAAAAAATGTAAGGATAAAATAATTGACATTTTAATATTTAACCTTATAAATTTTTCTTAGAATTATTCGATCAGAAGTTCCATTTAAACAAATCAAAGCGCTCTCTGAACAACATGTGATTGGAATCGATTATGATTCTACCTTATGGGAATATATTAATGGTACTTGGACTGGGATCAGTAATAATGTTAAAAGTGCATCTATTAATTATAACGATGACATTTTTTATGTTGATAATGATAACATTATTTATAAAATAAGTAAAAATTAGTTTGAAAGCTTTTGGTATTATTATTTTTATTACCAACATTATTATGTTATTTATAAAAAATTATTATTGCAAAAATGTTATATCGAAAAGATTGTAGTTTTAAATGGTATTCGTGTTACATAATCCCTTAACTGAACATATAAAAAGTACGAACGCAATTTTATCATTTTTTTACTTGAAAAAAATTTTTATTGAATTGAAATGGCTCTTTATAAGTAAAATTAGTTTGAAAGCTTTTAGTTATTATTATTTTTATTACCAATATTATTATGTTCAGTTATTTATTACAAAAAAAAAAAAATATTATTATTGCAATAATAGAATCACACAGAGCATTCTAATTAGGATAAAATCTTGTATTGAAGTAGTCAAAACTTTGTTTTAAACGTCCTCCTGACCGTAAACAAACTACAATTGGTATTCGTGTTACATAATCCTTAACTGAACATATAAAAGTATGAACGCAATTTTATCATTTTTTTTACTTTAGAAAAAAATTTTATTGAATTGAAATGGCTCTTTATCAATTATTTTTTATAAAAAATTTGCGGTTTATTTTTATCGGAGCATTTATTATTTTGAATATTTACTCGTTTTATCACGATGTTAATAGCTTTAATAAAGCGGAAACTTTTCCGTTTCCTGATAGTACTACTGGAATAGCGAAAATTGATGTTGGTCAAGGAGATGACATGTGGATTTTAACTGAAGATTATGAAGTAATGCACTCAGGCCATACGAATACTGAGTCTTAATTTAAACGTAATATATATATATATTTAAATATACTCTTTGTATATTTTTTGATACTAGCTTTATCATTGGGATGCAATTGAAAGAAAATTTATTAACAAGGCAAGCCCAGTAAATAGTTTTTGTATAAATTTATACCAAATGGGCTCATCCATATATAATTGGCTCTAGATTGGCTTAAATTTGGATTATTTTTTGCATAAATTTGAGCTAATTTCGAGCCAATGAGCCCGTTTGGTATAAATTTATACAAAAACTATTTACTGGGAAGTAGTAATGAACCCATCCATGATTTTTCTGTGGGACCAGATGGAACAGTTATTACTTCCGATAGTGTTGAAGACTTATATATTAGAAGTAACATTGATTCATGGTAAAATATTTTATTATAATTTTGTTTTATTATAAATAATCATAACTAAAATATCAAATGTTTGTTCTTAAAAAAGGAGGAGATTGATGGAAGCTATTTTCATAGCAATATTTCCATTTGCGATTATAATAAGGTTTTTACTACAGATAATTCCAATTTATTTGTAGGTAGTTATTATAATAACGTATACTCCTTGGAAATACGTAAGAAAATTATAAATTAATTATATTCGTTATAAAAAAGAAAACAAATATACTAATATTAGTCAAATCATTATATTTTAGTTGACAGAGGCACCTATTATCAGATTTCCTGTGCTTTTCATGATAAATCATTGTGGTTCATAGGTTCTGGACATTATATTTATTTATATATCAATAATTATAAAAAGTAAGTTTAGACAAAAATTTTCTTTTTATAAAAAAAAATGTAAGAAAATATATTTTACAAGATTTTCCTTAGAATTATTCGATCAGAAGTTCAATTTAAACAAATTAAAGCGCTCTCTGAACAACATGCGATTGGAATCGATTATAATTATACCTTATGGGAATATATTAATGGTACTTGGACTTGGATCAGGAATAATGTTAGAACTGCATCTATTAATCATAATGGTGATATTTTTTACATTGATAATAACAATTTTATTTATAAAATAAGTAAAAATTAGTTTGAAGGTTTTTGGGTATTATTATTTTTATTACCAACATTATTATGTTATTTATTACAAAAAAAAATTATTATTTTATCAGAGCATTCTAATTAGGATAAAATCTTGTATTGAAGTAGTCAAAACTACTATGTTTTAAACTTCCTCCTGATCGTAAATAAACTACAATTGGTATTCGTGTTATATAATCCTTAACTGAACATATAATTTATTGAATTGATATGGCTCTTTATCAATTATTTTTTATAAAAAATTTACGGTTTATTTTTATTGGAGCATTTATTATTTTGAATATTTACTCGTTTTATCACGATGTTAATAGCTTTAATAAAGCGGAAACTTTTCCGTTTCCTGATACTACTGGAATAGCGAAAATTGATGTTGGTCAAAGAGATGACTTATGGATTTTAACTGAAGATTATGAAGTAATGCACTTAAGCCATACGAATACTGAGTCTTAATTTAAACGCAATATATATATTTATTTATATATACTCTTTGTATATTTTTTTGATTCTAGCTTTATCATTGGGATGAAATTAAAAGAAAATTTATTCACAGGACAGAGAGTTATGGAACCAGCTTCTATGATTTTTCTGTGGGACCAGATGGATCAGTTGTTTTTTCTTACTATGATATTTTTACGTATTAGAAGCTACTACATTGATTCATGGTAAGATATTTTATTATAATTTGTTTTATTATAAATAATAATAAATAAAATATCAAATGTTTGTTTCTTAAAAAGAGAGTGGATTGATCATGGAACTTATATTCATAAAAATATTTCCATTTGTGATTATAATAAGGTTTTTACTACAGATAATTCCAATTTATTTGTAGGTAGTTATTATAATAACGTATATTCCCGGGAAATACGTAAGAAAATTATAAATTAATTATATTCGTTATAAAAAAGAAAACAAATATACTAATATTAGTCAAATCATTATATTTTAGTTGACAGAGGCCCTTATTATCAGGTTTCCTGTGCTTTTCATGATAAATCATTGTGGTTCATAGGTTATAATCATTATATTTATTTATATATCAATAATTATAAAAAGTAAGTTTAAACAAAATTTTCTTTTTATAAAAAAATGTAAGAAAATATATTTACAAGATTTTCCTTAGAATTATTCGATCAGAAGTTCAATTTAAACAAATCAAAGCGCTCTCTGAACAACATGCGATTGGAATCGATTATGATTATACCTTATGGGAATATATTAATGGTACTTGGACTTGGATCAGGAATAATGTTAGAACTGCATCTATTAATTATAATGGTGAAATTTTTTATATTCATAATAATAACAATTTTATTTATAAAATAAGTAAAAATTAGGTTAAAAGATTTGGTTTTTATTATTTTTATTATTGATTTTATATTATGTTATTTATATATTATAAAATAAAATAAATAAAATAAAATATTTAATATAATTCATTATTGCGCTAATGTTAGCTGAAAAAGGATTATATAGGCATTTTAATATGATATAAAATCTTATTGTAATAGGATAAATCTTATATTGAAGTTTGCCGTACTTGTTTTAAACGTCTTCTTAACGTTTTTCTTTAAAGAAATAATTATTATTAATCTTAATTATTCTTCGCATATAAAAGTTTTTATAGAAGCGATTATTATTTTGGATATTATCATGATGCCAATTGCTTTAATAACTTTGTTCTAGCTTTTCCAACGAGAAATTCCAATTTACTTTTATTAAATTATAAAATCGAACACTGAACTGAAATTAAAAAAAAATAGAATTGCGTTAAGAAATCGTTGAAAATTAATCGCTATTTATTTATTATTAATTATCTTTATTTTACAAGAAAAATTTATCTCAAAGTCAGAGATAATTCATCTTAAGAAGTTTAATCTAAAGTGTAACAAGTTTAAAAGTAACAAATGTTAATAGTATTGAAAATAATAAAGTTAACGAAAGTAATTTATCAAAAATAACGTATGTACACTTGATCACGTGTGTGAAAGTCACGTGAGAACGGACATGCTTTTGCGTAGAATGTAAAGTCTTCCGCTTCGCTTCGGACAACTATAATTTGTTTATTAGAAGTGATATTGATTACGGTATTATTTTGTTTATTATATCTAAATTTAAAAACTTTCCTCAGAGTCCCTCGATCAAAAGTTTCATTTAAGCAAATTAAAACGCTTTCCGAACAACATGTGCTTTATGAGAATATATTTACAGTACTTGCATAGTTAATTAGGAGGGTTGGATTCTTTTTAACGATTACAAAATTATTTACTTGTTAAATCCCGTATTGTTTTCAAATTTGTTTAAAAACGTCCTTCTATCTGCCATAGCCAAACTACAATTATATTCGATTGAGCATTATTTACTTAATTAAAAGTACGAAATTTTTTTTTAAAAAAAACATTATTGATTTGAAATGACTTTCAATCAATTACCTTTTATGAAAGTTTTGCGTTTTATTTTACTGGAGCGATTATTATTTTTATTTATTTACTTGTTTAGAATATTGAGTACTTAAATATAATAACGTAATTATGATTATATTATGTTTGATAGCTTTATCGTTAGATACGATTCAAAAATAATTCATTCATATTAATGAATCCGTTGTTGATTTTTCTGTTGCCCTTCTAAACTAAAATCCGGTTTCTAAACTAGTTTCGAACTTCTAAACTAATTCTAAACTAGTTCAAACTTCTAAAACTAGTTTGAAATTAATTTAGAATTCTGAATTAATTTAAAAACTAATTCTAATTTTTAAAAACTAATACAAAACTAATTTAAAACTTTGAAACTTGCTTGAAATTATTAAGTTTAGAAAGTTTCGAAATTTGAAATAATTTTCTAAACCAATTTCAATTTAGAATGATTCTAAACTCATTAGTTTAAAGGGCAGCTTTACTGTTGGGTCAGATGAAACAGTTATTACTTCTAAATGATAATTATACATATGTATGTTAGAAGTTACATTGATTCATGTTAAAATATTTTATTATAATTTTGTTTATTACAATCGAAACTTTTAAAAATATCAAATTTTGTTCGTTTCTTAAAAAGGATAGAATTTTCCATTTGTGATTACAATAAGAATACTATATATTATTAGTAGGTTATTATCGTAATAAATATTCTGGCAACAACGTAAATTAACTATGGGTACATTCACACAAGATCAATTAGATTGTATTTGAGACTTTGAGTTCACCCTTGATCCCGGTTCCCGAACTATATTTATATTCATTTTGATTTGGATTGGATTGTCGACAATGATAAATTTCCAATCTAGGGTATTACCACGATCGACTAAACCACCACCACCAACCACCTTTCACCACGCGTCAATTTTTTTTTTTAATCTTTAGGAATTAGGATATATTAAAAGTCTTGTAACACAAATCTAACTTATTTGTAAAACACAATCCCAACGGTTAATCCATATTGAATTTGTGAATTGCACCCTATAAATAAACATACCAATATTAGTTAAATCATTATATTCGATCACCGTGCTCGATAATTATTATAAAAAGCAAGTTTAACAAAATTTTCTTTTTATTAAAAAGAAATTGTAAGAAAAAGTATTATATTTAATATTTAATAAAGTTTTCCTTAGAATTCTATGATCAGAAGTTAAATTAAACAAATTAATTAAAACGAACACATGTGCTCCTTATGGGAATATCTTTAGAACTTAGGTCAGAAGTAATGTTAAAAATGCATCTACAGTATTATTAATTACACAGAATTTAATTTTTCTTTGTTCAAAACGCCAAATACTCGATGACAAATCATTATGGTTTTCATTTACTTATTTGTCAAATTCAATATTCATTTAATAGATTACGTGAACGCCAATTTATCATACCTTTGTGTAACCTTTTGTTTATACCTACTCTCTAGCATGCTATCAATGAATTCTGGAATAAAAGAATTTTTGTTTTTATTGTTCGCAGAACTCGTCAATTGGCTATGATTATTATTATTAGACGGTAAATATTTACTTTTGGTATTTTAGTTATAAAACAATACCCCTGAAATTATCAACTGTTATAATTTGCGACGGCGAAACCGAATACATTCGTATTCTAATGATAAAGCTAAAACACAAGGTTTCTATATTATATTTTAGGAAAACGGAAACCGTTTGTAATTTTATGGATCATTCGAAAAGGAAATAGTACGATCTGGGGAACATTTAAAAAAAAAAAGGAATTTTTAACATTTTTTTATTATAACGTTATTGCTACGCAATAAATTTTACTGAAATTAGATGATACTGATAATCTGTTATACAAAAATAATTCTTTCTTTAAAGAAAAATTATGTATTCATTATGTTCATTCTGTTCATTCTGTTCCTGCTGTTCCTGCTGTTGCTGCTGTTGCTGCATTGCATATTTAAGAATTCCTCGATATTTAAACAAATTTAAAGTGCTAATCAATGACTACCGTTAAAGTTAAAAGATTTGATAGATAATCCAGATCATCTAACTAATCTTTTGATTAGATTCATTAGATTCATCTATTATTGTATTACAAATTTACAATTACAATATAAAATAAATATAATTAGAAGCGTAATAAAAAGTTGTTTAATAAAAAAAAATGGTTTCTAAAAAATTATTAAAATTATTTTCACTTAGTTTAGTTATAGTTATTATTGTTTTCTCCATTTACTATGATGTAAATAACTTTAGCGCGTATATTAGTAAGGTTAGAAAGTCGGAAGAACCGCCATATCCTAAAGTTCCCGGAATAAAAAAAATCGATGTAGGAGAAGGCGACGATACTTGGATTTTAACTGACAAAAATGAAGTAACGTAGTAGTTTTTTTTTTCATTTTAAATAATATTAAGATTTTCATACGAATCTCGAGTCTTATATATATTCAATTCAAACTCAGCTTTATCACTGGAACCGTTTTAAAAAGACGTTCCTGTATGAGAGGAACCATGTTTTCGACTTCGCAGTTGGATCAGATGGCAGCATAGTTTATATTGATGTTTACAATAGTGTACACATCAGAGATTCAATTAGTTCGTGGTAAAATATTTATTTCAATTTTATACATATCATTTTATTATTATTCATTTACGATTAAATACTAAATAATTGTTTCATAAATTTTTTTTTAAAAAGGCATATTATTTATGATTCGAAATATTACAAAATTTCGCGGATTTCGATTTGTGATTATAATACAATTTTTCTTGTGGACACCTTTCATAACTTAATTAAAGGTGTCTATGATAGTGGAACTGATCATTATAGCTGGGACTTAACACCCGGCCATTTTTATCAAGCTTCCTGTGCTTTTCATGACTATTCGTTGTGGGCAATATGCGAAGATTATGTTTATCTTTATATAAATAAATTTAAAAAGTAAGTTTTAAAAAATTTTTTTTTCTCTTTTTTTTTAAAAAAAAAAAAGAAAATCATTTTCAACGATTAATCTTTATATTATCTCTCCAGAATCCTTCGATCAGAAGTTGTATTTATATACATTAAAGCACTCTCAAAACAACATGCAATTGGAATTGATAGTGATAATACCCTATGGGAATATATTAATGGGACTTGGACTTGGGTTAGAAGTAACGTTAAAAGCGCCTCGATAAATTATAGCAATGATATTTATTATGTTGATAATAACAATTTGATCTATAAAAAACCAAAAGATTTAAAAAGTTGAAAACTTTTCGTATCATTATCACGTGATCATTGCAAAATTTTTTGAACATAATCAAAAAAAATTCACAAAAATCGGCCAGCATTATGACATTGGCTCACATTAAAAAATTAGCATAATGCAATTAATGCATGAAAAATAGGATTTTATGCACTGAAAAACATATAATTCAAATTACTGTAAAGTCCCGATATAAGCATTGAAAATAAGCATCCCTTACCAGAATTATGATAATTTTGGCCTACATTATGATGTGCTCGGCTGGCATTACATACGAAACAGGGTGCTTATTATCAGAAATGTTTTTAGAAATTAGCTTTTTTATACACTATACCATTATTTGCCACAAATATATCAAATTTGATAATTGATAATATAAATATTTTTCAATTATATTATACTTTTTCATTTTTATACTAATTGAAATTTATATAAACATTAAAAAGTAAAGAAATAAACTCAAAATTATGCAAAAAAAAATAAATTAAAAATTAATATTATTGTTAAACTTAACTATAATTACTATAATTATCATAATTATCTAATTATTTTACCAGTTTATATAATTATAATAGTTAAATATAGAAAATTGATACATATTACCAGAATTCTGAACAAATACTGTTACAACTCACATTTGAGTTTACTTAGAGTTTATATTAAAATTTTTCAAACATTGTGTATTATAGAAGTATTTCAAACTTTCATTATTCTATATTTAACACAACTAATAATTCAATTTTAATAAAATTTATATTATTGAATTCATCTCAATGAGAAAATTCTAATAATAGTAAAATCACATTTATAGTTTTAATATTAATAGAGTTATGCTATAAAATGTATTTTTACTTTTGTATTTAAAGTTTATTTGCAAATTATATTAGTATTATTTAGAGTATTACAATATTTATATAATTATTAACTTTGTACTTTTTATATTTATTTAGAGGTATCTTTGAAAATCACAAAAGAAGAATTATCATATAAGTGGTTGATTGATATATTTATTAAAACAATTTAACAATTTGTTAATATTTTTAATAAGTAAATGCCTTTTACTAAATATTTCTTTTTAGATTTTTTCATTTCATTTTTTTTATTTTAGGTAAATAAAAAAACTAAAAATCTTTTTCTCAAATATGAACCAAATGCATTTGAATAAGTTATTTAAATCCTTAAATTTTTATCAAATTACAAATATTATTATAATGAATTTAATAAATAAAAATTTTGATAAATTTATATAAGATGAATAAGTCAAAAATTAATAAGTAAAAGATTAAAAAAATTTATATTATATAATTAAATAAGAGTATATCATATGTGCCGATTTTTGGAATTAGTCTAAATTAAGATTTTTATAAAAATTTAATATTTTAGTAAGATTAACATTACACAAATCTAAATTAAATGTGTTACATATTTACGTAACTCAGATTTAATAAAAAATAAAAAAAATTTTTTTAATCAATATTCAAAAATAACGGTAATAACCACTTCTTTTTCCCCATCACTGCCCATCACTTTTCCATTATTTTTCTATTCACTTTTATTAAATATGACAAAAAAGTTTATAAGCAAATATAGCAGTTATTTTTAAGTGGTAAGTAAAAGAAAAAACTTAATATTTTATATACATAGATAAGATATATTTTTTCATAATTTTTAGCTTTAATTTATTGTTTTTTCTTTGTAAAAAATACATGCAAATAAAAAATAATTATGATGTAAAATAGTTGTAAAATGAATAATAAGATATTCTTTTTTTTTCAAAATAACTAATTATATATTTGTTTTTTATCTTTTAAAATTATTTTATTAGATTTATTCTACTAAAATCCTTAAATGGCAAATAAAATCTTTTAAATAAAGTAAAAGAATTTGGGATTCTTTTATGAAAGCATTTTTTGGTATGAAATAAAATTTTCAGATCGGACTTTATGCAGGTGACAAAATCGTTCATTATTATTCTTAGAGATATGCTAACGTCATCATTTTACATTCATTTGAAAGCTGAGAATTTGCTTTATCGTAAGAATCAAAGATTAGGAAAATTGGATTACTGGATGAGGCGTAATTAACGATAAAAGTTAAATCAAATTTAAAAATTAAAAATAAATATATTAGACGTAATTATTCACAATCCAGTGATTCAATTCATTCGATTTTAGGCTTATTAGATAGACCTCAATTTTCTCTTTCAAATGAATATAATTTCATTCGTGTAGCTTGCATTTACAGGTATTTAATGAATTTTTTTATATCAGATTTTATCAAACTTATAAAATTTTATATTAATAATATAATTGATGATTCCTAAACATCTACATATATTAAATGAATTATTTTAAATTTATTTTAAAGATAAAAGTTGGCATCACCTTAGGGAGCAAAGATCATTCAAATTGAATCACTACATGTGAAGTAATTAATGATCAAATTTAGATAAAATTCAATAAATATACTGAACGTGATTACTGAACAACTAGTGATTCAATTCACTTGATTTTAGATTTATTAGATAGATCTCGATTTTCTCTTTCAAATGAATGTAAATTTATTTGTATAGCTTATTTCTACGAAGAATTATCAATGATTTTGTCATGAGAGTTATATTTGATCTTTTAAATTTTAATGATATCTTATATTAAAAAAAAATTAAAAATTATATAATTAATTAGTTTTTTTTGCATTATCTAGTATAAATTTATTATTCTTATATAAATGATAATTTATATTTGCTTTAATAAAATTATTTTTGTGTAAAAAAATTAGATTCCAAGGATCGGCCCATATGTGAATTATTTAAATAATAATATCTTTATTTTTTTAATACTTATGTAATACAATTTAAAGTTTAAAAAACTTTTTATTTCATATAATATAAATGGAATAACAAATGTATTAATTATAAATATTATAAATAAAACTTTTATAATGTTTTAGATTATTATAACGAAATTTAAACTGTATTTAAATTAAAAAAAATAATTTAAGATCTTAATATTAATAATTAAACTATTGCAAAGCTTATTATAATAAATATTTTTTCAAATTATACCATTTTTTTTAGTTTTTAATATTTTAATAGCTTTCAAATAATAAACAATTATGATATTTTAAAACTATCAATTTCAATAATACTTTTAATATTATTAAGAGAGCACTTACTGAAAATCCCATTTTTATTATAATTACTACAACTATTGACTCTAATTTTTCTATTAATATGAGAATTCATCATTTGAAAAATTTATAAAAAGAAGCATTAGAAAATGAGATAAAGAATTTAGACTTATTTTTACATAAGCTTAAAATTCAATTTGAATTTAAAAATAATGTCATAAATATAAAAGATATATTTGATGAGATGATTGAAAAGAAAATAAAAGTTAAAAAGTAAGATAAGATTAAAGTTTTTGAATAAAACAATTAGATAAAAATTATATAAATATATATTTATAATTAGTATATAAAAATAATATTAGTTAAATTTTTAATTGCATCTAGTTAACTATTTTTTATTTATAAAATTTTAATAAAACTATTTATAATTTCACTTGTATTAGGCTTTATTTTTTAAATTTATATGTGATATATTTGCTTTTACCAATAAATATAAAAAATTTAAATAATATATAGCTTTTTATTTTCAACTTAATAAAATCTCAAAAAATAAAATTAAAAATATTTAAATATTTTTCTGTTATAATTTTATAATCTAACAGACATAATGAGCTAATTGTTAAAAAACTATTGTATTATAATATTTTAAAAAGCTGTTTAAGTACTACATAATTTAATAATTTTATAAAAAAATGAAAAAAACTATATTTAACAATTTATACAAGTTTTTGCTTAACTGTTAAGTCTAAATATTGAGATAAGGCAATTATATAAAATTAAACATCTGAAATATATTAATAAAATTCTTGCTAAAGGAATAAGAACTGTATAATATAAGATTTATATATATATTTTGCATTTTTTTAAAAAATTTACATTTATTTTAATATTTATAACTAAGTTAACTAAGTTCAAGTTTGAGAAATTAAATTTAAAATAATTAAAGAAAGAGTTATAAAATTAAAAGAAAAGCAGTTATAAAATATAGTAACTTTTAACTAAATTTATCATTACTAATTGAAATTAAATACAGTATTAAAAAGCTATAAAATTTAAATAAATTGTCAGAAAATATAATCAGATTTTTTTGTAATACAAATAATATTAATAAAATAATATTTTTTTTTCCAATAATTATAATTTTAAATATAAGATTTGAAAATATGTATAGTAATTTTAAAATCATTTTTATTAATTTGTAAAAATTAAATAGCTATTATAAGAAAATATAGGTGAATTTTATATTAGTGATAATAGGATATAGAAGTAATTTATAGAATAGTCAAAGTTTTAATAGATTAGTTATGCACATAGCAAAAATTTCTGTAATTTCATATAACTAATACACTTATGAATTACACTACTTTGCAAAAAAAAAAAAAAAAATTGTTAAGAGTTAAAATACTATATAAAATTGTTAATGAAAATTTGAATATTACTTTCTTTTGAACATTTCTATATTAAAAAATAAATCAATATATTTTTTTTGCTTAAAACTCTTTAGTTATATACGAATATACTTAAAGCTATATATATACAATTCTCATCAGAGTTTTTGCAGTTAATATTCTTAAAGAAATAAATGTTTTTTTTGAAAACACTGTTTTTTTTGAAATAAATCTATATTTATTTATTGCATAGTTCTTTAGTAATAAAAAAGCTACAAAGTAATGTATATATATGGATAAGTTTTTAATAAAAATCTATAGAATTTAACCAATACAAAGACATATTTTTATTAATAAAAAAACTATAAACAGTTAGAAAAATTATCATTACTAAATTATTAAATCATTATTATATTATAAAATTATATAAATTAATACTTTATAAAGTAATATTATGAAATTACTAAAATTAATATATTATAATATAATAAAAATTCAAGTTGCTGGTTATTCTTGTAACTAATTAATTTTAAGAATAATTAGTAACTAAAGTACTAAACCTGATTTAAAAGATTAAAATTAAAGAATTTTTTTCAAAATTGAGATTTTTATTGCATTATATCTTTTGATATAATTAGATTAAATATAATAACTTTTAAATTTTAACTAAAAAATTCTTTTACTTTGATTTTTTAAATCAGATTTCATATAATTTTTTAAAGAAAATTTATAAAATTAATATATATATTTTTAAAAAAATAATGAATTAATAAAATAAAAAAAACAAAAAATATTTTTAAAAGAATTTTATAATTTATTATTATAGTAATATATTACTAGTAATGTTATATACTAAATTATAGTAAATTACCAGATTTTTAAATTTACTTAATAATATAGGCATTTTGTAATAAAAAAGGATAAATCTACTGAAAAATTCAAATTTTCTTTTATATGCTAAAAATATTCTAAATGCTATAATTTGTTCAGATTTTATATTAACTCATTTTTAATTTTTTTTAGTAGTTTCATTCTTTTTTACTGCCAAATGCCTATATATAATAAAATTAAAGATTTTTAAATTGCATAAAAGTTTATAAACTTTTAATAAAGTCAGTCAAAAATTCTTTTATTTAAAAACTAATTTATTAATTTTTTTTTTTCTTTGTAAAGGCGTGATCATGTTTATTAATAATAATGTTAAAGTAATACAATATATTTACAAAAGTAAAATAAAATAAAGTATTCTAAATTAATTTAAACATTATCAATATACTGCCTTTTCTGAAGGAAAAGACTGACCTATCACTTTGAGATTAAAGATGACTTGTCATAATAGATCTAAAAATTTGACCAATAATCTTTCTTGTCGAACATTAAGCTATTTCATAATTCCTAACATGAACTTACTATTTTATCTAATTTATTGATCACTAATTTAGTTTTGTTGGTCGACTTTTTCATCTTAGCATTAATCCTTTTCTAATATTTTAAATCAACTAATTTAACATTCCTAAAAAACTAATTATTAATAGTTATTAAAATATGATTAAAAATATCCAATTTTAAGAATGCAGAAAATAATTTATTTACTATAAAGTAATAGATAAGATAATTTTATATGTAGTAAAATGAGAAAAACATATAGAAGATCATTACTTATACTTTGCAATAAGAGAATTTTTTTTTTTGTTTTAATATATAAAAACTAAAAATAATTAGCTATTAAATAAAAAAATTGGCTAAATTTATTGAAAATTTATAAACTTTTATATAATATAAAAATCTTCAATTTTACCATATATTACTAAGTAAATTTTATAAATTTAATAATTTATTGTATATTATCAATTATCAAATTTTATAAATTATATAAAAATTATATAGTAATATAGTAGATAGAATTTTGTATACCAGCCATACTATAAATAAAAAAAAAAAAAAAATTTTGTATACCAAAAAATTCAAATTTTTGGAATAAATAGGAAAAATGAATTATAATAAAAATATAGTTATATAATACTAATAATTAGTATCTTACATATGCAACTTGAAATGACTTGTATAGGACAAATTTTATTATATAAAAAATTGATTTAAAACTCAATTTAATTCAAACTCGTAAGGAACACTACTAATAATAATATATTGCTATAATAATAAACTATAAATTTTTTTTTAAAAAAGTAATTATATAATAAATTATTTTTTTTTTAAAAAAAAAATAAATAAAATTTTTTAAATGAATTTTTATTTAAATGATTAATATTTTTTTATTTAAAATTTTAATTTATATTAAAAGTTTATATTTAATTTTAATTAAAAAAACAAACTTATTTTTTTTATATTTTTTTTGTTTTATTTACAAAGTTTTAATTAAATTTTTAAAAATAATAAAATAAATAAATATTTTACATTATATTTTTTTAATATAGATAAAACATAGAATTAAATTTAATGAAAAAAAAAAGTTATATTTAAAATCAACTTTGATGCTTTAAGTAAATTTGTATCTCTTAAACTGTAAGCAATTGTGGGTAGTGTTCCGTATGAATCAAATTTCTTCTCTGAAATTCGATTCGATTTGGACTTGATTCAGACTCGATTTGACCTCCAAAAATTATTATCTCAGGATCCAGTGATCCAATTTTGATGATCTTTTTTTAATCGATAGGTCTCGTTGCCCTAATCAAAATAAAAAAAAATCATCGAAATCAGACTGCTAGATTAAAAGATATTCGCAAAATACGTTTTTATTATTCAGGAGCAATCAGAGTCATACCGTGTCATGAATCGATTTGTGCGGAACACTAATTGCGAGCAAATTTGCCTGCAATTTTATTAAAATTTCAGCTTTCATATAATTTTATGAAAAATAAAGCAATTTTAATAAAATTTTTTCCAAAATAGTTTAAATTATATATTGTGTAGCAATTATTATCATTTATTAATTATATATTAGAAAATCGAAAATTACCTATTGGTCAAAAGTTGTATTTTAAAATAATCACAAAATTTTAAAAAACTTTGCATTTAACTTCAACGATTTCATTGATAATTAATTGTAGCTATATAAAAGCTTAATAGAATATGTAGAATTTGGTATGAGAAATAGCTTTTATTAATATGATTTTTAATGTTTAAAAGTAGGATTTTGACTTTATATAGAACCTTAGTGAAAATTTTATTATACATTTTAATTATAATATTATACTCATAAAAATTAATTTTTTTTCCTCTATTTTGTTTATTATAATGCAAAATTTTTATAATGAAAATAAAAAGTTATAATAAATATTCAAATAGAGAAAAAAATATAATAAGAAAAGTTAAGATTTTACTATATAAAAATTCTGATACTATTTTTGTAGGTTAATTTCTCATCCAATTTTAATGATCAACCGCATATCTAACTCACATAATTTATGGCCAGAATGTAGATCAATTTGGCTGCAAAATTATGTGATGATCTGGCCAAAATTAAAGAATTTTTTATAGTGTCATTTATCCTAATTTAGAAATTGCAGGCACAATACAGTTTAAGGGATAATAAACAAAAATATACATACTGCATGTTTCTCTTAAAATTAAATTTTTTTATATAAATTTTCAATAAAATCATATAATATATATATGAACATTTCATGTAATTTAAAAAATTTTCTTTAATATATATATATTTTTATAAAATTATTATATTTAAATACTTTATAGAAATATTTTAAAATTTTTCTGATGTAAATATATTTTTATTAAAAAAAAGAAATTTATATTTAAATAAAACACAATGCAATATAATAAGAAATTAAATAAAAAATTAAAAAAAAATTCAATAAATTATAAAAAATCTGGAAACCATTAGATTCTTTTTATTAAGATAAACTTATTAATATAATTTTATTAAATTTGAATTGTATATATTTTGAAAATACCTTTAAAATAAACAATTTTTTATGATTAATAAGTAAATTCCAATTGTATTCTATATATAAATTGTTTGGAATTTTGTTATAAATTATTAAGTTAAATTTTATAAAATACATGTTAATATATATGTTCTACTATTTCAGATATTATAATTCTTTATTTAGGAATTTGAATTAACTTATCTTTAAGCTGAAATCCAGTTCCAGAAAGGTGTTTTCTAAAAAAACAAAGTAAAAGGAATGTTCTAAGTTGTTTAAACCAAATTCTGAAGGGGAAGATCAAAGGAGAAGATCAAAGACATTCCAGACTGCTCTATTTAAAGATGTGTTTCCATACCCTATCTTATGATAATACTTGCCCAGTTACTTGCTCAGATCTTGATTTTAAAAAGTTTTTTATACTGCCCTTAAAAATTCCATAATAATTTTAAAAAATTCATGGAAATTTAAGTAGGGTGAAAATAATTCTATGTATATTAATTTTTGTTTCAATTGTATTTTGATTTTTTGATTTTTTGAATTTTTTGAGAAAAAATACCTGTTCTTTTTATAAGACCTTCTAATAAATACCAGATATATCATAATGGAAGATATTTTTTAATCAGTTCTATACATTCAATATATTTATTTATTTTATTTTTACATATGATATAAATTACAAAGCTTTCAACTTTTCATTTTAAAAACTAAATTATCATTATCAATAAAATAAATTTCACGAAGATAATTAAGAGTTGCATATTTAACATATTTCCTAATCAAAACCCAATTTCCATCACGATATTTCCATAAGTTATTATTGATATCAATTCCAATTATATATTGATCATTAAAAACTTTAATTTGTTTAAATGGAGATTCTGATATAGCAATACTATTAATAAGGTAAAAAAAATTATTAATTACTCATCTTAAAAAAAGAGAGATAAATAAAAAGGTTTACATACTATTTTTTATTAGTAGAGTATTTATAAATATAATGATCACTGCCTATGATCCATAATGACCTATAATCACTATAATCATCATCCATTTGAGAAATAGGACAAGAAATTTGATAATATTTTTTTAAACAATCCACTAAAAAAAAAAATGAATGTCAATTGTATTTACAAAAAAAACAATTCATAATATACTTTACATACAACATGCCCAGCTATATGTGTCAGGCGAATCATAAAAAGCTTGAATTAAATGATTACGAGAATCTATAGTATAAATCAAATAAGAACTATAAACGGAGACATTTTTATGTTCATAATTTCCATAACTAATTCGTTCCCTTTAATAAACATGTTAACTTATTTTAATCAATATTATTTTAAAACAATATTTGATATTTGTAAATAAAAATTGAAAAACCTTTTACCATTTATCAGTTCTAATATATACTTCATTATCTTTTTTAGTAATAGCTATAGTTCCATCAGCTCCAATAGAGAAATCTAAAACATCAGATTCCTTAAATATCAAAGATTCTAGGACCGGATACCAATGAAAAAGCTATGTAATATATTAAAGTGCATGTTGATATTATATTAAAAAGGCAATAGAATCATTTTGTACATTACACTTTACTTCATTCTCTTCTGTCAAAAACCAAATATCTCGTCCATAACTATCAATTTTTTTCGGATTTTTAGGATGTGGAATTTTACTAACTTGTTGATCACTCAAATCATAACTACTATTAAAAAATAAATAAATGAACAAAATAACAATCGTTCCAACTTTTAAGTGTAAAAGTTTAATAAATGAAAATTGGCAAAAAGCCATGTTTCTTTCAAAATCTAAAAATTTTTACGTTTCAAATAAATAGAGATAACCAATGTCGTACAATCGGCTACTTACACGTGATATATCTTCATCAGCATCCTTAAAGTATCAAGGTAAAAATGGTACAATGTCTTATGATTATAAAGTATCTAAACCCGAGAGTTTTGATCATATTTCACATATATATTTATTTATTTGTTGTATATTATACATATTTACAAATCTTTCTGCTTTTCATTTTTTAATTCTAAAAACTAAATTATCGTTATCAATAAAATAAATTTCACCAAGATAATTAAGAGTTGCACTTTTAACATTACTCTTAACCAAAACCCAATCTCCATCACGATATTTCCATAAGTTATTATTGATATCAATTCCAATTATGTATTGATCATTTAAAACTTTAATTTGTTTAAATGGAGATTCTGATATAGCAATACTATTAATAAGGTAAAAAAAATTATTAATTACTCATCTTGAAAAAAAAGAGATAAAATAAAAGATTTACATACTATTTATTAAAAGAGTTTTTACAAATATAATTCTTGCTATCTATGATCCATATTGAATTAAAATTATCTTCATCACCCATTTCAAGAGGGCAAGAAATTTGATAATATTTTTTATTACACTCTAAAAAAAAATTATTATGAATGAATGTTAATTATATTTACAAAAAAATAATTTCTAATATACTTTACATACCGCAATTCCAGTTATATGTGCTAGACATCAAATCATAAGAAGCTTTAATTAAATGATTACGAGAATCTATAGTATAAATCGTATAATAATCATAAACGGAGATATTTTTATGTTCATAATTTCCATAACTAATTCGTTCCCTTTAATAAAAATATTAACTTGGTTTAATCAATATTATTTTAAAACAATATTTGATATTTGTAAATAAAAATTGAAAATCTTTTACCATTTATTAGCATGAATAGTTCTGATATATACTTCATTATCTTTTTTAATCATAGCAACAGTTCCATCAGCTCCAATAGAGAAATCTAAAACATCAGATTCCTTAAATATCAAAGTTTCTAGGACCGGATACCAATGCAAAAGCTAATATAAAATGCATATTAATATTATATTTAATAAGACAATAGAATCATTTCATTTTGCACATTACACTTTACTTCATTCTCTTCTGTCAAAAACCAAATATCTCGTCCATAACTATCAATTTTTTTCGGATTTTTAGGATGTGGAATTTTACTAACTTGTTGATTACTAAAATCATAACTACCATCAAAAAATAAATAAATAAACAAAATAAATATCGTTCCAACCTTAAGGTGTAAAAGTTTAATAAATGAAAATTGCATTTTTTTAAAAATTTTATAACTAAAAATCTGATATAAACAAATGTCGATCGTACAAAAACCTTATTTAACTCTGCTACATACACGTGATATCCTCATCGCATCCTTGAAGTATCAATTTATGTTATAAAGGCAAATTGTATTTTTTTTAAAATATTACACGCCCATACATATCTATCTATTTATTTATCGTAATATGATACATATTTACAAAGCTTTCGACTTTTCATTTTTAATCCTAAAAACTAAATTATCATTGTCAATAACATAAATTTCTTCAAGATAATTAATAGTTGCACTTTTAACATTACTCCTAACAAAAATCCAATTTCCATAATGATATTTCCATAAGTTATCATTCATATCAATTCCAATTAAGTATCGACTACGTAGAACTTTAATTTGCTTAAATGAAGATTCTGATATAGCAATACTATTAATAGGTAAAAAAATCATTGTTACTTATTTTTGATGAAAAAAGAGATAAAATAAAAGATTTACATACTGTTTTCCATTATCTATGTATTTATAAATATAATTTTCGCTACCTATAGTCCACAAATGACTATAAATATAATCCATAAGGACATCATGTCGAAAAGGACAAGAGACGTAGTAATGATTATTTAAACAATCAACTATAAAATATTATGAATGAATGTTATTATATTTACGAAAAATAATTCATAATATACATAATATACTATACATACTACACATCCAGCCATATGTGTCAGTATTCATATTATAATAACCTTTGATGAGATGATTATGAGAATCTATAGTATAGATCTCAAGAATATTACAAACGGAGATATTTTTATGTTCAAAATTTTCATAGTAACTAACTCGTTCCCTTTAATAGGAAAGTTAACTTGTTTTAATATATATTATTTTAAAACAATATTTGATATTCGTAAATAAAAATCCTTTACCATTCATTAGCATTAATAGTTCTGGTATATACTTCATTATCTTTTTTAATAATAGCAACAATTCCACCTTCTCCAATAGAGAAATCTAATACGTCAGATTCTTTAAATATCAAAGTTTCTAGGACCGGATACCAATGAAAAAGCTAACACAATAAAATGCACGTTAATTATTTTTAAAAAGGGTAATAGAATCATTTTACAAACGATTGAACATAAAATGGTTACACTTTACTTCATTCTCTTCTGTCAAAAACCAAATATCTTGTCCATCACAATCTATTTTTTTCGGATTTTTAGGATGTGGAATTTTACTAACTTGTTGATCACTCAAATCATAACTGCCATTAAAAAGTAAATAAATGAACAAAATAACAATTACTCCAGCTTCAAAGTGCAAAAGTTTAATCATTTTTTCAAAAAGAAAATATTCCCAATTAAACACGAATAAACCAGATCTGACAGCATCAATGTCGTACAAAAATCTTATACGCAACACACGTGATGCCTTTTCTTATTCATGCCCATGGGTTGAAGTTTTTCTAGTTTAGTTACTTTGTTCCTTCCAACTACGATGTACTTACCACCTGTATCTGTCATTATTTCAAAAAAAATCCATGTTATAAAGGTAAAAAATGGTATAATATCTTTGAAATTATGAAGTATCTAATTTTAGTTTAAAAAAATATTACATGTATATTTTTTTTGTGGTATAACACATTTTTACAATGATCATTTTTAATCATTTTTAATCTTAAAAATTTAAATTATCATTATCAATAACATAAATTACTCCAAGATAATTAATAGTCGCACTTTTAACATTACTTCTAATCTGAATCCAAGTTCCGCTATTATATTCCCATAAATTATCATAGTAATCAATCCCAATTACGTATTTTTCATGTAGAGCCTTAATTTGCTTAAATACAATTTCTGCTACGGGAACACTAAAAATAAAATATGATTTCATGATGTAAGCTATAAATTTTTATTTTAATTATAATAAAATAAATAAAGGTTTACCGTATAAAATAATTAACATATAAATAAACATAACTATCGGGTCCTATGATCCATAATGAATTATCAGGAGCACAAGAAACATAATAATATCTTGAATTATCAACTAAATTATTTAAATAGTATTTAAATTAATGCCATGCATATTAGATAGCAAATTTTTTTTTAAAAAAAAGCAATAATCATACCGTATTCCCAATTATATGTATTGGAATTAATATCATAGACACCTTTAATAAGACGATTATTATCATTTATTGTATAAATTGTTTTATAACTACAAGCAGAAATCTTATTGCTAAAATAATAACTTCCATCATCGATTTGATTCCTTCATAAAATATAATAAATTAATTAAATTTTAAAAAGAAAGAAAATGATAAGAAACTTACCATGCATTAAGATAATAATTTCTAATATATATTTTATTATCTTTTTGAATACAAAAAACTATTCCATCTGATCCAATAGTAAAATCTAAAACATCGCTTCTAACGTAAAGCAACTCGCTTCTAACACTAATCCAATGATAAAGCTATTAAAAATGTAAAACCTTAAGGATTTATCTTTCATGACAGCGATGTAGCTTAAAAAATTTTTACATTACTTTATCATCATAAGTTAAAATCCAAAAGTCTTCTCCTTGTCCAACATCAATTTTTTTGATTCCAGGATTATTAGGAAATGGAGGTACATTCACTTTACTAATTTGCATGTTAATGACATTTAAATCATTGAATATCAGATAAATAATCAAAATGATAATCGCTCCAATAGAATTAAGCCGCAAAAATTTAACAAATGGTAATTGATAAAAGGCCATTTTTTTTTTTGATAGAGAAAATTGTTAATCTTACAATAAACTTTATTTAAACTTTATTTAAATGAATATGTTTGTAACACATAAAATCTTGATTTTTAATGCAGTAACTGTGGCAATGATATGCATTTTGTATCCAAAAAACCCCCAAAATATGAGCTCGAATCAACTTTATTTATTTATTATAAGAAATTTTATGTACAACTGATAATAATGTTATTGTTCAGTCGATTAGAAATAGGCAGAATTTAAATACCGATATTTTTATGAGACGTTCAATATTGAAATCAATATTAGTAGCATTAATTCCCTATTGGTCACCGCTGAATGAATGAACTTATTGGATGGGTCTTCTCTATTCTCCCATCAAGTAACTATAATTATTAAATAATAATAATTTGATAATAATTTGTATAAAAATACAAAGATGTATTATCAATAATAAATGATAAAAATTTCTCCACCAGCATAATTAATGGATGCACTTTTAACGTTCTTATTTTTCCATTGCCAATTACCATCTTTATATTCCCATAAATCATTAGTATTATCTATTCCAATAGCGTGTTGGTCAGAAAGAGCTTTGATATACTTAAATAGAGCTTCCGATCTAACAATACTAATAAATTAAAAATAAATAAAAATTAATTATTAAAGAAAAACGAAGCAAATTATTTGATTTATAAAATAACATACTGTTTATTATTAGATATATATCTGTAAATGTAATCACCATCACCTCTGATCCACAATGAATAATCATGAGGAGCGCAAGAAATTTGATAATAATCATTTTTACAATCAACTAAAATATGTAAATGTTAATTTATAAATTCTTTCCAGATATCATTTTTCTTTAAGTTTCATAATACATACCGCATATCCAATCATATCTATCAGTTTTAATATCATAAATACCTTTAATGAAATGGTTTTCAGAATCAGTAGTAAAGATCATATTGTAATCACAAATGGAAATTTTTTGATGTTTAAATTGTCCATCACTAATTCTACTTTCCCTTTAATAAAAATGTCAACCCAATTAATTAATATTATTAAAACAAACTTGATATTGTAAAAAATGTTTTACCATTTATTAGCATGAATAGTTCTGATATATACTTCATTATCTTTTTTAATAAGAACAACTGTTCCATCTGATCCAACAGCAAAATCTAAAACATTGGAATCCTTATATATTAAATGTTTTATGATTGGGCTCCAATGATAAAGCTAATATAATACATAATATTAAAAAGAGAAATAGATTCACTCGAAAAGAAAATCTTAATTGAACTTAGATTAGAAAGATACACTACTTCATCGTTATCTGTTAAAAACCAAATATCTTCTCCTCGACCAATATCGATTTTCTTTGGATTCTCAGGGTATGGAATTCCTCTAACCTGTTGATCACTAAAATTATTAAAAAACAAATAAGTGATGGTAAAAAGAATAATCGCTCCAATTTTAAAATTCAATAATTTAATAAATGATAAATGACAAAAGATCATTTTGATCATTTATTCAATAATAATTTTTTTTTTTAAAAAAAAAAAGAGAGTACTTAAAATAGGTTGATATTCGTCAGTATTTACGGTAAATTCATTCTAATAAGGTGTTGATTTGATTGTTGTACGAAAAGCGGCTTGAACTGGCTAATAACAGGTTAACTCGGCTAACTTAGACTGGTGTGGATCTAAGTTAATGAAAACTATGTTTGTGTATAAAGCATTATTTTAATAATGTTTTAAAATATTTGTCTAGGTTCCTTTAATAAACGCGAACGCGAATTAAATGATTTATGCTTTAAAAAGTTAACCGTACTAAAGTAGTCAATTTACCAATTACGCTGCTCATTCTTTAATGATAAGCCCATAATCCAACCATTTAGAGACTTTTGTTTTAAAAGTAATTCATTATTTTGATCATAAGGTAAACACAAAACGGAAAATATTATAATACCACTTGGAAGGATCTGCCATACCGCAGCGTTTATTAACCTTAAATTGGTTTATTATGCTTAATTTGTTATTTTTACTTATTTGATAGGTGCAAAGCTTTTAGAATATAAAACAACTTGTCATTTACGTAATTAAGTTAAGTCATATGACTTAATTAAGGTTATTAACCCTAAGGGGATAAGGCTGCACCTCTATAAATTGATCTGTTTTTTCAATTTGTACTAATTAGCAGCAAAAAAAAATTCATATAATTAATTACATTAATAAATGATTTTGGAGAAAAAAAAGACTGTAAAATAAAATTACAACTATTTATAACATCATTTAGATTACTTTTAATAAAAAGATTTTCCAAAAATTCATATTTATTTATTATAAGATAGTGTAATAGATAAACAAATAAAATAATCAGAAATTCGAATTTTTAATATTATAGATAATATAATTATTATTTTTATCAAGGAAAAAAAGATCTCCATTATAATTAATAGTTGCACATTTAACATTATTTCTAATCAAAACCCAAGTACCTTCAATATATTTCCATAATCTGAAATAATAATCAATTCCAATTGCATAATTTTCAGAGAGAACTTTAATATAATCGAATGGAATTTCTGCTAAAGGAGTACTAATAACAAATAAAATAAATAATAATAATAAAAATAATAATAAAAATAATAATAATAATAATAATAAAAATAATAATAAATATAAAATATATTTCAAAATATATTAAAGTAAACAATAAAATAACTTACTGCTTGTTTTTATTAATATATTTATAAATCAAATTATAACGATCTTTAATCCATAAAGAATGATCATGATAAGCACAATAAATGTGGTAATAATATCCTATGTCATCAACTTTTAATAAAGAATTTAAAAGAAAAGGTTAATATGTATTAATATTGATAAATTATAAATATTATTATTTGAAATGGTTAATATATACCAGATTCCCAATTATATGTATTAAATTCATCATGATAAACACCTTTATTGAAATCAGCATAATCATTTGTTGTAAAAATTGTTCTATGATCACATAAGGAAATAGTCCGATGAGTGTGATGATCATCATCTATTTTATCCCTAGTAAAAAATGAATATTAACATTATCATTAATAAATAGAAAATCATTAATTTATTTTTATTTTACCATGAATAAACATATAAATTTCTAATATATATTTCATTGTTTTGATTAATATAAACGGCTGTTCCATCTGATCCAATAGAAAAATCGGTGACATTCCTTCGCATAAATGTCATTTGTTTCAAAATTGTACTCCAATGATAAAGCTATAATATATATATATTTTATTTTTTTCTATCACAAAAATTCAAATTATCATATAACTATAATATAATGAATTACTTTTAATAATACATTACTTTATTTTCATCTGTTAAAATCCAAAAGTCTTCTCCTCGACTAACGTCAATTCTCTTTATCACTGCATTATTAGGAAATGGTGGTAATTTTATTTGGCCAGTTTTTATGTTTGGGTTATTTATGTCATTGAAAATCATATTGATAATTAAAATTATACATATTACAATTAAAATCAAACGAATTTGTTTAGTAATTGACAATTGATAAAAAGTCATTTTATTTTTTTTTTTTCGAACGGTAAAGAAACCATTTAAAAATTATTTTAGAATGTTAGTGTACTTAATAAATTGGCGTTTTGTAACCACAAAAAAAAATCCTGTTTTTATCTCGTCAATCTCAATTTCTGCAGTAACCTGCAGGCTGCAGCATCTCGCAACTTTGGTTTTAGTATATAAATTAGTTATATAAAATTGATTTCTTACATAATAATTAGAAACAAAAATAATTATTTAGAAAAAGAGAATTTTATTCAAAAATTTTATAACTCAATAAATATAATAAAATTACACAATTATTATTAAAACTTAATTTTCTTTGATGGTAAAAATAAAATTATCAGAATCAATAAAAAAAATGTCTCCATTATAATTAATGGTCGCGCCTTTAACACCATCTCTTATTAAACGCCAAGTACCGTAAGAATATACCCATAACCTATTAGAGTAATCAACTCCGATTACGTATTCTTCAGATAGAGCTTTCATTTGCATAAATGCCATGTCTGATCGAACAATTCTACAAGGTAAAAAGGTTTATTAAAGTGATAAAAAAAAAATTTGTTCATAAGTAGTATTAAAGTATTTAACTTACTGTCTATGTTCACTTATATATCTAGAAATGTAAGAATATGGACCTAATAACCACAATGATTGATCTCGAGAAGCGCAAGAAGTTTGAAGGAAAATGCGATATCCACCAGAAGTAACTTTAAAAACAGTATGATCGATAATTGATTAAAATTTATATTTATTATCGTAAATTTAAAAATTATAAACTGTAAATAGTAACTACCTATACTTACCATATTCCCAATTATACGTATTTGTATAACTATTATAAACCCCTTTAATTAAATCTAAATTAAAGGTTGTGATAAAAATCGTATTGGAATCGCAAATTGAGATAGAATAATAAACATCATATCTCACTTCATTTAATCTTTGCCTATAAAATGAATTAATTATTATATAGAAACATATAATATTTAAATGTAAAATAACAAATCATAAAAGTACTTTACCACAAAACATTCATATTTCTAATGTACAAAAACTTATAAGATGTAATAACAGCAACTGTCCCATCCATTCCGACAGCAAAATCAGTTACACTCTTGGCCATAGTAACGATCTCTTTTCGAATTGTGCTCCAATGATAAAGCTATTGTAAATCAAAAAAAAAATAAATAAATAAAAATAAATAAAAAACGTAATATCCTGTTTTTTCATTTATTTCCTTGAAATACAATCCCTAAACCTTTTAAGAATATAATTTTATACATTACCACACCATCATCATCTAAAATCCAAATATCTTCTCCCTGGCCAACATCGATTTTTTTTATTCCTACATCTTTAGGCAATGTAGTTATTAAATTCACTTCATTAACTTGCCTATTTAAGTTACTGATATCATTGAAAAAGAAGAAAATGATCAAAATTATAATTGCTCCAATAAAAATAAAACGCATAAGTTTAATAAATGATAATTGATAAAAAGCCATTTTTTTCGTTTTTTGCTTAGAGAGAAGATAATCGAAGTTACACGCATAAACATATTTAAATAAATTGGGAGTTTGTAGCTATATACTGTAAAAATCCTGTTTTTCTTGATAATCTAATTTCTAAATGGCCCGCAGGAAATGAAATCTAGATAAAATTCAGCTTTTTAATAAAAGTTTTCCCATCAATTATACATACTAACCTAATATATCTGTCGGTATATACAGTACTTGATCGTATCATATGACATAATAAATAATGTGTAACAAATAATTTCACTCCAAAACCATTGTTAATAAATCCCCAGTAAGTAATAATAAAAAATAATTTCGTATAAATCAAATTATCATCATCGACTAATTAACGGACGTACTTTAACATTACTTTTTATCCAATTCCAAGTGTCACTACATGATTCCATAAGTTATTATTAAAAATCAATTCCATGATCGGAGAGTGATTTAAATTACTTAAATTAAATATCTGATCGAGGAAATCTACAAGGTACGATAATATAAAGTTAAAAATAAATAAATGTATGAATAAAGCAGCAACTGTACGGTATATAAATAATGTAGTTTTGTAACTTACCGAAAATATAAAATATATCTCGATGGACCTCTGAACCATACCGAAAAATCATGAAAAGCACAATAAAATTGATAATAAATACTTCTTAATTCTAAATATATAGATGTTAAAATCATAATTAACAATTGATAATTTAATATATACCATAACTCCATTTATACGAACTAGTTGCAATAAAAGCAAAACCATAGTATTAAGTTTTTGAAAAATAAAATCCTTTAAACCTATTAAAAAATATACATGTAAATATATAAAGATAATTAATACACTACAGCGCCACTATCATCCAAAATCCCAATGTCTTCTCTCCGACCAACATCAATTTTTTTGATACTTACATTTTTAGGAAATGTAACTGTTACATTCACATTATTAATTTGCGTATTGATATAATTGCTCCGGCAAAACTCAAACTCAAATGTTTAAGGTAAATGAAAAGTCTATTTTTTTGAGAGAATTTGAGCTACACATTAGTATACTTAAAAAGTAAATTGGGCGTTTTGTGATCATATTTCTGAGTTTGTACGCATTTCAATAAGAAATTCATTTTGTAAAATTTTGTAAACCAAATCACCAAGAGTAAAAAAATTGTAATTAATGGCTGCGCTTTTCAGTTGCTTAAATGATATGTCTGATCGGTACATAAAGCGGATTCAACGGAGATAAAAGGTAAATATATAAAGTTAAAAAATCAACAATTTGTTCATAAATAATTTAAAGTAATTTAATTTATTGTCTGTGTTTATAGAAATATAACTAGATGGACGTGTATTTTTTAAAAAAATTATAATATTAAGTACTACTTTTTATACGTATCAGTATAATCTTAAACGCCTTTAATTAAATCTAAAATAATGGTCGTAATAAAATCGTTTGTTATCTCAAATCGAGAAAGAAAATAACATAGTTTTCTTTCCCTTTTATAAGAAATGGTTGTCTGATCCGGACAATAATCAATTAAATGAAATAATTGATCGAGAAATTTTAAGACATTGAAATTATATTATAAATTTTAAAATATTAATTCATGTATAAATTTATCTAAAAATGTACAGTATCTCAATGGACATGTAAAGCACAAAACATTTGATAATAAATATTTAAATGTATGCATTACATTTTTTTTCGCTCATGTAATACAATTATTATATTCAGATTGGTTTGTCTCACATGATTTTATTAATGACTGATTACAATTATGTAACGACTGTAACGTAACAAAAATGTGCCAAGAGTAAATCACTTAATTTAGACAACAATTAATTTAAATTTTAATTTAACATTTTTTTTTCTTTCGTCAATAATTTTATATACGTAGGTAAAAAAAAAATGAGTTGGAAACAAATTGACGGATACTTACAACAACTTGATATTGGTCCCGATTATGAATTATGGGGAGTTGACGATAATCAAGTAAGTAAAAAGATTTAAATTGCGAGGATTTATAAGGGTTTATTAATTCTTTAATTATAAATTTGTTTAAATTATTTAGGTTTTTAAATGGAATGTTAAATCTTGGATTCATGCGAAAGGAATTACAGTTTCAAATATTTCAGTTGGAGCTGATTTTAGTATTTGGTGTACCACTAAAGATCATAAAATCTATAGATTAGTAGGTGGAATTGATGGTAAATGGTAATTAAGAATATATATAGTACAGTGTAGTATATTCAATTCTTTCTTGAAAAATTATAGCTTATATTAATTACTTTTATAGGATGAGAATTGATGGATTCTTAAAACAAATTTCTGTCGGAGATGAAAATAATGTATGGGGAGTCAATTCAAAAGATGAAGTTTTTTATAGAAGAGATAACATTTGGGTTCAAGGTATGATTATATTCTATTTCATAATTTTTTATATATTTATTTATTTATTTACCTATTTATCTTTTAATAGCTCCTGGTAATCTTTCTCAAGTTTCTGTTGGAGCAGATGGAACTTGTTGGGGTGTGAACGCAAATCATGAAATTTTTAGATGGGACGGAGAAAAATGGTAATTTTTAATTGTTACAGTATCTCCTTTTTAGTTTAACTTTATTTTTTTTAAAATTTGCTTTTTTTATTTAAGGATCCCAGTTGATGGAAGTCTCAAGCAAATTAAAGTTGCTTCAATTCATCACATTGTAGGAGTAAATGATAAAAATGAAATATATTTATGGGAAAATGGTGATTGGAATCTTATTGAAGGCGGTTTACTTAAATATGTTTCAATTAGTCCTGAGGGTAATATTTGGGGGATTAATAATAATGACGAAATTTGGCATTTAACTTATGATGAAAGAATAGCTAATATTCATGTTCTTGACATTTAATATCTGTATATCAAGTACTGTATGTATATGAGGAATTATGCTGTGGCAACTGGGCAGTACGAATTATTGAATTTAATTTAATAAAATGAATCATATTGAATAATTTCAAAGATAATTTAATCAAGAAGCATGTATCTTGCAAATAGTGCTTACCAGAATCATATATATCGTGCGGCTGGCACTAAATAATATCACGTGACAAAATTTCAAATTCAGTAATACTTAATATTCCTTTAGAAGTAATAATTGTCCAAAACATTAAAACTAATTACGAACGAGAAATATTACCTATTGTTATTCCTAAGATTTCGGTAAGTTAAAAGAGAAAGATTGGTATAAAGTTATGCTTAAAAAGTTTTGATAAAATTCAAAAACTCTCGTTTTTTCTTTTATTGAAATGAAGGAACAAGCAGAAGAAACTTATCTGAAAATACGTTAAGCGGCGAAGAATTTGGTCCAAATCAACTTGAGGAAGACGATAGAGATGAGCGGGAAATTCCAGATGTTTAGCATTTTGTCGATGCTCGTTCAAATTTCACATCCACATATCATTCTGTTTGTCATGGAAGAGTACATCGATAATGTAATAATATAATCGGACTCTCCTGAAAACCTCCTTAGAGATGAACAACAAAAAAGTTTATAATTATGCTTAATGATCGAGAAAATCATACACTATTGTAATGGACTTTCTTACACATAACATCTCCTTATAATGTTAAAATATAACTTGGAAATATATATATAATATAATTTAAGTATATAACAATTTTGTATTTAGCATTTTAATTTAAATTGTTTACTATATTCACGAGTTTTAGATATAACGGAATGAACAAAATTTTTAACTTTATTCTTATTTCAGGATAAAGTGCGGGATCACCCGAGGGGATTCGAACCAAATCCCTTATTAGCATATGATTATTAAAATTAGGAACAAAATAAAGTGATAATTTAAGATTTAATACAGTTCCATTAAATTTTCGTTAGAACAGCATCAAGGTTGATCACACTTATACAAAAGAGGAAAAATTTAATTTTTGAATATGAAATTTAAGGTTTTCAAGACATGAGATTTCTTGTATCTAGGATCAATTGTTCCCCTCCTTTCATCTTCCTTCTCTTTCTGTCTTTTCTCGTCCTTTACGGAAAAATAACCAACATAGAGATTAGAGATACAACAAATAAAAAAAGTATTTAATCGTTAACATAGTGCGGACAATTAATGAGACTTCTAAATTTTATATTATATATTATTCTGGGGAAAATAAGAAAATTAAATTTTTAGAAAATATATATATTTATTTATTTTTTTAAAGAAAATGAAAGAAATAAATTATCTCAGATTTTATTTAAATTTCTTCAAATTTTAACGTACTTAAGCACAAAATTGTATGAGAACTGTGATCAAGTTCATGAGCATTTAAAGGACTGATTTTTTTTTTTGATTTTTTTAATTTATAAATTCTGAATTAAATCCTCTAAAAGAAATAATGTATTTACATTTACTTGTAGATATATGTTCAGACTTTTTGATATGTAAAAAAATGTTTACTTCTAATTTCCATTTGCCAACAGGTTTGGCCAGAGTTATGCAGAGTTATGCACGAGCACGTGATCAAGTAAACCAGTTGTCAGTACTTGCGGTACTGGTTGAGTTCTTTTAAATGGGCGTACAGTGGGTATTAGCATACAAATGGCCCGAGTTTAGGAGTTGTACTATCTCAAATGTATTTTTATACAGATCAATTTTGTGTAAATTTGATTCAATGAATGCTAGTGTCGTTAATCTCCTGAAAGGCATGATATTAAATTGTTAATTGAAAATTAACCTTAATATAATGAGATCAAATTGATGCGAGCAATCTGAACTACTTTTTGAATAAAAAGAAAATATCAATCGCAAGTATTTCTTTGTTGAAATATAAATTAATAATATTAGTAAAAAGAACGGTATTCCTTATCCTATTGTTTGGATATCACCAGTATTAATATGGTAAATAATAGTTAAAAGTTTATATTCAAATATTGTATAATATCGAATGACAAAATAATATTTTAACAAGCGTCTAAATGTTTACTATTTAAACCTTTTTATAATAAATTTTGTGACCCTTTAATTGTATTAGAAATTGAACAACATTTCCTTTTTGTTTCTTTCGGTGAGGGGGAAAGAAGATAATTTTATAAGTTTTCTATTTCGACTTTAGAAGTAGCATACATTCTTCTAGAATATATTATGCTTTATTTTCAAAGACACCCTATTATGACCATATTTATATACTGTATAATAAATAACGCTGATTTTCTGAATTAGTAATTTTCACGGAATAATATACATATTAGAATTAGAATTATTAATATTGTCAATCAGAAAAAAAATGTAACATTAGTTATTTACCTCATGATAAGGAAATTAATTATATCTCATAAAAAATATTCACAAATTTGTTGAGCAAGAGAAAGCGCAAATATTCTTTAAAAAACTTTCCTGAAAACGTCGTAAATTAAACTGAAAAGTCCGAAATTCCGAAGCGAGATTCCGAAATTAAACCGAAATTTATGAATAAAATTTCATTATGTTAATATTCGTCAATTTCGATTAGATTTGATTACATAAGTTTTATTATAGAATGAATTGATCCAACATTTAATACGAATATATACAGTATTTAAAAATGATTTACAATTGTTACAACATGTGAAAATATAGTATCCTATTTAATTTAACTAATGCTATAAAAAAAAAATATTAATAATAGAACCTAGAAACATTTAAAAGATCGACCAGCTACATAACATGTTTTTTGATCTTTTTATTTTCTTTCTCATTAAATTGATAGGACGATCCTAAATGAAAGATTTACAAAATACGAGTTCTAAAAATAATAATTATTTTTTTTTTTTACTTAAATATGGGGAATAACCCAAATTGTAGTATTTCACCTTTCTCCCTATTATCGTTAATGAATTATACATCATAAGAAGAGTTATTTAACTCTCGTCAGTTGATTCTTCATTCTTTGTTATCGACTTTAATATTTTTTTTCATTTGTTTTCTTTTATACGAAAAAAAAAAAAATAACGCTTGGGTATTATCATATTTTAGAGTCGTTAACAATGGATAAGGATCAAAACACCGCCGCCATCCCCATTACCACCAATAATGTTTACATAACGATAAATTATGTCTTTAATTCTATTTCAATACTATTATCATTATTATTGATGGTTATAATAATCCTTCTTAGAATTAAAGATATTAATTATTCAAATAGAATTTCACTTAATTTAATTATGTATGTTTCCATAACTGAAATATTTTTCTCAATCTCACAAGTAAGTATCATAATTTTTTTTTTTTACTTTTTTTTTCAAAAAAAAAAAAAAAAATTTTAATCTTAATTCCTTATTTTCATTTTATAGATGTTTAGATTTGATAACAACTTTTTTTCAGTATGGAATTCTTACTTATCATCATGGGGATATATTTTCACCACATTATTAATTTGCTTTTTAATAATATCAATATTAATTAATATACAACTTACATTTACATATAATCATAAAGATATAATTAATATAAAAAAATACTATTTAATAATTTCATTTTGTCTCACTGTTATTTTAAGCGTGTTGCCAATTACTTTTAATAATTTTTCTTTCGATAATGAAAGAAATTATTATTGGTACGACTCAATTATTTGGGAATGGGCAACATATACTGGATGGGTTACATTTACCATTTTGTATTGTTTAATTTCATTAATCTACATGCTTTACCGTTTAAACAAATCCCCTCAACCCATTTCTCAAATAAGATTATACAACGTTTCCTTGGGTATCTCCACTACTTTAACTTCTACTATCCTCTCCGAAAAACACGCTCAATCAAATCTCGTTTCAAAATATATTTCACATATAATTTTTTATTCACTTATCCCAATTTTATCATATTTACCCTCTCTTATATCGACTTTAGTCTATTATAATACAAATAGATATTCCTTTTCCTTAAATTTATTTTCATTGATTTGTATATCATCACAAAGTATATTCACCTTTATTATATTCTTATTTGATCCTATTATTGATGAAGTAATCTTGGAACATAAAAGAAATGCTGATCATAAAAAACACGTTTTGGATAACATAAAAAAAGGTGTTTACGTTGATAATATTTATAATATTGATCGTGAATTACCTAGTAATAGAGTTCAAAATGATAAAATAAATGAGAATAAAAAGAGGAACACAATTTATAGTTATGCAAAGAATGCAAAGAATAGAATATCTATCTTAACTTCTACTGTTCTTCATAATAAGAAGAAAAGTATAGATGGTAAAGATGGTAAGAAGGACGTAAAAGATATTTTTAATCTTGACAATGAAGTAGATGACATTTTATCTCTTCTTTGAACTCTCTTTTTTTTTAATTAATAAAATTAATGAAAAAAGTGAATAAATAAACATATATAATTCTAAACGATAATATAATTTTATTAATAATGTATGATTAATTCTTCAAATTTGTAAAGTCAAAAAATAAATTGCTTCGAACAATAATTAACGTGTTTTTTTAAAATTGCCGAATGATTTAATATTTACAGCAATCTTAAAGATTTCATGTAATACTGCTGCTCACACTCGCTGTTTCGAATATATACATACATATATATATATAGGATTCCAAATATGACAATCCCGAAAATTTAAATCCCGGATCAACTTGTTCCACAGAGATGTATGCCAAGGAAAATCCTGAGGATAATATGTTGGGTAAGGATTTTAAATTATTATTTTGGTCATCGGATTTTCGATCATAACAAATTGATGTCCAAATTCTAGTTTGGTATTCCGGATCCGACACTTCAATTTGGGAAGTCCGAAACAACCTAATATAGATATCATTAATTTGCATTATGAATAGAAAAATTTAAAAGGAAAATACTATATAAAGTTGACATTTATTACATCAGGATTCAGAACGTTTATTATTAATTATTTTTAATACTTTTACACTATCAACATTTATTATATTACAGGAAACAAGTATGGGGGTGTCCCTTATCCCGAGGTTCGAATTTAATTGAAATTAAAAATTCCATGTTTAAGGGGATACCTTAAAATGTCTGTATAGATCCTTCCATAATATTCTCCCCCTTTTTCATGTATAGCATATAGTATAATTTCTTCCTTCTCCCTGAAATTTATAGAATGTCGTACAGATATAAATTTTAAGCCCTTATTTTAAGCCTTATTTATTTTATTATTTTTGGTATTTAGAGTTACCGAGAATGCGTACCTTGCTTTAACTAATGCCCCAGCAATGCTTATATTAAAAAAAATCTAAATCCTAATTCACATCAATTCAAAAGTAGAAAATTTTGAAAATGTAATGAAAAAATGAATATAAACCGTTCATTTTCAATTTTTTTCAAAGCATTTCTCTTAAAGTTTTTTTTGATTAATAAAAGATCTGCTAAATGGAATATAATGTACTATGAAGCGATTTGAAGCGTCATACTGATCAAAAGTCTGGAATTAAACCCTGATCAAATCCCGGATTTATCTGGGGTTGAAATGGATCCATGTTTCATCCCGGATTTTCCTATATTTCATCCCAGATCTTCTTATATTTATCCTGGATCTGAATTTACAGTTCCGCACGGATCGGATCGGAAAATTCGAAAAAAAATTTTTTCTGATCGACAGTCATGTGCATGCTAAGGCACGTCATGGTTTTGTGCTATTGGCTTAATCTCATCTCTATAAAGCGATCAAAGATTATTTTGATGAGAAGAATGGTCGTATCTTCACTTTTTAAAGTTTTTTGAGCCCATCATTATGTCGAGTGTAGAGGCAACAAAAGATGCGGATAAAGGAACATGGAGGAAGAAATTCGTTACACGCTTAGAAAAAATTGTGAATGACGAACAACGAAATGAAAGGTATTTTATTTTAATATTTATCTTTTTCTTTCAGTCTGTTATGACAGTTTTGCACAGCCAAAGGAGGGTTTCGTTCCCGCCTGAGGTGATGGTGGTTTCGTCCCATCGTATGTCACCTGATTGTTTAAGCTTCTCGGAATATGATTGTTCTGCACGGCTACTTACCATTTACCACATTTTTCAAGAACTTATCATGTGTAGATAATTTTTGGAACAAAATTGAAGGAAAAAAACGGAATTTACGTGAAGAATTGGAAGTAGAATAAGATGATGAGTCTAACCTACTGCGTATAATAATATATTACGTTGCTCTAACACGTGTACACCCCTAGAATTCAGTCCGCAACAATGCAGAAATAGAAGTCCAGAAGTCCAGAACTATTAGATACTGCTCGCACAGAAAAACGAAAGCAATTTTGAACTCACTGAAGTGGAAGCCTGAAAATGTAGTAAATGTTGGAAAACGTCGCGAATTACCCAAATAAGAATACGTAGTACAAACATTTATTTAATATCCTGTCTATTGAGCTCATTGCTTCTTATAATAGTAGAGGAAATTCTGAATATGATAAATCTAATGATTCAGCGGTGAGTGATACGGAAGAGAGTGATATAGAAGAGAGTGATATGGAAGTTATTGATGCAGGACAAAATTCAAAAGAGATTGATGACCTTTCTCAGGTATTATTTCTTTATTACCTTCTTTTTGTATCAATTTATGCTTACATCTGTCTTTCTCTTAGGACGAAACAGGAATTCGAAACAAGTTACTCAAAATATTGGTTGCCCGTCAAGAAAAAGACACAAAGTCCGGCAAAAACTTTATGACGTCAATCCATCTTAATGGGATATTAGATTTTTCTATGATGTGATACGCGAGAAGATAAAAAATTCTTTGGATATTGGTCAATTTACTTGGCTTGAAGAGGTACTTCGGAAAAAGACTTGGAATCCAATTCCCGAATTTACACAGTGCATTAATCAATTTACCGAGGTGAATGCACCCGAGCTAAAATTCCAACAATTGTTCGCAAGTCATGTATTATCGGAAGATTTGATTCTAGCTATTACGAGGCACATGATATTGCCCAGCAAATACTAACACACTTGTAAGTATTTTTTTATGTTAGCCAATTCTTCCCATTTCTTCACATCAATATTATTACAGTCTTACATCTACAAGGTAGTTCTGTATACCTGGAAACACCAATTAGGATTTAATCAAAAGTCTTAATTTTAAAAGAATGTATGCTATAAATACTACTGTGTATATTTTAAATTGATTGTTTAAAATGCATCAGGATGTATTAGATGTTAGATAGTAAGTATCAATTATAAATTTTGAAGTATTTAATAATTATACCCATTAATTCTTTATTTATTTCACTTAGGATCAAATTAACTACTCTTATATATATATATGTGTGTATATATACATATATATATATGACACAAAATAACAAAAGTTTGATGGAATTTTTAAGATAATTAAGACAATGTAAAAAAATCAAGCTATTATTATTATGGAGATTTCATTCGTTAGAAAGGCAATCTGTAACAAAAGAAGATGATGACCAGGTCAAACTATGTCGAAATTCCATGCGAATTCTGAATTTCCGCATGAGATGTTATTATTGATAAACGGGATGATGGAACAGCATATTCATATACATGCGATAGATGTTTATATTTAGAATACATATTCTTATTGATTTTTAAATTATACTAGTTTAATTTAGCATGATAATTATTTGATAAATTTCGTAGTCACTGATATAAAGAATACTTTATATCGGTAAAGCGTTCTTAAATTTGGAAAAATTATAGAAGTAACATTCAAATAGGTGGTATTCATATATTACCAAGCTTTAATTATTACTCGAGAGAAGATGGCACCAAAGCTCCAAGACAGTCGGTTCCAGATTTTTTTTTCGCATTATGAATTTAAAATTTAAGATAAGACAATTTACGATGGACCCGCTTATTAAGGCAGTAGAAATGTCATCATTAAGTGTGCCAGCAGCTGCAGCTGCTCCAATATCGTATGGCAATTCCAGGACAGATGCTTCCTGCAATGATACCGGGTATGACACCTAGACCAGGTTTGTCTCCTGTTATGGGTAGTATGCCTCCAGCTGATATAGAGGAGGAAGATATCTTCAAATATAGACAATGAAGATGTATCAAGACAAGGTAAACTATAAAGATTATTTTTCTATTTATTTATTTATATTTATCAAACATCTAACTTTTTCCTTTATCTGCTTAGGCTATAATCAAATAATGTACTACTACTGTAAATCAAGTTTATAACCACCAGATGATATCGTTAGGAGCGATTTGGATTTCATCTGAAAATTCAATAAATTTCGCAGATATTATCAAAATTCAACAAAAATTATTTATTGCCTACTTTATCAATTTCGGAGGAAAATCTCATGAAAATTTTGCAGAACAAATTAATCAATTCTTAGATGATAACTGAAGATATTGTAATTCAAGAATTTAATGAATAGGGTGATAGCGAACGGGATGAATTTAAAGGAAAAATATATCACGAACTTTTCTTAAAGCGACTATCTTTGGAATTACTATATATTAAAGTCGTTGGAATTTGCAGAGAAGGAAGAAATTGACATTGGAGGATTGATTAATCAAGAAAAACCGAAGAATAAATTTCAATTTTAAAGGAGACATGACAAAATATTTAGAGCAATATACATTATTTTTAATCAAACGGTCGCTGGACAATCGACGAAATTGGCGATGGCTTTTGAAATGTGGTCGAATTATTTTAAAAAGTAATCTGTAATTATGTTATGACGGGATGGGAGGGTATGTTGTACGCAGAATATTTCATCAAAATAATCCTAAATTATTCAGTTTTATAAATTAAAATAACAATTTGAACTTTTTGAACTTTGTTTTTTTTGAAACTTGAAATTATTTTTGTCTGTCAAATTATATTAGAAAAATATACTTAACGGGTATCAAAGCTTGATCGATTTTTGATCGATTTATTGATTCATCGATTCATCGATCAAAAATAACAGAAGAGCATTAATTAAGAAAAATGGATTAGAGGATTTGGATAGAGATTTAGAATTAATGATTATAATTAGGGATTACTAATTCTCACACTCATACTTTTTTGATTTTTGAAATAAATTATTCTACTCATATCTATAAAATTTTCATTTATCTATATTGTATGTGTATGGTATGGTTTTTTATTTATACAGTATAATTTTTTTATATACTAAAGTTACTTTAAATCTTCCTAATTTCTAACCCAAGCAAATCCTAACCCTAATACTAACATTAATCCTAATCTTAATATACCTATCTTAATATACCTTAATCCTAACCTAGTACTAATTCTAATCTAACTCTAACCCCAATAGATGCAACGAGGGACTTATTTATTATCGATGTAGACGTTGTATATTAATAATTCTATATTTTTATTTTCAATATTAATTTTTTTATTATTAAAATGTATTCCCTTAATAATTATTTCAGTAGTAAGTTTTATTTTTTGTTTCTTCATTTTTATATCACGTATTTCATGGATATTATTTAAATCAAATAAATATACATTTTCTTGTTTACATAAATCTATTATACCTGATGGTACATGTTTAATTATATCTGTAATAATTATTATTGGTATTGCTTTTAATCTTAACGCTGCCTCCTTTACTTTATACACATTCCTTGCTTCTAATAATGATTTATTTAATACATATCCTTTACATTCAATAACCACTACACTCCCTTCTTTATTTATTCCAAATATATCAATTCCTTCATCACCCATTACCTTAGGCTGATTCCATATTCCTTCGATTTTTGGTCGCTTCCATGTCGTTTTTGTTTTTCTAAGATTTAATTTTTGAAGATTTCCCAAAATCATATTTTGCCATGTTGGCTGTATTTGTAACCTATCAAAATCTGATTTTAATCCTTCCATTTTTATTTAATATAGATACTTGCAATTCTTTCAAAGTGCCCTTCTATTTCCTGAGTAAGGTTTTCAATTTCACTATATATTTTTTGTTCTAATGGTGTAAATCCACTAAGTAATGGTCTCAATACTTTTAAAAATTCATACCGTCGCGTCCTTTTTATTTTTAATTTTTCAATTTCATTCTGTATTAATTTTTTTCTATCTCTTCGCCTTACTGTTTCATGTTCTCCTTCATATTGATATGACATTGAAGATACTTCACCGTACTCTTTGTTTTCTTCATTTAACAATTCTTTATATTTATTATTAATCCAATTTTCACAATTTTCAATACTCAATTGTACTCGTGTTAATTCTTTTGTTGCTTGTGTCCTTAAATTTTCTAATTTAAGAAGCTCTTTTTCTTGCTCTTCAATCTCTTTACGAATTTTTTGTAAATTATTCATTTTTATTTTAAATTACCTTAAACTTTTATTTTAAACCCGAAACTTATTTATCAAGTCATAAGATTGAAACTTTAAAAATGATGTAAATTGGGTGTATCGTTACACTATGCAAAATCTTCAACGCGACAAAAAGAAATTCTTTAAACAAAAAGGTCTTTGTATTTGAAGAATTAATTCAAATGCTGGACATTGCCTAGTATGTCAACCTCTATACCTTATAATCCCAAAACCGCCGCCTTGTTGGTCATTGACATGCAAGTAAGTCGTTGAAATTATTATTCCTAAAATTTGCGCCTTTCTAAATAATGACACTTTAGTAGGAAATCTTTCGTAACGATGCTACTGATATTATTCCAAACGTACAATCTCTTGTCAAATCTTGTCATGAGAAAGGTGTTCCAGTTTTTTGGACTCAGCATGGTCACAGAAATCCTGAATTCGATGGAGGTGCTTTGGGACGATGGGTACGTGATAGTATTTTCTATTTAGCTATTTAGTAAACACTAAAAAAAATTATTTCTTTTAAGTGGGGAGATAGGCTGATCAAATGGGGATCTGACGAATGGCAAATTCTAAAAGAAATGCAGCCGTTTGTTTCTGTCAGTGTTCAATTATTCTCCAAAAATTCGAATCGGATATGATAATATTTAATATTCCATTTCGAATATTTGTACCTACTTGTCTTTTTTCCGTTTCTCTTTAGAGATCTCAAACTTCACTTGATACCCTGGACTTCATCATCAAAAGCAAAACGCGTTATGATGCTTTCTACAAGACTGAACTTAACTCTTTGCTTATCTCTCTTGGTATTGAGACACTCATCATTTCTGGCGTCAGGACAAATTTATGTTGTGAGACAACTGCCAGAAGTGAGTACAATGTATCTTTAACATTATATATAGAATTATTTATGCATAGTGAAAAGAGAAATTTGTCTGATCATATTATTATGTTGCAAATTTTTTAGGAGGATTTGACAAGAATTATGATATTGTATTCATTAAAGACGCGACTGCTACAGAAAATCAAAAAATGCACGAGGTAGGCACGCGTTTTTCCATGCAAATATTAATTTTAATATTTTTATTAATGTCAAATTACTAAATACTTTTTTGTCAATAGGCAACTCTGTTGAATATGGAGTATGGATGGGCAAAAATCGTTACTGCTATTGACGTTATTGAATGGCTTGCACACATCGGGAAAACATGATTGTAGAATATATGGACATTTTAATGATTAGATGGGACATTTTAATAATTAATAGTCATTAGATCGCAAAGTATTCACTAGATCAACTGTAAAATTATCGTTCACACCAATCGAACTATCATTTTTTTTTTTATTATATTTATCACGTGACATTATTTAATGGTTTTTAGTTTATATGTTTCTCTGGTTTTTACCTTGTTTTCTATTCTACAATATTTCTATGATTTCTAGACGAAAAACAAAAATTACATGTAGTTGTCTAATTTTAATGAAAATAAGACTTTAAAAATTATCATTAAATACATACTATAGCATAAATCTTTTCCAGCCATTTTGTGATTTTATGTTCCATTCTTTTTTCAAATGTTAAATGCATATGTAAGATCAGAAACCTTTTTACCGACACGATTTGCTAGGCATTCATCCATTCAGAGAAAGTCTTACTGCATCAAATTGAGCATTACTTATAATGAGAGAGATAAAATATTTAACAATAGAGCGTTTACAGATAACAGTCCTACAAATCTTAGTTCGCACGTGATCACTGAAGTATGATATAAATATAATGGATAATGATCTACGTGCCCTCGTTTTTTTTTCACGCACAATTCTCAATTGCAGTAATGCTACAAGTATTAAGTATATAAAGATATATATTCTTATTCACCATAGTAATCCATTATGTGATTGAATTAAAAGAATATGGGCAGTCAATAGCTCATTGCACAAACAAAGTACGATCAAACTCAGAATTAGGATGTATCGAGTTAAAAGTTATTACATATTGATGACAAAACAAATTAATTGGAATTCGATTACATTAAATCATCACATTGTACCCATCCGTTCAGCAAATAACAAATATGTACATTAAAATGGATACTTAAATATGTATTGTATGTCACTTAAATTATATTATCATAAATCAAAAAAATTATGGATAAACAAACAATAATTATATGTTTATGAAGGTAATTAATGCTTAAATAATTTATTTTATTATATTACTTTATTAACAATTAAAAAAAAAAAATAATAATTTCTACGCACTCCTTAGTGAATCTGTGAGAACTGTTGCAGGTCCCTCTTTCTTAACCATAATGTTCAAACTCTTCCTTATATGTAAGTTACGATCTGTCATATCTTCGAGTTTTGCCTTACCGCACTGCTTAACCTCTGAGATTACCAAATACCCGTCTCAACATAACATGTAGACTTATTTATTTCATAAATCAGCCGTACATTTTAATGGTTATTATAAATCAAATTTAAAATTTTCATATATTAAATCCTTCTAGTACTATCAGAATGGAAAATGTACCCTGGGTATTATACAATTTTTAAGCCAGGTATTTTGTATTATACCCGGGTATCTTAAGCAGTGTGGTACGGTAGAGGTTTTCTTTTCATCCTTTAAATTTTATAGATTTTATTAGCAAATTTTTAAAGGATATTCAATTTAAATATAACTGAATTATATAATCTTCTTATACAAATTATAGATATGGTACGCCAAGCACAATTAAACTGACGGAATCAGAAATTCAAAATGCAACTAATATTAAGATGATTGTAATTTTTTTAATTTATGATGATGATTTTATACAATCATTTTAAAGGGCCTCTTATGAAAGTCTATCGGAAAAAAATGGACGAATTAAGTTGTACAGTACAACCTTTGGTTTAGAAAGCGATACAATCAACTTATTCAAAAAGAAAATCCGAGAATTTCCGTGATGTGTTATTAATGATAAACTGGATGATGGAACAATAGATGCTTATATTTAGAATACATATTCTTATTTTATTTTTAAATTTAGATACTAGTTTAATTTATCATGATAATTATTTGATAAATTGATATAAAGAACACTTTATATCGGTAAAGCGTTCTTAAGTTTGGAAAAATTATATAAAATAAGTGGTATTCATCTATTACCAAGCTTTAATTAGATGGCACCAAAGCTTTGGATATATCTAAGACAATCGGTTCCAGATTTTTTTTTTTCGCATTATGAATTTAAAATTTAAGATAATACAATTTACAATGGTCCCGCTTATTAAGGCGGTAGAAATGTCAACATTCATTATCATTAAGTGTGCCAGCAGCTGCAGCTGCTCCAATATCGTATGATCGGTCACCAATTCCAGGACAGATGCCTCCTGCAATGCCACCGGGTATGGCACCTAGACAGGTATGTCTCCTGTTATGGGTAGTATGCCTCCAGCTGATATAGAGGAGGAAGATATCTTCAAATATAGACAATGAAGATGTATCAAGACAAGGTAACTATAAAGATTATTTTTCTATTTGTTTATTTATATTTATTAAACATCTAACTTTTTCCTTTATATGCTTAGGCTATAATCAAATAATGTACTACTGTAAATCAAGTATATAACTACCAGATGATATCGTTAGGAGCGATTTGGATTTCATCTGAAAATTCAATAAATTTCGCAGATATTATTAAAATCCAACAAAAATTATTTATTACCTACTTTATCAATTTCGGAGGAAAATTTCATAAATTTTGCAGAACAAATTAATTCAATTCTTAGTTGATAACTGAAGATATTGTAATTCAAGAATTTAATGAATAGGGTGATAGCGAACGGGATGAATTTAAAGGAAAAATATATCACGAACTTTTCTTAAAGCGATTATCTTCGGAATTATTATATATTAAAGTCGTTGGAATTTGAAGAGAAGGAAGAAATTGACATTGGAGGATTGATTATTCAAAGAATAAATTTCAATTTTAAAGGAGATATCACTAAATATTTAGAGCAAAATACATTATTTTTAATCAAACAGTCGTCGGATAATCGACGAAATTGGCGATAGCTTTGAAATATGTGGTCGAATTATTTTAAAAAGTAAATCTGTAATTATGTTATGACGGGAATGGGAGGGTATGTTGTAAAATACCCGGAGCAGTCGATATAAGCAGAGCTGACAAATAATTTCGGTCACCGGACAATCAACGAAATTGGCGATAGTAAATCTGCAACTATATTATGACAAGAATGGGAAAATACCCGGGGCAATCAAATAAGCAATGCTATGATGTAGCATCCAAGCTTAAAAGGTTGTGGCTTTGGGCTTTACCACCTTGCCAGAAACGTATGATCCTTACAGTATTGGTCATGAACTACAAGACTTGATTGACCTATATGGCTTGGAATCTTTCGTACTTCTTTCTAGTAATTTTACAACTTCCGCCAAGCGTTTAAACATTGAAATTTAGAACTTTCGATACTGTTGGACCAAATCATATTCATTGGTCATATTATTACTTTAAATTTTCGCGTTTTTATTTTTGAATTATGCCAATAGTCTTGTGGTCTTTGACCGAAAGTCATTTAAAAAAGGTGATATATTGATATACTGATATGACCTAGTTATTTTCGAAACTCCAAAATCTTGTTGATATGAAAATACCTCTTAATCAGTGGGACTGGGACATGTCCTTGGATGGGACGGGACGGGACAGTCCAGGACTTGGACAAGATGTTGTTGATGTCCGGGACAAAAATTCATTATAAGAGGATATATGATTTATATATAATATTAATAAATTGGACAATGTTTTAGACGGGACGGGACGGGACAAATGAAATTGGATTTGGACAGGACATCGAAATTTTGTGGGACACTGTCCTGCGGTAACCATATGTTAATGCTATTTGTTTTTGGTCATGATCACATTAGTTTTAAACCGAAGCAGTTGATTAGTTAGAAAAAATGGGACAGCTAAAACTTGGGGGGAATTCAGTTGATGTAGATGTAGATGTAGATGTAGATCTTCGATTTTCTTTTTCAATAGTAAAATTCGAGTTATGAATTTTAGCACTCGTTGCAGTCGTATACTCCGTATAACTGGGCATTATTGGAGGGGAACCTGCAGATCATCCAGTAAAATTTCGTATAACTGGGTATTCTTGAAGGATGGACTGCGATTTCTATATTTGCAAGTTGTAACTGATCCTATTTATAAGGAGATGATTATGACGCTCCTTTTAAACTACTACAATGATATTTCTTATCCATCTACCAAAATACCAAAATTTAAGTATAATAGAAATCAAAGAACTCTATAATTGCCTATTTCTTTAATATTGTCAAACTGTTGTATAGTATCCATATAGTATCCATTCAAATATTAGTAATTACGGGGCGGTAACATTTAGTTTACATCAGTCATTATAGTAGTAATATAATAAATAGTTATTGGATGAGGGAATCGAAGAATTTATAGTTTTGTTATTAGGAATACTGCGGTGACCAATAGAAATTAATGCTACTAATACTGATTTTAATGGATGTCTCAAAAAAATACTGGTCAGAAAAAAGTAAAATTCCCGCATATTCCTAAATCCTAATCGACTGAACAATAAAGTATTTCCTTTCATTATAAAAAGTAATAATTTTATTAAGTATGCCTAGGGATGATTCTAGAACTTTTAACTATTTAGGATTATACAAATATTATTTTACAAAGGATGCAAAAAGCGTTAAACCATCCTCCATCCTGATCGATGATCGGATGATTTTAAAAAATGATTGTCTAATTTGACGATCAAAACAATGATTAACTTATTTATCGCAGAATATTTCACCAAAATAATCATAAATTATTCAATTTTATAAATAAAAATAACAATTTAAAACTTATTGAATTTTGTTTTTTTGAAACTTGAAATCTGTTAAATTATAATACTTATCAGGTTAACTTAAAGATTCTGATCAATCAAAGCTTGATCGATTTTTGATCGATTTATTGATTTATTCATCGATTCATTGATCAAAAATAACAAAAGATAAAAGATTCGCATAATAATTAATTAGAGAAAATGAATTTAGTTTAGTTTAAGGATTTGGATAGAGATTTAGAATAAATGATAAATGATTATAATTAGGGAGTATTGATTATAATTAGAGATTATTTGATTAAGTTAGATTAAGTTAGGAAAAGTTAGGAGGTTGATAAATTGTGTCACGGGGTCCCTTAATGTAACAGTGAGTATTAACATACGAACTGGCCGGAATTAACGTTAACGCTATCGTGTGTAAGTGCATAACTCCCAAACTCGGGGCCAGTTCATTTGTTAAATATCGTACACCCACACTGTACGTTAAGGACGCCCTTGTGTCACATCCCAACTGTACTTAATGGGCATACCCGAAAAAATAAATCCGCTAAATGCGTTATCTGTTACCATATTTCTTTGTTAAGGTTTATTGTTGTATTACGCGATGATGCAATGGACATTTATTAAAAAAGACCTATTATGTAAACCTGTTACTGTACCGAGTAACTTTTTTATTGCAAGAAAAAAAAAGAAAATCAAAAGTTATGAAATAACCTAAGCCCTCTATGATACCGGACTTGATGAAAAAAAATTAAACCTATTGATATCGATTGATAATTCATTGATATCGGATTTGAAGGAGAAAACATTGAAGATTATAAATTAATAAACTAAGTCCGTTTGATAACGGCGGACTCATTCCGTCATTTCCGTGTATGATTTATTTCGTAATGATATTAATTATGATCAAACGATAAAATTTTCAAAGAATATAACATTCAACCGGTTTTTTTTTTTTGTACCAAGCTAAGCTTTTTTTTCTTAATAAATTATAAATTAATAAAAAATTATTGAATTTTTATTATAAATTCCGATGAAGAAATAACATTGTTCAAAAAAAAAAAATTAAATTTCAATATTAAAAATAGAAAAATTATTCTAAAAAAAGGTACATACTTACATACTTTACATAGTAAAAAATTTAAAAATAAAAGCAATTTTTTATAAAAAAAAAAAAATTATTTAATACTAATTTAGGATATTGTAAACAAACAAAAACGACAGATGACGAAAAAATAAATAAATTAAAAAAATTTTTGTCAATTTTTTTTTTTTTGTAACTTTTATGAATTATGATTTATTTATAGAAAAATTTCAAAAAAACTAAAATAGTTAATACAACATTTAAATTTTATATCATTTTTATGGGTCATGGGATCAAACCAAAATTGTCAATAAACAAATTTGACGAATATGGTAACTGATGACGAACTGTTGTTAATTTTGTTAATTTTAAATATTAATATAAGTCTGTTTAATTAGGTAAAGTTTAAGATTTTATCGTGTCAATCGTGACACCAAATTCATGAAGATCAATTCCGAGAAACTTGAGGCTAAATATATACATCAGATTTTAGAGATTAGAGAGGTTACTAATTATGGAACCAATCGTGTAAGATAGCCTTCTCATGCATATCATATGAGCGAAAAACCGGTCAACCCTTCAACGATAAAAAGGAATAATAAGCGGAATAAACGGAATAAACGGAATGAAAAAAAAAAGCATTAAACGTTTATACTCCATTACCAATTAATAATCATTATAAAAAATTACTAAAAGTATTATAATTGTTAATTAACAGGGGAAGGAAAAGGTTTCATTTATTAACAATTGTTCGATATTTTTGGTTTAATCAAAGAAAATTTTATGCCAAATAAGTAAAATGTATATGGAGAAAAAAAACAAACATGTTTTTTTTTTTCGAAGATTATACATTACATTGAGGTTTAATTTTGTAAAGATTTTCTTAATATAACAGATACAATATATTTTTGATACTTTTGAGTAAATTGAAGATATTACGCAATCATGCAAAAGATATCTGATATCTCTGGGAATCATATGTATTTTAATGACTCGGGGAAGGAGTAATAATATGACGTAACTTTTAACCAAATAATTAAGGGGTCCATGATTTGACCCGATTAAACACGTCGTCATATTTAATAAAACTAATACAAATTGGGAATCAAATTATGCAGTTAAATTCTCCGAGAATTTTCCGTAAGGATTCTAAATTTGAGAACCAATTATTAACAAGCCACATTGTAATTGTATTAATTGTAATTATAACAAATTCTGACGTTTTTCTGTTCTAATTTTCCGCGACTACCATTTAATTTTTTAAATGAGAATAGACTAAAAGATTCTGGATACACAGTAATACAGCATTAATGTATCTTGATAACGTGGTTTATGTGGATAAAAACGTGGTTTAACTAATGACTTATGATGCATAAGATATTCTTCTTCTTAAAATAGACTAAATTCTAATAAACAAAAAATTCAAAAAAAGTTAGATAAAATAAAAAAGAAATTCTAGATCAAAAAGAAAACTTGTCAAAGAATGTAAACATATTAAAACATTTTTAAATTAATTAACTCATTATTATATAAACAATTTCATAAGCAAAAATTTCATAAAACAATCTTATAAAACAATTTCTAATAAACTCTCATAAACAAATACTCTCATAAATCATTTCATGTACCCTTTTTCATAGATAAACTTCTTTATTTATAATAAAACTTCCATTTTTAACCAAAATGAAAAACTTTAAATTAATTAATTAATTGTATCTAAAAAAAAATGATATCTAATCTATAATATTGTTTCGGAAAGCAAATATTTGTTGGGTCGGTGGTTTGCATTTGGACATTGTTGTTTCAAAAAAATCTTAACTTATAAAAGTTAAGATCTTAATGTTAATGATCTTTTTTAGGAATCTTTTAAAATTAAAATTTCCTTATTCAATAATTCTCATACAACATCATACAAATTATCAATTTTATCAAATAATAAATTAGTAATTAATTTTTATCTAATCATTGTTTTTTTTTTAATAAAGTTTATGGGTTAAAATGAATAAAATGAATAAAATAATAAATATTAAAAATTTCATTAAAAAGTACCGTTAAAAATTATTGCGGTCAAAAAAAATTTCCTTTTTCAATAATTTTCATATAATCACTCAAGTTACTCAAAAGAAATGATTTACTCATATATGACAAAAAAATCCGGGAAGAAAATCTTTTACTAAAAAGACAATAATCTTGAAAAAGTAATAGAAAGATAATAAATTCTTGTAAAAAAGAAATAATGGACATTAACTTTTTTTGCTTTTTTTTTGCCAAGAATTTTATGAAAAAATTTAAGCCAAGAATTTTATGTAAATTAAGCCAAGAATTTATGTAAAAATTAATAGACAACCCAAATTTTAACAAAAAAAAATACAAAAAATCTTTTATTACAAGATATGTAAGATATGTATTTGATAAAACATCATAATTATTATTTTTTTTTTCTTTCTCTTTGGTTTTAAAAAAAACCTGTTTTTAACGAATCTATTTTAAGAACCTATCATGTGATTTAATAAAACTCTTAAAAAGTTACGTAGTTAGATGTTACGACTGTTACGTAGTAGATCATACGTAAATGTGGATACATATTTCCGGGATTATTAATGATGCCATATAAAATATATTTTATTTATTATAAGCCACTCAATAATAATTACATAAAAAAAAAAATTTTTTTTTTTTTTTTTTTTTTTTTTTTTTTTTTTAAATGACAAAACTAACGAAAATTATTTTAAGAAAAAAATAAAAAAAGTCCAATTTTTTTTTTTTTTAAAAAAAACTTGAATTATTTTAGTAAAAAGATAATCCTATTATCGTTACGATTTAAAAAAATAAACAAATACTTTATATATATATACATATATATATATTATATTTATTATATATAATATATTTTATCGAAATTTCTTTAAATCAAAAAAAATTATTTCGGATCATTTCTCAAATGTCAGCTACAACTTGTAAAGTAATGGCGACTGTTGCTAACGATCTTTTAACCTCACCACCAACTTCTTTCTCTCTTTCTTCAACGATAATAAAAACTTTGGTTGTAGATGATAATATAATAACTGGCAAAATCCTCGCTAAAATTTTGGAAAAAGAATTTAATCATAAAGTAAAATGTGTTGTAAGTGGTAATGAAGCTTTGGAATTATTATCAAATGAAATGTTTGATATCGTCTTCATGGATATTGATATGCCAAAACAGAATGGAGTTGAAACTTGTATTAAAATTCGTAATACATCAATCGTATTAGAAGAAAACAGAAAAATTCCTGTTCTTGCTTATACAACAAATCCATGGGAAGAAAGTTTTGACCAAGCAGGAATGGTAGGTTTTTAAAATTATTATTTTTTTTTTAAAAAAAAAGTTATTATTATTATTTAAATATATTAGAAATAAAAATATTTATAAAATTTCTTTATTATTATTTTTCTTTTAGAATGGTTATATCGCTAAACCAGCTTCTTCAGCCAAAGTTCAAGCTGAACTAGAAAAAGTTTATCAAAATATATTATGAACACTCATTTTTACATTCTTTATAACCTATCATAATTTCCTATATTTCCTATATTTCTGTATATACCTTACTTACCTAAAATTAAAAAAAAAATTATTCAATTATTTCAATTATAGACGAAAAATTAAGTTTCTTATATATATATATACAATATATACATAATATAATATATAAAAGAGAAAAAAAAAAGGAAAAAAGAAAAAAAAAAAAGAAAAAAATAGATTTTTTTTTAATTTAAGAGATCCACAGTAATTAGAATAAAACTACTGTAGTATGCTTTTCATTATGATTTTTTTTTTTTAAGTTTTTATAGAAAAAAATTAGAGAATTGAAATTTNTAAAACGTTAGAGAAAAAAAAAAAAAATAATACCCTCCCCCCAAGAAAGAAAGAAAGGAAAAAAAAAGATTTCTTATTGTATGACAAAAAGAATTAAGTGGCGCGGGTCCTCACTTAGAATGTTATGAAACGAAATAATCTTCATTTTGAAAATCATTTAATCATTTTCAATTATTTCAATTATAGACGAAAAATTAAGTTTCTTATATATATATATACAATATATACATAATATAATATATAAAAGAGAAAAAAAAAAGGAAAAAAGAAAAAAAAAAAAGAAAAAAATAGATTTTTTTTTAATTTAAGAGATCCACAGTAATTAGAATAAAACTACTGTAGTATGCTTTTCATTATGATTTTTTTTTTTTAAGTTTTTATAGAAAAAAATTAGAGAATTGAAATTTTATATAATTTTATATATTTTATATGTAATTAATAAATAATTAATTAACAAATAAAGAAATGATTCGTTTATAATAATTCTTTGCTTAATTGTATTTAAACTCGGGTACTTATACATATTTTCTTTCAACCTAACATATTATATTAAAAATTTATCATATCAAAAAAATATATCGTTGAAAAAATTGTCAAGTATCCGTTTTATACAGTAAAATACATTTAACATAAAGTTGGGGAGGTGAAGTTCCAAATAAATATGCACTATGACTCTTAAAAATTTATTATTATTTTTAATTTTTTATGAATTAGGAAATTAAAAATGAAGCGCTTTTGGTTAAATATTAGGATCGGGTCAATTTTTCATATTTTTCGTACATATTTTGATGCATGTATTTTCTTTAAATAATAAATATTGAAAATTTTTACCTAAAGTAATTTTTTTTTTTTTTACAAAGGAATTTTACATAATCGTTAGAATCCGGTCCTGCGTCAACTCATTGCCATCTAAAGTTAATCAAAAAATGATTTTTTTTTGCTTCTTACTAAATTAAGAAATTTGTTTTTTTTTTTCACTAGTCATGGACCGCCCTTACCAAAAAATTTCTGTATATCATATACAGTATATATTCTTTATTATATTACAATATATTACAGTATATATTTTGTTATCTATATCTCGTTTAAACCTCTTATAATTACAATATATTTGAGCTTATAATGTTTATATTGTTTTTTTAAGTTTACATTTCGTTGGAAAAGTACTACTTTTAAATAATAATGAGATAATATAGATTTTCTTTCAACCCAAATACAATTGATATTAGTGACCTAAATTACTGTAATTACTTTAATTACTTGTAATTACCTTATGAACCAGTTTATTATATGAGCCACAGATTATGGTTGTGGCGTTATATCGTTTGTTTTTTTTTTTTTTGCCAAATCTCGATATCTCGTTTTCATTATTGTTATTACTAATTAGGATCATTAATAATGTATCCAATATTTCTTTTCATCAACAAAAAATTATTTTTTCCTTACTGCGCCGATACGTTTTCTTTCAATTTTTACCAAGGATCGGGAACTTTTTTTTTTTATTTTCTTTCATTACGTCAATTCATGGTTTTTTAACATCATTTTTTTCATTTATAGTTTAGTTTTGTTATCTGTTGTGCTGATCGAATTTATTGGGATCCTGGTACAAAAGTGTGGGATTCCGTTGTTTGAATAATACTTATTTAGATAACAGGGAGAAAAGAAAAACTCAAAGGAACTTGTTTAGTACTCGACTTTAACATGTGACCTTCAAATTTCAAATAAAAAATTGCCTCATGTTAACGGCAAATTGAGGCTTAGATGAGAAGGGCTGATTTATCATCATTTCTCAGAATTACTTAAATGGCACATGATGTAACCATTACATCCCTCCGATTTGTCGGGAATCAAAAAAATATTAATAAATCACAAAAAATATTTAAATCCTAGATATCCCAAATCGAAAAAAAATTATTATATGTGCTGATTTTATTATAGTTTCTGACTTTCTGGTATAAGTTTCCTTTAAATAAGTGAAAAAAGTTATTAAAAGAATATTCTAAACATTTATATATATATATATATAAAAAACAAATTTATTTTGAACATCGAGAACATTCCAAACATTTTTTTTTTTTTTAATATTAAAATGGTTTGAATATAAAAAACGATTGTTATTGTTTTTTACGTAAAAGAATATTACTAAACGATTATCCTTTTTTTTCACACTAAGAACATTTCAGATTAATAATGATAAATAGGTTAATTAATATTGAAAAAAAATAAATATTAAAAAATCATTACGATTTAAATTGAGATAAGAATCATTATTATTTTAAAAAAAAAGTAGACTAAATTAGATTTTACTAAAAGTTAATTAGCCAAACAATTTGAATTAAACTTGGAAAGGGTCTTTATTTCGGATTCAAAATATAAGTATATTTTAAGTTTGTCTACATTGAACTAGTGTTGTTAAGTACAAGTCAACAGTCGACTCAGTGTAGGTGAAACTTTAAAAATGAAGCTTAAAAAAAAAAATTAACCATTTTTATTGTTGTGTAAAAAATAGTATCAGAATAACGAAGTAAAGATGGTCCTACTTGTGGACATGTTATTGTCACAGTGTTGATATTTGGCTGCGCCCAAGGATTGTTTTGGCCAGTTTGGTAGTTTGGTCGGCCAAACTGGCCAAGTGCCAACACTGCGTTATTGCAAAGCTAAGGGACCGATACAGGTGAAGCTTAAAAAGATGAATCCATTTTTTGTTTTTACATTAAAGTATCAGACTAGCGTGGTTAGTCAATAATCGTGAATACTCCCCTACTTGTGAACACTCTAACGTTGAATTTCGACGTATACTTGCCGTCGGAATTAATTACGGCATATGAAGCTTATACCGTAATATATTAAATCGCCGTAATGCCGACGTATTGTGAGAAGATACTACTAGAGAATTTATTTTAATTTGCGGTCCGGTTCTGATTGATCGAACCGATGGAGTTGATATGTTGATAGGTCGATTCGATAGGGTTGGGCTGATGGGAAGTTGATGATGTTAAACAACTCAACAAATGTTAGTCATAATTTGATTTTAATAATAGAGAAAGAGCAAATTCGGTCAAATTTGAAAATTTAAAAAATCAGTTTTTTGCAATTATCTCGTCATCCAATGGTCAAAAACATCATATAAGAATTTTAAAAAAAGTAATTCCCTACTCCAATTGCTGTATGGACATCCTGAGTAAATGGAATATTCAAACTTGTTAAGATCGTATCCAAGCCAATTAACATTGAAACGCTGAAACGCGCTAAAAAAAATTAGTGACACCGGAACACGCTATTTTTAACTCCTTAAACGTAACATGAATTGGGGAATAGTTATTTAGTAATTAAATTTAAGATTTGCTAATAGTTGGCTTTAATTCTTCTTATTAAATAATTGTTCCATATTATACATATCATTTTTTGTGATATGAATAGAAAGTTTTTTTCAAATCAAATTATTAATGACCTTTTTTATCAGTCTATTACCTAGGATAAACACTGTATATTATGATCCAATCGACTATTGTACTCTCATGTATATTTTTGCGTGTATCAAATCTATTATCTAAAATATGACTAGAAGAAATCTTCATTTAAAGCAAACTATTAATGACCCTTTTTATCAATTTGCCTAGGATAAACACCGTATATTACGATCCAATCAATCCATTGTACCCTCATGACTCCCTCATGTATAATTTTACATTAATCAAATCTATTATCTAAAATATGATTAGAAGAAAATCTTTATTCAAAGCAAACTATTAGTGACCTCTTTTATTGGTTTACCTAGGATAAATACCGTATATCCCGATTCACGAGCCAATCAAGCTATTGTACCCTTATGACTCCTCATATATATTTTTGCATGAATCAAATCTATTATCTAAAATTTGAATAGAAGAAAATCTTTATTTAAAGCAAACTATTAATGACCTTTTTTATCAATTTACCTAGGATAAACACCGTATATCACGATCCAATCAATCCATTGTACCCTCATGACTCCCTCATGTATAATTTTGCGTTAATCAAATCTATTATCTAAAATATGATTAGAAGAAAATCTTTATTGGTTAACCTAGGATAAATACCGTATATCCCGATTCACGAGCCAATCGAGCTATTGTACCTAGGGTTGGTAAAATAACCGTTAGTTATGAATTTGGTTAATTAACCGGTTAATTAACGGTTAGTTAACGGTTAATTAACCCATAAATAACCTGTATATATAATTTTAAGGAAGTTAAAATAAATTTATAATTTATTAAATATTATAAAATTTTAATATATTTTATTTATTCTTCATCATCTAAATTAATAACATTTGCTTCAAATCCAAATATACTATCATTATCAGAACTATTATTATTATCATCTTCTTTATTTTCATTATCAGAACTATTATTACTATCTTCTTCATTTTCATTAAAATTACTACCCATTTAGCTGTATGAGATTCTTCACCAGAATAAATAGCATCAAAGAATAATGGTTTTGGAGTACAAATAACAAAATTTTGAACTGATTCTCGATTAATATTAGACCAACCATCTGAAACCATTGTAAGAGATTTAGCTTGTAAAATTTGTTCATTACATTCAGCTTTAACTTCATCAAAAACATCATCAAGTAATTCATCAGCAAGTTTTCTTCGATTAGGTAATTTGAATGCTGGACGTAATTGTTGAAAAAACTGAATAACATAATTATTTTCAAGAAAAGAAAAAGGAACTCCAGCAGCAAATAATGCTTGAGCTAGTAAAATTTCAAGAGTATCTTGTTCTTCTTCACTCATACGATCAACAAAATTCTCAATTGTTGTATTTTTTAAATGCTTTTTTGATGTTTTTACTGTAGGAATAAAAGTAGAAGTAGTAGCATCAGAAGTTTCTAATAGTTCAGGAATTTGTTGTTTCTTTGTTTTTGCACTTTCTGGAGCTCTAGGACAACTATCATTAAGATGAACTTGCATTCTTTTAGCTGTACCCTGTCTCTTATACACATCTAGATGTGTATAAGAGACAGGTACAGAAGGATGTGTTTTTTTCTTAGACCTACTACTTTCTTCATTACTTTCTGCTTCAGTAATTATTGTCCAATGTTTCCAAACAGTTCCCTTTTTTTTTACCATGATAATGAACAATAAATTTGCAAAAAAAAAGTGTTTTTTTAAAAAAAATTTATCTTAAAAAAAAGATCATGCAATATGTAGATCATAGATTTAATCAATATTTATATTAATTAATATTTAATTGTGTAACAAAATAATGGATTATCATTTAATCACATGATTTAAATTCTGCATTTTGATTGGCTAATTATAAATAACGGTTAATTAACCATTTTAAATCAATCATAACTAACAAAATTAACGGTTAATTAACCATGGTTAATTAACCGTGGTTAATTAACCCCCATCCCTAATTGTACCCTTATAACTCCTCATATATATTTTTGCATGAATCAAATCTATTATCTAAAATTTGAATAGAAGAAAATCTTTATTTAAAGCAAACCATTAATGATCTCTTTTATCAGTCTTTTACCTAGGATAAACACCATATATTACGATTCGCAAGCCAATTGAGCCATTGTACCCTTATGACTCCCTCATATATATTTTTGCGTGAATCAAATCTAAAATATGACTAGAAGAAATAAAGCAAACTATTAATAACCTTTTTTATCGGTTTACCTAGGATAAATATATATCATGAGCTAATAGAGCAGTAATGTGCATTGGAAGCGTCCAATAACTTTTTATTGGAATTGGAAGGCTTGAAATTGGAAGAATTGGAAGATACCAATATTCCAATAATTTTCAACACATATTAGTTTTTATATATATGTATATATTTCTAAGTGCAACTGGAAGCTTCCAATAAAAATTTGTTGGCATTGAAAGGCTTGGAATTGGAAGAATTGGAAGATTATAATTGCTTCAAATCTTCCAATACATATTACTACAACAAGAGCCATTGTAACCTCATAACTTCCTCATGTATATTTTTGCGTGTATCAATCTATTATCTAAAATACAGTATGAATAGAAGAAAATATTTATTCAAAGCAAACCATTAATGTTCTCTTTTATCAGTCTTTTACCTAGGCTAAATACCATATAATACGATTCACGAGCCAATTGAGCCATTGTACCTTATGACTCCCTCATATATATTTTTGCGTGAATCAAATCTAAAATATGACTAGAAGAAAATCTTTATTTAAAGCAAACTATTAATGACCTTTTTTATCAATTTACCTAGTAGGATAAACACCGTATATTACGATCCAATCAATCCATTATACCCTCATGACTCCCTCATGTATATTTTTGAGTGAATCAAATCTATTATCTAAAATATGACTAGAAGAAAATCTTTATTCAAAGCAAACTATTAATGACCTTTTTTATCAGTTTACCTAGGATAAATACCGTATATCATGAGCTAATAGAGCAGTGATGTGCATTGGAAGCGTCCAATAACTTTTTATTGGAATTGGAAGGCTTGAAATTGGAAGAATTGAAAGATTCCAATATTCCAATAGTTTTCAATACATATTAGTTTATATATATATGTATATATATTCTATGTGTACTGGAAGCTTCCAACAAAAATTTGTTGGCATTGGAAGGCTTGGAATTGGAAAAATTGGAAGATTCCAATAGCTTCCAATCTTCCAATGCACATCACTGTAATAGAGCCATTGTAACCTTATGACTTCCTCATGTATATTTTTGCATGTATCAATCTATTATCTAAAATATGAATAGAAGAAAATATTTATTTAAAAGCAAACCATTAATGATCTCTTTTATCAGTCTTTTACCTAGGATAAATACCGTATATCATGATTCACGAGCCAATCGTCCCTCATATATATTTTTGCGTGAATCAAATCTATTATCTAAAATATGACTAGAAGAAATGCCCTTTTTATCAGTTTACCTAGGATAAATACCATATATCACGAGCCAATAGAGCCATAGTACCCTCATGTATAATCTCATGTATTGTCTCATGTATAGTATTCCCTCCAAAAAAATTTTCCTGAATTTTCGATTTTTAAATTTTAACTCCCGGGTATAATAAATATTAGGAACCGTAATGTAAAATATATTATACAATTCTTGCCACTGGTTATACCGAATCTGTATATACCGAAATCCGAAAACTCGTTATACTGAACCAAGATTCCTAGAACTGATTTTTTTATAATTAATTACACTGGTTATAACGAATGTTTATAATAAAATGCTATATACTCATTATACTGTATACCGAACTCACCTGAAATAATAAAACATCGTCCATGCAATATATACCCCCGAGTACAGACTCCCTATACGGTATGTATCGACTGTACTAATATTTTTGATTCAAATTAATGAAACTTATCGGAATTTACTTTTTTTGCAAAGTGAATCAAAGGTTCGTTCGTGGTGTGACTCTGCAAGCTCAAACTGCATACCAATTTTGGGATATCCTAGAATTAATTCCAGTGGCGATTTATTTATATTTGTAAAAGCTGGGTCAATAAGTCTTACCTATGTTTTGCCGACGTAGCGGATTCAATAGGATCAAATGTAATCATAATTTTACCATTTTTCAAAGAAAAGTGAAAGAAAAGCTAAGGAACTGAATCCAAGAATCAAAAAGCAAAACCTGTTTTATTATCCATTCATTGAAAGCGGGTCATTTGATGAATCTCAATGAACTGGATCTTCGATAAAACCGGGACCTTTGGAGTTTGGTAGAGATTTGCCTGTGTATCCGGATAATATTTTTTACAGTAAGATTATGCCCAAAAACGAAGCCAAATTTTTTATATAATTAAAAATTGCAAACGAAAATTACGAATTTATGAAATTTTATGTTCATATGCTATATACGTTTAAACTGTGAAATATTTGAAATATTAATAATCATATTTAGAATCCAATTTTAAAACTATATTATATAAAATCATTTCACATTTATTAATAGATAGTAACACTGAACTCACCAAGATGTTAATAAAATGAAATTATTAATAATTTAGATAAACCGATACTGTTACTATCGCTCCAACATGTTTTCTTTAATATCATTCATGGGAAATTGCTGTAGGTCATGAGATAAAAAATGTCCATTTGAAAGGAAAGAATGCCATGTCCTGTTAAAAATTTATCTTTTTTAAGTACAATTCTCAACTATCATATGCGGGTTTACACTTATCATCATTTTACTGGATAAATTTGGCCAACATTACACATTAGCATGAAAAACATAAATATTCATGTGATTAAAACGGTTATGACCAGGTGTAACACGTATAATAATCATTTTAAGTATAGCGAATATGATGAAAAAAGGTTCACAAATTGTTTAATATGATACAGAATTACAGATTATCCAAACATTTCTATCACTTTTACATTTATTTTCCGTTATTTTCTATTATGGAACGTGTAATATTCGCGTCGTCTTACTATTTTAAGTTCATGAAAGCGTCGATCTCGGAATTTTGAGAAACATAACCTTTCATAGTTTCACCTACTAGAATTTATATTTATTACATATATTAGTATATTACACATAAACGTTGTGTCATATTTTTCTTCTTTTATTGCATTTTCAATTTGCAAATTTACAAGAAAAGACCATTTGGATCATTGAGACAATAAAAAATTAAATCATCCTCCCGGATTATATATTATGGATTTATGATTAACCGGATTAAAAAAAGTTGCTTTTAAAACTGCTAACCCCGTTAATCATACGGAACCCTTGTGTCCAAACATCAAGTATTAGTTCCCTTGCGGATCGCTTTTTTATAAGGGATGAAAATTGACAAAATTTGACGTAAGGAATTTTATTTGGGTAATACGTATTATCAAACATCAAACAAAAATTCTTGGATGTATTAAAATATTAAACGTATACGACATATACGATGTATACGTAATAAAATTTCATAATATTCTGGGGATTCCCAACATAAATTAAATTAAAAAAATTGACCAATAAAAACTTTAAAATGATCACCTGGGCGTAAATTTTAATTACGTATAATAATATTATTTATCGATCAAAAGATCTTTTTACCGACTTTGTCAACATTTTTTTTTTTTTTACTCCGTTTTTGAATTATTCGACTAACCTTTTTATGTAATTTTGCATGAATTTGTAAATTTGCACAATGGATATCAAAGCGTACATTGACAAAAGTACAACGTCAAAAAAAAAAATTTTTTTGCCATTTCCGAATTCGGGTTTCTCATGTCCTTTTTATTAATCGTTATCGGTATTACAATTTATTACAATTTGAACCTTTTTTTTTTTTTTTTGTTGTTTCTATATTATCAGATTTTTTTTTTCCACTAAATTTTCTTCTTTAAATAACAATACTTTTTTGTTTTTTTCTTATTATTTTTTGGTCATAATACCCAAAAACGATATTTATTTAAAAGCTCTTCTAGAGAACAAAATAGTCAAGTCGGTATCAAAAATATATATATATATATATATATTTTAATACTTATATATATGTGTGTATGTATGTATATATGTATATAATATATATAACGTATATATTAATTTTTTTATCAACTAACCCTAATATATATATTTTCACTTCAAAAATACTTCTTTTTTTATAACACGCGCGTCTAGATCCCAAATTTTGGGAGAAATATAGAATAATAAAAGACAATTTAACCAAAAAAGAAAAAAAAAATTTCTCATACTTTCTTTTTTATTATAATAGCATACAATCAATAAGACTTTTTATTGTCAAATACAATGAGCGATAAAGATCGCTCTGGAAATTCAAAAGGCTCACAAGCCAACGAAAAGTCTAGTAAAAAATCAAAGAATTCTGCAGAAGGTAGCAGTAATGGAAATAATAGAAATGAGATACCATTTCAAGGTTTATCACCAGAAACTCAAAAACTTATAGAATCAATAAAAAATAATAATAGTAGTCCTAAAAGAAAGGATGTCCCTAATTCTATGGTGGAAGAAATTTTAAGGGAGGCTAAATTGAAAGCTGCTAGTCGTGGGATTGATATTAATCATGGAACAAAATCTTCACGCGATGAAAACCGTAAAAACAGCAAGCATATCAAACCAATACCTTCAGTAGTTGCTTCTTCAAGTAATTTTGCTGGTCATAATGATGATATTTTATCCGAATTAGATCATGATGATATAATATTAAAACATGGTGCCAAGGATTCAGGTTCTTTCATGTCAGATGAATTTGATGATAAAATAAAATCTAAAAAAATCAGTGAGGAGCAACAACAACAACAAAAAACGGATATTACAAAAAATAATGGTGTATCTCAACCAAATCGTTCACAATCACGTTCATATTTACCAACTCGTTTGGCAAGTTTAATAGGGATTGGCACCGGTGATAATAATGTAACCGATGAATCGAATTCTAATGCTGATAATAACAAAATAACAGTAGATAATTCTTCAAAACCGAATATTGAAGAACCTTTTGAACTTGAAAATGATGACAAAAATGTTAATGTTAAATCTTTGGATTCTTCCAATAAAAATAATAATTCAAAAGATGGACCTGGTGTAACAATTGATACTAATGTAGAACGTTCTAATCGTAAAGAACAACGTTATATAGTAAGACCTCGTTTAACCAAAAAAAGAGCCGTAATACGTCGTGCTAGTGCTAGACTTGTTCAACCCTCGAGTAATGATTATCAACGTTCCTCAAAGTCTCCCCTCAAGACTGTGGAGATATCAAATAATGAACTGGATGAAATCAATGCTCAATTTGAGGAAACATTAAATCAATTTTCAAAAAGGTACCAGGATTCAACAGTTGCACTTGCTGAAAAGTCTCATTTATTAAAAAGGAACCAAGAATTACATCATAATCTTGCTTCCAAAGAGGAAGAAATTGAATATCTTAAAAATGAATTATGGGAGGCTGGAAATAAAATTCAGAATTATGAATCTGATTTAAAGGATATCATTGAACAACAACTAGAACCTCTTACACTTACTCATGAAGACTTAGTAAGAATAGAAAGAGAAATGGAAGATCAAGAAGTACTAATTGGTGGTTATCAGAAGGAGAATGATAAATTGGTCAATGAAATAAAAAGTTTGAATGAACGGTTAAGAATTTCGGATTTGGAACAAGAAAAACAACTTAATAAAACTCATGAGTTATATGGAGAAATTGATCATTTGAAGGAATTGTTATATGAGAGAGAAACTCAAGAGACTGTACCAGAAGGAACTATTCAACAGATTGATGAATTAAAGAAAGAGATTGAACGGTTGAAAGAGAAGGAAAAAACTTACGAATTTAAGGAACTTGCTTTAAAGGGAATGGATGATTTGAAAAAGGAGTTGAGTGATCTAAGAGATAGGGAAAGTGAATATATGATTAAAATTGATGATATGGAACATCAATTATCATTAGCACGTGATGAAATTGATGCTGTGTCTCAGGAAAGAATGGAATCGTTAGAAAAAATGACGGAAGAGATGAACATCATGAAATTTACTTATGAATCACAAATTGAAGGTGTTAAAAAGGATGTGATTTCAAAGGACGGACGTGAAACTCGTTTCAAAAAATTACAAGGTGCTATTGAAAAAATTGAAAGCAAGTTGAATTCAAATCCGGAAATAACTCAGATTTGTACCGATTTACGAAGGGGCAATTTACTTCCTCCAAAGAAGAGACGCAAGTCTGCAGCGGATGGTTCTAAAAATATCAAAGAACCAACTACACCACGTTCTCCTACAACAAAGACTCTCAAAAAAGCTACATCACAATCTTCTTTAGGTGGAATGTCACGTGCTAGCGCCGTAACTAGTCCCACACCTTCAGTTTTATCCAGTGTAAGTGCTTTTAGCGGTAAGGATGATCTCATGGATTTACAAGAAGATGACCTCATTGATATTACTAATGAAGAATTTGCTGAAATGAAAGTTAAACTCATGAAAAGTGAAAAAGAAAATCAATCTTCACGTGAGACCATTGAAAAATTAGAGGATGAATTAAAATCTTTACAAGAAATAAATATTAACCTTGAAAAGGAACTAGAAACTTTGAAAAAAGATCACGCTGAAAAAAAAGAACATTATGAACAAAAAATGCGTGAGATGGAAGAACTTTTATTGGAACTTCCTTCTGCCGATTCAACAGAAAACAGTATGGCCGCCAATAACAATCCAATACCTCCTCAACCTGCACCAAATTTAATACAAGATTTAGAAACTAAGCAAAAAATTATTGAAGAATTAGTGGGTAAATTAAAAAGAAAGGAAGAACAGTTAGAATATTACCAAAATGCTTACCTTGAAAAAACTGAAGAATTTGAAGAATACGTTGAAAAGGTTAAGAATGCAAACCAATCATCTACAAATGGTGGTACGGCAGTTGTTAATGCGGGTGCCTCTACTGCACCTAGTGGGACCGAGGTTACACCTAACTTTGACGCTTTTAAATTTCTTAGTGATGCTTTATCTTTTGATGATGGAATTGGAGATCTTTCTTCTTTACCTATCACTAGTGATATTATGGGACTTTTTGGAGGTCTTGGTGACAACCAAGAAATATCAGTTATCGAGAAACTTATTGCTCAACTCGAACGTACTATTGTTGAAAGAACGATGCAACTTGGTGCTGCTCACCAACGAGCTAGTGACGCTGAATCTAAATTATTAGCTCTCTCTCGAGAAAAAATGTCTTGGGGAAGTGGGTATGATACCACTGTTAAACAACTAAAGGCACAAGTTGAGTATTTACAGGAGTTATTACAGATGGAAAGAAAGGTAGCGAGGAAAGAAATGAGTGATGGAACAATTTCAGGTAACGATACAACGAAATCATCAAATGAATCAAAAGTTGAACAAGTTACAAAGTCAACTCCAGTTTCAACAATGGATATTCAAAAGCTTCGAAGCCAAATTGAATCGCTCACCGCTGAAAATATTACATTAAAGGCTGAACTAACCACATCCGAAGCAATTAGACAAGCTATTCACGAAAATACATTGACCATTTTACAACAGACCACCAAAACTAATCTTGCCACAGATGAAGATATAGCAGGATTAAGGTGTCAATCAATGGAAAAAGAGGCAGAAATCAATGTCTGGAAAGGAAGATGTACTGGTTTAGAAAACGTTGTTGAACGTCAACGTGAGTTACTTACACTCGTTGTACCTTCACTCCCAGAAAATAAAGCCTTAGATGGAAAGACACGTGACATAACAAAAATTCTTGCGGATGATGGAATTGATTCTAAAGTAATTGAAGGTTTAAATGAAACTGCAAGGAAGCTTGTCCAACAACTTCGGGAGGAGAATGCAATTTTGCGACAAACTATCGTTGCTCGTCAACAAATAATAAATAAAAAGGTTGAGACTCCATCAGCACCGATTCCCGTTAATCCTACTACCACATCAACAACCGTACAACTTGAGATTCTTGCAAAACAAATTTCTGAGATTGAAACACGTTTCACGAAAAGAGAAAAGGAATTACAAGATATAATAGTAGAAACAAAACGTCAAGGTGAATTACAACTTGAGCGATGGAAAGCAAAATGGGGAGCCGTAATTGATAAGAAAAATTCTGAAATAAGAGGTTTTAGAAATGAATTAGAATCTTTAATGAAATGTTTGGGGAAATTGGACTCTGTTAAAGTAAATGGGAGTGATAATGGCGTTATATAATAAAAAGGTACTTTTTTTTTATTTAGATTATTTAGATTGTAATATTTTTATTTAAATAGTTAAAACTTGGAATTTAATTATATCAAAAATTCCCATGTAATGAGGAGAGAGAGGGGAAAAAATTTTTTTTATAGTAACTGAAGGCGATTATAATAATGATTGCCTTAAAATTGCCCCATTCTGCTGTTTCTTTTTTGGAGATGGAAATCAGTGATTAAATATGTTGTTAGGTGAGGATTTAGTTCATCACTTGTATGACTTTAAGGGGTTTGATTCATATTTAGGACAAAGCCGATGTGGATAGTTTAAAAAATTTTTTTTTGTAAAATATTAATTGAAATATATACAATATATACATTGTTTTTTACACCTATAAAATTTCACAGAATATCAATTTGCCTTAACCATAAAAAATACGGATCATTTCTAAAAAATTAATTTCCAAGCTTTTTACAAGGAATTAAAAATCAGTTTAACTTAATATATATATAACTAATTTAATATGAGATGCACAATAATATTTAAAGTTTAAAAATAACTAGTATTTTTCAAGTTTTTAATAATATATTTTTCATGTGAATCATATTGTGAAGAAGAATTGGTTATTTATACATGCTAGTCTAACATTAAATGCGATCCAATATGCACTGTAAATTCGATTGTCTTTGTCTAAATTAATCTCTTGCAACACGCGTGGCGTTAATATACAATTTATTTGGTGGTTGTACGAGCGATCAAAGTTTTTTGTGGAAGTTGTGGAAGTTGTGGAAGTTGTTTGTTGTGTTAGTTGAAACTTGATAATAATAATGAAACTTAAATAACTTTTCTATATCACACCATTATTTACAAATTTTTATTATCAAAAAAATGAAGCCACTTAACAAAGGTAAGTTACAAATGCAAAGCTTCAAAATTTGTACACAAATTTTTATATCTAACTTCTTGTTCCTTTAGGTTTTGTTAAATTATCTTTTCCAAGACACAGCAAGAAAACCAACAAACAACTTTCTCCATTACTTGGCCCAATCAACGATCCGCCTGTAGTGAACTCTAATGAGATTTCTAATGATTCTGATAATAAGAGGAATTCAATTCAGGAATCTCCGGCTGATACCTTACAACCACTAGAAAACATTCCCAAAATTACAATACCTGAAAATGAAAGTGACGAAAATCCCTCACCGCTACCAAAATCACAATCAGCTACAGAACTTCGACCACCGGCAGCTGCTAAAGCTGTTCGTTCTTCATCACAGACTGACATTTTATATCCAAATTCTATAAATCGACATCCAAACTGTCTGTCAATGATCACGTCAAGCGACTCAGCGAAAGCTAGTACTATAACGTCTGTGCGTAAGCACAGTTTACCACAAGTCATGGATTTGTTTCCAAATCAAAATCAGCTAATTAAACCATATATGACTTTAGCAGAATTTAAAAAAATTGATGAATTTCCTCGACAACAAAGAGCCATTTTGGCTGCATTGCAACGTCAAGATAATCGATTAAGAAAAGAGGGGGTCATAAAAGAGATGAAGAAGGCCTCTTTAAGAGGGAAAAGAGGTAGCTTATAATTGATTTCATCTTTTTTTTTTTTACTCTTTAGTTAAATATAATTAAATTGTTTTACTTATTTTATAAAATTTCTAAAAGAACGAAAAATTACAAAGACAGAATCAACTACTAATAGGTCGATACCTCTAGTAAGACGAGGTTCTTCTAGTGGTAGTGTTGCTCTGAAATTTTTTGGAATTAAAAAGGGTAAAAAACGAACCACATCAGGTAATTAATAATGTCCCCGATTTGCTCCGAAAATTAATATAGGTTTAAGCTTTTGTTTAAAATGTGTTTGATTATTATATTAATCACTTTCTGACTCCTATTTATACAAATTAGTTTTATTAAACAATCTAATCTTGGCTATTAGAGATCATAAAACTTCAGATGCATTAGCAATCCTTTCCCAAATATCCAGTACTACACTGAAAAAGAAAAAAAATGGAGAGGTGAATAAAGCATTTTTATTGGCTATGGCACATCGTTTAGAAGATATAACATTATCCATGTATGAACGTGGTTTTCCGAGTGATGTAAATTCACCAATATTCTCTAAACCAAAGAATGCTGATCGTGGTGGCATTTCAGGATTAAAATTTCCAAGTTATTTCATTTTGGCTGTAGCACTTGGATTGCATGATCTTGTCAAAGCAATGATAAAGGTAACTTTCAATATGTATATACGTATATATACGTGTATATATTATATTATATACATACATGTTTATTAATTATTTATTATTTCGATAACGTTACTACTAAATTTATAGCGAGCCAATATGAATCAAGCATGGTTTGGGTTAACACCTTTAATTATTGCTACAGCTCAGGCATCCCGTGCACCTGCAATAGATCGTCGTTCAACAACATCCAATATCATAATTATTATAAAATTATTTTTGGATCATGGTGCAGACCCATCACAAGGGTTACCATTAGAACAGTTTAATACACTGAGACGACTAAAGTCAAAAAAATATATGAGAAAATTGGAGGTTTTGAATTTACTTGATTCGGCAAATGTACCAAGTAAATCACATAAAACCTTTTCAGTACCTCACCAACTTGGTAGCAATGATATAAGTGCAAAGAAGGCTAAAGAAGATATGGAAAAATTCGCCAAGGGGAAATGGGTGCTTCCAATAGACATCGCTGCTATATCGGGAGACATTGAACTAGTTAAGATTCTTCTTTCAAAGTTAGTTATTAAATATTTATCAATTAGAATTGTTATTATAATCTATATATTTTTTAATATAATACTTGTACTTTACTTTTTAGGATGGAAGGATCGAATATCGCAAGCAGTTCTTTTTGTCTTTCTATACAGAATGATGATGTAATGCTTACCCTTGAGCTTGTTCATGCAGGTGCAAATGTTAACCAAAAGAATTTTAGGTTCGTTACTTATATTTTCTCTTAAAATAAATAAATAAATATATATATATTTTTTTAATAATTTTTCATGCGTTAATATTTCTAAAATTTAGAGGAAGTACAGCTTTACATCGTGCTGCACGTTCAGGTCATATAGAGATGGTTGTGGTATTATTACAATTGGGTGCAAATGTCAATATTAAAGACGATAACGATTGGTATATAATATTTGCTTTGTAAATGTGATTAATAATGAGGTGTGATATTCAATTTTTAATTTTATTTTTAGGACCCCACTTCATGAAGCAATAAGTCAAAAACATTTGGACGTTTGTCCAATTTTAGTGGCCGCTGGTGCAGACTTAACTATTAATAACAATTTAGATAAAACACCGAAAGAGTTAGGAATTGAATGTGGTTTAACTCCAGAACAAGTTGATCAATGCTTAAGTATGCTTTATTATATTTTTCTACAAGTTATTTTGGTTTATATTAATTAACTTAATTCGTTTCGATTCAGATGCAACCAATAATACACATAGTATATATAATGATAAAAATAAAATAATAGTGAATCAAAAGCGGGATTCTTCAATTTCAAATGGTGCACCACCTTCTCCAAGAAAGCGATTCGGAACATTTCCGAAAAAGTCGCAAAATCTTACATCTATTTTAATGGGTAGTAGTAGCACAGAAAGCATCAAGGTACGTTCGAATAAAAATTAGCAACCCCACCAAAATTGTGCAAATTATTTACAAATTGGTTGAAAGGCGGTTGAAAATTAAATCATTACTTTTATAATAATTTGGACTTTAGATTTTGATATTTAATTGAGGGAAATTTGTAATTTTATTGCACTATTATATTACCATAATTCAACCCTTGTAGATTATCATTTATTTGTATTCTATTAAATTACCTATTTAATTTACATTTTATAGCATTCTCAAAAAAAAGAAGCAATACAAAAGCTTTTCGATAATTAATTTTTATATTCTTTGTATATATTTACACTTATTAAGGTATAGTCATATAGTTTTATATGCATAAATACATCTATCAGAAATAGCATAATTTCCTGTATTAGCAAGTCTTAACAGGTTAATTTTATTTTCAAAACATTTTTGTTGATTCTTAAGTGATCATGATTAGATCCTTCACTTGCATTTTCATACCAAAATCTATCTGAATCTCTGATTAACAACCATAATTACTCAGACCTCATTATTTATTATGAAACGTATCGTGCTAAAAAATTAAAAAAAAATTTGTCAAAAAAAAAAAATAGTATGTAAAAAAAATAAATGTCTCAATAATAAATTGCATTACTAACCTTGATATTCAGCTAGAATTTTAGCAGAAGATTTGGCATCATAAAATAAATCATCCACCTCTTTAAGATCCTCTAATGTGATATTTTCTCGTCCATTTGTGCGTGCAAGTATACTTGCAGGAGTAAGCAATTGAATAACATATCTATAAATATAAAATGGTAAGTATCAATGTTATACAAAAAAGTTCCCGTTGCTATACTATACCTTAAAGATGTTTTGACACCAGATTCAGCCGTATAATTCAAAGCATCCTCAGATATTTCTAACCCTTCTGTTCTTGCACGAATTTGTACAATTGCTCTGATATCATCCAGAGTATAAGGTAATGTTCGAATAATCAGAATGCGATCAAGCAAATCAATTGGGATACCGTGTGGAGCAATGATATCTTCTGTACCTCTTTTGAAAATATTCAAGATTAATAAAATTAATTGTTTTAATAGTACATATTTTATTTCAGTTTATTAATTACCTAACTTGACACATTCCACGATTTGTGGCAAAAATAACTATAGGTGAAATAGCAGATTCTAACGCCTTATTTAAATAAGTAAAGCACTCAATGTCCAATAAATGTACCTACAAGGTGATTTAATATATTTCTTAGAAACAAGAATTAATGAAGATTCTTACTAACAATATCAAATTTGAAAATCTAACCTCATCTATAAATAAAACACCAGGAACTAATTCAGCAATTCCTTGATCAATATATTTATTAACCACTTTATTGATTTCTTTTCTCAATTTATCTGTTATTTCAGTCTTTTTCGGTTTCAATAATTGACCCATCATCGACATAATATCTTGCCCACCCTAAAATAAAGAAATTAATTCTAAATCCTAATTTAATTTAAAGTCATAAAATTCACTTTACCTGAGGCCGTGCATTCGCAATATCTAAATCATTTAGTGTGACATCTTGAACAATTTCTTTCTTTTTGTGAACTTCGCCTTTTGGAAGTGGAACATATTCATCGGCTTCTAAATCAAATTCAGTAGCATAAGCGTCGGATCGGCCGACACGCTAATAATAAAAATGACGGAAATGATTTTATAGTCAAACAAAAATCACAAAATTTGCAGATATCCTATTATAAAAAAATAGATGCATACTTTTACAGCACCAGTATTGGCTTCAATATAAATAACGTCGCCCACAGTGACTTTTTCTTTTTGTATACTTTCATAAATACTTGGATCTAGTTTCAACGTTTTTATTCCTTTAACTGTTTTTAGTCCGATGGTCACATGTGACAAAGTTTTTCCATAACCACCCAATGGATTTTCTGTTTCTTCCGGTGTGAGTTCCAACACTTCTCCCTCATATACTTCTTTGGTTTCTTTGATTCTCAATCCTAATAGATAAATTATAATTAGAACTTAATTGGGATATTTTTTAATTATGTGAAGTACAAAATTCCGCTGAAATTACCTATAGCTCTTCGAAAATTTTCCATTAAAACTTCAGTTTTTTTAACTTCTGAAGAGTACACTTCACTGCCAACCATTGGGCAAAATGGAACTTTAGGTCCGAGTTCTTGAGCTATAGCAAGAGCTATCGCAGTTTTACCGGTACCTGGTGCACCTGCCAAAAGCAAAGCGCGACCAGCCATTTTTTTGCTTTTTATCAAATCCACAACGATACCGCCTGCCTAAGATTGATTATTATTTAAAATGTACAAAGATAATCGGAATATTACGTTAAAAATAGTACCTCTCTTGCAGAACTTTGACCAACAAAACCGTCAGCCTGCTGGTATGCCCTTCCTTCGTCATTTAAACCAAGTCCTTTAATGTGTGTATGAGGTGCAATGCGCTGGTCACGACTTGTACTTTTTACTTCTGAAATTCTCATTATGTTGAATGCTAAAGAGCCGAAAAATTTAAACGTGATTTCGTGTGGTTAAATCAGATAAATGAGATAATCCTTGATTATCCAATAAAATTAGCTGTAATCGCGGGTTACTTTTTATGGAAATCGACCTTAAAAAAAATTAATAAAATTAATGAAATTTGATATCGATATCGTTTATTTGTTTATTTATTCTTTATGTAAACAATCTTTTAAGTTATTTTTCAAAAAATTATAAATCTCATTATTGTAAACTTCTTTATTGTTGTATTTGTGAAAACGAATTTACATTCAAAACAAAAGCTAGGGCTGCTAAGCATCATAATTATTTATCCTAATAAATTTTCTTTGATAATTCTTTGCCAATATCTTTGTTGCCATCAATTTTTCTGCTTGGTCGGGTAGAGCATCATTCAAATTTATTTTCAAGCACGCTAACGATAGGAAGTGTGCTACGCCATGTTTCTGTGAGTATGGACTCATTAGCTCTGCAACATACGCACATTTTCTACAAGGTTCTTTGATTAAGGTCCACTGATTCTGGAAGGGAATCGGCTACGTACCTTCCTTATAATCTTCTTTTTTGTGTTACAGAAATCCAAAATAAGTTATCAACAGATGTTGAAAGATATTCAAAACAATAAATGCATCTCGATCCCATTTTCTTAAAACATTCCTTGCGATTTGCTTGTTTACAGATGTTACAGATTATCATTCATCTCACCCACCGAGCCAGAACCCAGTTTTACAATTATAAAACCTGTTGGCAATGCTCCGATAGGAAATTTTTAGTAAATGGAGGAAAATAGTAAAATACTTTATTGATTATTGTGCCTTCAATTTTTCTCTCTGCTTGCCCTTATTACTCCAAATTTTCTCTTTAAGAGACATATTTTTGACTGTTTTCCAGTTTTGGATATGAACGATTAGATGTAAATGATTGTGCAATTTCGATGATAATCAATGAGAATTGCATCGTGTCTCAACCGTTCTCCAGTTGTTACTTTTCCAGATGTACGTCTTCATGGAAACTTTCAACTGGATATTCATTCAAGATTCACAATTGAAATCTAAGAGTATTGATGATAGGGTGTTGAATGGAAACCCAGTATTGAATATCGGAAATCAAGGCATAATCATAATTTTTCATCCAAATTTCTCATTACTGTCCATAGGCAAAATACTGTTTCAATGTATTGATCAAAATTATTTCCGTGAAACAATACTGTATATACTTCTAGTGTAGTAGAAACTAGATTGTCCAACAACTCTATAAATGTGCGATATTCAATATCTTTTTGATTGTCCAAATTGTGCGAAAATATAAGGTTTTATGATATCCCACCCTGCATGCTCCAGATAAAGTAGGAGGTTAATATGTCAAGGCTATTCGAATTTTTGTACGATTGCTCTTCGAATATATAATTGATCCGGAAAATCAGCAGGAACGGGTATAATATATAATTCTTTAAATATAATTTTTCTTCGGACAATCTTTTTAATATAGATAAATAACGTAATTAATACTTATAATAATTACTGGAAATAAAATTACATTTACCCAAATAGTATAATCAATACTTTTAAATGATCATTCATATTTTATAAACCCTATTGGTATAAAATAATTAATTTAGTTATATTAAATCCTCGAACATGTTTTCTGATAGCCTGCATTATAAAAATATAATAACAAGTTTCTACTAGATCGGATTCATTTGATGCTATAATGAAAGCCAGGTGAATTTTGCACATTGTAGCCAATTGGCAAATTCAGCCATGCGAATTAAGTACCTGTTTAAGCAACATGGCATCAACGCCATTTGAATTATTGAATAATAATGAATTTGACGCGAACAATGGAATTGGAAGGGTATTATTCGTGTTAAGTAAAAAGAGTTACCATGTGAATTCTGAGAACTGCAATAACAGTTTAAAAAATTTTAATCTACACTAACTATTGCATACTGTATATAATTTTTGCCAACTTTAGTTGGAGGATTTAAAATTAGATCTGTGATCGTCAAATTTTGATCAAAAAAATTTTAGCCAATCATTTTTCATAAATTTTAATTTTTTTTTTTTAAAAAAAAAATTTTTTTTTCTCATCGTTGTCAGAGTGAGTTTTATACTCTCTATATTTGACCGATTTGTAAAAACGCTTAAAAATTGTAATATGTTATTTCATACAAATTCTCTTTTTGTTTCAGGCTTGATTTTAATTTTCTTCAATTGCATTTTTTTGAAAACAATTTTTTTAAAGAAAAGAATTATTGCTAACCCTCAAAGCTTAGTTTGTTTCCTTCACAGTTAAAAAAAGAAAAAACTAATAAATTTAATTTAAACGTCATTTATCAAGCAAAAACAACTTGATTATCCAAAAATTATATCACCAAATAATTTCGAAAAAAGCTCCAAACAAAATATAATCAAAAAATTCACCATGATTGAACTGCAACAGCCAAATTCTAAAAATCCTAAGGTTCGATCTGCACGTAATCCATCAAATCCATCGCATGAATTCAAAGATAGTAATAAAAATCAGAAACAAATAAATAATAATAAAGATACAAAGCGGAAAAAGAATGTAAGATTGGAAGTCCAAAAAATGCTAGGTGGACGATTTATCGATCGACCTGTAGTATTTTCAAGGGATTCTAAGTGAGTAATCGGTTCTTTCTTTCTAATATTAGTATGTTAGTTGTTATTTAAGATCGTTATATAGACAATATTATAATCCGACGAATTAATTTAATCTTCGTAAATACATGATGAATTTTTTTTATCAATTCAAAGTATATTTAATTGTAACATGTTAAACATAAATTGATTAAAAAAACTTCGATTTTATTACTTCGAAAGAAAATTTTTTTCTCCACATATAAGTGGCTGATTTATTATTTTAGATATGAAAATTTTACAAACATGAATTAATCAATTGCAAATAACAATAACAATAATTGATAATGACGTATTGCTAATAATAGTTCTTATTTTTTCCCCACATAGATATTTTTTCTGTTATTGTTCAAACACCATTAAAGTTACCAGCGTAGAGACTGGTGATATTCTCAAAACAATTTCCATTACACCAGAAATGGGAGGCCATAAGAACGATATAACTTTTATAAGGATTGACTCAAACAATGTTAATCAGGTAAAAAGATAAATTGACTATTTTTACAAGCATATGATAATTTAACGTCTCATTATTATTTTATATTAGTTATATTCTGCATCTTTAGATGGTACTATCAAATTGTGGAACTATAATAATATGCGTCTTATAAAGGTATAAGAGAAATTACATATTAGTATAATCTGTTTAAAAATTTAGATTTTTAAAATGTAAATGTCAATATGTAGGAATATTGTGTTGGTTTGCCAATTCTTCGAATGGAAATGCATGATTCATATCCGGATCAATTTTTTATCGTCACTGCTGAACCTCATAAAGTCGATTCAAAGACAGGTATTAATCATATTTTGAATGAAATAAACCTTATGCTAAATACTTTATTCATTTTTCAACTTGTTAAATATATTAATAGGTTCGCGGAATAAACAAGTAAAACACGCATTACTTAGTATCAAATTTGATAAACAAGCAAATATTGTTCAGAGCTCTCTTATATGTAAATCTAACAGTACTTGTACTAGCATTGAAATTAGTGAGAATGGAGATTTATTAGTTGTTACCTTTTCTCATGAAATTCGAGTGATCGATTTGAAATCAATTAATGATACACCGACTCAAAATTGGCCGAAGTACGTAAATTGTCCGAGTCGTTTTATTGCTAAATTTTATTATTGTCTCTTTTTTTTAAAAAGAAACATTGTTTCTGTTTGATTTTTTAATTGTTAGGTATAAACATCCAAATAAAATTTCTTGTGCTGCGATTAATTCGCATAAGGGTTTTATTGCTATTGGTGATTTGTCCGGCAAAATTACTTACTGGTATTTATTTTGAATATTCGCATATTTCCATGTAAGATTATCAATGTTCCTGAATATATTTGAATTTATTTCGTTTAAGGTATTGCCTTGAAAAATCGCAACTAGAAGATCCTGTAACATCCGAGTCCCATTGGCATGCACATAAAGTTAATTCTCTCGTTTTTTCAAGTGACGGTGATTTACTTTTCGCTAATTTAATTTATATTTTTATTTGTCTAAAGTAATGACAATTTATTTAATTGATTATCACTTTCTTATTTTTAGGCAATTATTTAATATCTGGTGGTGAAGAAGCCGTTCTTTGCATATGGCGTGTTGAGGATAGTTTCGTTATTTTTATTCCACGACTTGGTTCCGAAATTATGAACATTTCGATTAGCCCTGATCAAACTATATATGCAGTCGGTTTGTTGGATAATTCAATAAAATTGGTATCTATGATTAATTATTCTTTCAAACAGGCTTTACAAGGGTTAAAACATGGTAATTAAATTTCGTATGATTTTTTTATTAAGGGATTAATAATTTAAAATATTTATCCTTATTAAATTATTATTTATAATAATATTCCTTTTCAAAAGAGTCTCTTGCCAATCCATTATCTACTGGCCTTGTCTTGGAGCCTAGAAACTACGATGTCGTCCTTAATGGTCACCCTGGAACTATTCAGTTTTATAATGCTTACATGGATAGACATGTGATGGAGCTTGAGGTCTCGGTAACGAATAGGGTATCGAGAATTTTTGAGGAAGAAGTAGTCCGTCATCATGTGAAACACGTTTGTTTCTCTAAAAATGGGAAGTGGATGGCAACGGTAAGTATTATTTCCTAATTGGATGCTTAATTACATAAAATAAGTTGTTAAAGTAAATTAAAAAAATTTCCAATCAAATTATATTAGGTCGATGCGAGAAATGATGGTGTTAACACTCCTGAATTATACTTGAAATTTTGGCATTTTGATCCTAATTCACAAACTTATCAACAGAATTGTCGTGTTGATTTTCCTCATTATGAAGATATTTTGTCATTATGTTTTCACAATGGTACAACGGATGATGATCCAACCTTCATTACCACTGGCCTTGATACCAAATTTAAAGTATGGGAATTAAATAAGATAGATGACAATGATTCCATAGAATCGGGTAAGTATTTCATTTTTTAAGCTGTTATTATTTTTATTAAACTTTAACACCCTTCTTATTTTAGTCATTTGGACATGCGTGTTTATTGGTTCCTACAAAAAATTTATCCCGAGAACGGCTGCTGTTTCAAAAGATGGATCTGTACTAGCCGTCTCATTTAATAACACAATAACTTTGTGGGATGCTTTTACATATACACTTAAACGAAATTTACAATGTATGCCGAGTAGTGAAAATGTGAAGCACATTCTATTCACGAATGATGAGCCATTTCTTGTGTCAGCAACAAATAATTTTCTTTACGTTTGGAATATTCACACGTGTGAAGGTAAGAATTTCATTTTAATATTAACTGATTCAAATTACATATACATATTCACACATTGACAAATTGATTATATATTTGTTAGTTTTATACAGACATGTATTGGAAGTTGAAATGACGGCTCTTGATCCAAATAGTTCAGATTTTGTAGTCGCTTGGAATAACCGATTTTTGAAAGGTAATATATATTTATTTAGGTTAAATTGGATTCTCTTAATTCTAAAGTTTTTCTGCTATTTACAGAATGCAAGCTCATGATTTATAATCCAAAGAATCATGATCCTTTACAAATTCATAAAGTGAATCATATTGTAAAATCATTGACTTACTTGCCTAGGCGTTCAGATGACCTGGAGTCATCACAGTCCGAACAAAAATCGAATATATTATATATTACAGATAAGAATGACATGTATATTTTGGGCGAACCTTCATCAATTAAGCCAAAGGTATGTGCACTTGTTTTTTATCTATACTTTTATTATATACACACTAATAAATTTAATTAATTACATTATGACATTATATAGGTATCAACTCGAAAGTTGGAACAAAAATCGCATTCATATTTTTCAGATATTTTCGGAAATAACAATAAGGTATATTATAGTTAGCAAAATAACATATTTCAATACAGTGAAAAGAACGATTTTAAGATTCTAGCAATTTTAGCGCTTATAATGTTTTTAAATAAATCTCATTAGACTTTGGAACAATTATCATCAAAAGAGTCCGATGTAGATGAATCTGATATCGAGGAAGAAAAACAAAAAGAAAGTCCAATTTCTAAGAAAAAGAAAAAGAACAAGAAGTCATTTATGAAAGGTATTTCGATTTATTTTTTGAAGAATGAATTATAAGATTTTTTTTTTAATTTAAAAATTGAATTAATAAATAAATATATAAAATATTAAATCATAATATTTCAGCTAATCAAACATCAAATAATTTGTCGACACCGGTATTAAATTCTAAACCGGTGTCAAAAACAAATAAAGATGAGTCGGTAGATTTAAATAATGATGAAAAAAATGAACACACTGTTGAAGACGTTGAAGACGTTGAAGACAAGTCACAGAAGATCACTAAAGTTACTAATGGAACATCAACACCAATAACGTCAGTTCAAGTAGTGACTAATAACACATTTCAACAAAATGAACAATATGATAAACATAAAGAAGATAAGAACCAAAATATGGTTAAGAAAATTCGAGATGATGATGAACAAAAGAAACCCACGTTACCTAAAACAAATGGAAATGGTAAACTAAATGGTAAACATAACAGTAAATCAAATTCTATTAACCATAAGTCCAAAAAAAGAGAAATGGACTCATCAGATGATCTTACTTTAAATAATACTAAAAAGAAAATGAAAAAACTCCTGCAATCATAACTAGTTTAAATAAATAATAAAATAATCAAAAATTTAGAACAAAAAAAAAAAAAAAAAAANAAAAAACACACACACACACACACACACACAGTATATATATATAATTTATGGTTATTAAATGATGGATGGAAATAAGTAATAAAGCTTTAGAATAAAAAAAAAATTGATTTTTTAAAAAGCGATAAAAACAGATCAACGATTTGTTTATTTTTTAATAAGAATAATAAAACATAAATAAAATTAAGTTTTTTCTTTGCCAATTTATTTAATAATTTGTTTACCATCATTAAAACGTCAACATTTTGTAAATTATATTTTTTTTCAGCAAAGCTTTCAAATTGCAAAAACAAACAACTAAATGTTTATATATTAAGCTTGATATAATCAAGGTAACAAAATGTTTATAGTAATATAATATATATCAAAAAAAAAAAAAAAAGAAAAAAAAAAAGTAAACAAAATATTTTGTCATAATTCTTAGGTATTTTTTAAGATTTTGTTGGCATAAGAAAATTTTCCAAATGAGTGTTAGTGATTTTAATTTTTCTATTTGGTTGCTTCCTCTTTCTTTGTTTTGGCTTATCCTCTGCACGAGTTTTATTCTCGAGTACCGCCATAGTTCGTAAACCAGCTATTAATCAGAATTTTATAAGTATATAATCGAATAAATATAACTTCTATACATAATTAATAACAAACCTCCTTCAAGTGATTTCTTCAAATCACTCTCATCTGGTACTTTAACATTATGAAACATCTCAACGAATTCTAAACAAATAAATATAACTAATAAGCTTCATATTAAATCAAAATACTAAATAAACAAGTAAAGTAATCGAACCTTTGTCCATAGGAGTATTAAATTGTAGATCATTGTAATAGAGTAATCTAGGTGTACCATCCTTCATCAAACGTATCACCATTATTTTACCCTCGCTCTCTAATTCCTTTTTTTAAAAGAGATTAATACAAGTTGTTTTCAACAAATTATTAAAAATAAAATTTATTAAAAAAAAAAAAAAAACCTTGATTGAATTAGTCAAATCTATACAATCATCTAATTCTCTATATGGCATTCCCCGCGAAACTCCTTCTTTCTCTTGTCTTTCCTTTAAAAGATTTAATAAATCTTCCTTGGATCGAATAGCATAATCTGGCTATATAAATTAAATATAATGAATAATAACTACTATAGTTTTTTTTTTCACTTTCTAACATTTAATCTTACTTTATATTGAAATGTGTGATCAACACTATTGTAGTGAATTTTTTCATTATTTATCATATGGTTATAAAGTTCTTTATTGGCATTTATATCAGCGATCTTGTTTAATTTGAGATCTTCAGCTGTTTGAGGAACATCCACTCTCTCCTATAGTGGTGAAAAGTGTTGAAAGTTTCATATAATGAAAAAAATATAATAAATAAAATTTCAAAAAAGAAATAATTTTTTGCAAGAAAAAAATGACTATTTGCCTTCAAAAAGCGAATGACATTATGAAGCTGACTCAAGGTATGTTTTACGACACCGGTATCAGTTGGTTGCGAGTAAACTAACATTTAAAATAGATTGGTAGTGTTTTAGTTTTACATCATTTTAACTTAAAGATCTAATACTAAGTTGAGCATACCGGTCTTTTGTTTCTTCTTCTTTGAAGAACCATTTGATTTTGGTGTAGAGCTTTGTGAAGTAGTGGAAGGTGCATTGCTTACAACTCTAGGTTGAGTATAATCGAGAGCTGCAAGCTGTTGCTTTTTAAGCGCTAAAATTGATTCAGCGGACAAGCTTGACATTGTATGAACAATCGTCAACACTTGTAGGATAAAAAAAGAAAGAGTGAATTTGATGGTCTATGAAATTCATCCACAACATACTGTATTTATAATTTTTTTTTGAAGAATTACTATACTATTATAAATCAATTCGGATTTCAGATTGTGAGAGTATCACGTGCGAGGCGGGCAGTTCAGACAACAATGAATATTGAATGAGGTCAGAAATCAGAATATGCCATTGTGGAATATGTGGAATAGTCCGAATTCTGCGGTGTGGCTTGGTATATATACATAATAATTATGGCATTAAGACCATTAATGTGACAAATAATTGTTATAATACAAATAATACAAATCCTAAGTTACAATTCATAATCCCCAACTCATTATCCTGACACTTATTATCTTTTTAATTTTACATTATTAGACGTAATAATTAATATTATTTATTATTAAAAATATGCACAATTTTTTAAAATTCATTTTAATAATACTTTATACTTTACAAATAAACAATGAATTATTATAATTATTATAACTATTATAATTATTATTAAAAGTTTTTATTCCGAGTTTATTAATTAGAATATATATATATATATTTATTTATATTTTTTAAATAAAAAATTTTACTTATATTAATTCAAAATACAATTTTTGCATCAGAATCTGATCGTCGGGATTTGAATGGTTCCCCAAATAAATTATAGATAAACAGATTTCATTTGTTCCTATTCATTAAAGCATCACTAAATAAATGCCTTTCATAATCTATGAATAATAGAAAAACGGTTAATAGTATTTTCGGTGATATAACTAAATGAAGCTAAAGTTTACTAATTAAAGGAAAATTTTGATCAAGAATACAAATTGTAAAGTCAAGTCAGTATTACTAACTGTTATCAACTAAACTCTGAGTAATTCTCAAGATCAAAAGCTGTGCCCGTGTAACGTTCGTTAATTCTGATGATTGATTTGCAGACATTCAGGTTTCCTGGCTGATTTGCCCTTTTAGCAAATAAAAGGAAAGGATGAATAAGCTTTAAAGTTGATGCTAAAACATAAATAAAATATCTTTTTTTTTTTATTCATACCATGCTGGGCAATGACATTACCATTTGTAAATGTGAAGACGACATCATTATAATTTTGTTGCACCATTTTGCAACAAGGTCTTCGATTAGATCATTTTTTGACTGATTTGCTATGCCATTTCGAAAATTTGTATTTGCAGTTCCATTCAAATACGAGTATAGGCATAATTTTATAATGGATACACGTAGAATCAATATAGCGATTTTCTTGAAGATTTAAAGGTTCTAAACACGAGAACTTTAGTCAATATTTATGATATAAATAATTTCATAATGGAAATAATTCTTCTTATCTATTACACGCTTTCTTGCAAATTTTTTTGGTTTTTTTCTTTCTTGATCAAGAAATAAAGTAGTGAAAAAGAGATAAAATTTTACCAAGTTGAAAAAGATAGTACTTTTGCCCGGAAAAGATTTAAAGGACTAATTAGACTGGGACAGGGTAGAGTTTACCTCATAATTTTCTTATTAAACATGCCGATCAATTATAGGGTAACACGTGATTTAAGAATAATTAAATTTTCTTGCGTCATAATGACTTCAAGGAACAAGTTGTTATTTTTTTTTCAAAATTAATAATAATATATACCTTTTATTTTTCGTAGGATGAAGGAAATTTATAATTTGACATCATTGAATCTATTTTATTAAATTATTTCTTTTTTTTTAAAAAAAAAAAATCCTATCTTTAAATGAATGTCTCAATAATTTGATTTATTTGGAAAATGATACGATTATTATTTGTATTAATGTATTTATAAAATGTTCTAATCTTTTTATTCATTCTTTCTTCTCTTCAATATTTCAACATTTCTTCTATTTTCCATAAAATCTTCCTTAAGTTCTTTACCAAGTTTACTGCTATCAACCACACCAACCCATCGATCAATCAAATCAAGTACGTTGTTAGTGTCGATATCGTATCTGTAAGATAATTAAAATAAATTAAATAACACTAATGAGATATATATCACAAAAAAATTTTTACTCACAATTCTTCACTAGATTTAACCCATTCACTGAGTATGTAAGAAAGTTCTTGAAATAAAAACCGTAGTCCATCTCTGATATATAACGATTCATCCTAAATTAAAACGGTTTTATTATCAATAAGTCCTCATGAAAAAAAAAGTTGTTATCGCATTCCTGGAGAATTTCGACTTACCGATCTATTATTTAAAACACGTTTAAATGTTTCAAATAAAACAGCATAATTTATATTAGCCTGCCTCAGAATCCTTGTAATGACACCAGGATCATTAAATCTACGATCTATTAAATATTTCGATACTAAAATAATGATCTTATCTATAATCAAAGAAAAAAAGAAGAGAAAAGAATAAATAATTTTTATAAATTCAATAAAATTCGAAATTATTATAAAAATACCAACACACCCAATGGTAACATTCGAACGTCACTAGGATAATATTTTCGACCAGCGCTTACAAGTGTATCTGCTATCGGCTGAATAGAACCAGTATCTTCACTTCTTTGTATAGCTTTTGATTTTAAATCAAATCAAATCGAGAAGAATTAATATTAATTTTTTTTTAAAAAAAAATAGATAAATAATATTTGATAACCACCTTTTTGTATTATATCATCCCAAACATTCGCTATTTCAGTACTATAAGGTGCATCTTCTACAATTTGTAATAAAGCTAACTTCTTTTCAAACAAATTGAATGGTTGAATAAAATCATTCAAAAGCTATAAATTAACATAAATAATTTGTAAGTGAAACTAAGTAAAACCCAAAAAGAATATATTCAAACGTAAAATATAGGGACAATAATTACAATTGGAGGGTCGTAGAGCTTTTGATTAAGAAGTGCAAGTACTTCAGCTTTACTAGGTATTCCATGCAATTTAGCAAAATTATTAAATACATTATCATTCATGCTACTTATTTCCAAATAAATTTCGAATTGTATTTGCGCAATCTAACAAATAATAAATATACTAATTAATATCATATAAAAAATTAATATGTTATGTATGAATCTATACGAAAACAAATACCCTCATTTTATTGCGATACTTATTTAATATCTCGATTACTTTAGCACTTTCGCTGAATTCTTTGGCACTCTCAGCTTGTCCTACGGCATGACTTAGATAATTCAATCGCTCTTGTAAATCAACATCATCTCTAAAAAAAAAATTATGTAAAGAATCGTGATGAGTTTTGGTTTTTTTTTAAAAAGTTTATCAGTTTATCTTGATAAATCTATCATTACCCTGCATTCTGAGCTATGTAATCCTTCACATCGGCCGCTTTAAGATATTCGTGACGTTTCACACAAAAATCACAATATAAATCTAATTTTTTCCTTACTTCTGGTGAGGATAAATCTTTTGAATCAGTAAGGTAACCTTCAATGTAAGGGGCTGCCGGCTAAATACGTACAAAATAAAAAAAAAAAAACTTTTTTTTTCAGAACAGGTAAAATAATTGCGATGTATCGATTTTAATCGTATAAAATTTATGGAATTACGTCAAAGAGTTGTGAAATAGAGTCTGCTAACAAGAATTCGTCATAAACCGTAAAAAGGAAATCTATGTCTTTCAAGGTCAAGCCAAGTTCTAGAGCCTTATGAAGAACAGGGTTAAAAGTACGTGTTTGACCTTGATTAAAATTATAAACACATTAGTATTCTTCAATAAAAGAAAATAAATAGACAATTCAAATATCGGATAATAAATATTACGATGAACTCCTTCGTTAAAGACGCCAGCGTCTCGTAATGTGTCGATAACGCTGTCAAGAATTGATTTACGTTTATCAGTTACATGCTCCATAGTATGTGCAGCTTTTAATAAAAGTTCAACAGCTCCTAATAATGAAATTAAATATTATTTAAATAATTCTTTATTTGTTAAAATGAAAGTTTATAATTAACTTACCTTCATAAAACTTGAAATTTTTGTACTCATTACATAAGTTAATTAAGGTGCCATATGTCATGGTATTAATGGATTCAGTGAATAATCTAAATTCAACGGTGATTAGTGATATTATTAAAAAAAAAAAAAAAAATATTGAAAGAGTAGAGCGTCTTTAAAGTCTTGTAATTTCCTTTTTCTTTCGTAAATAATATATCACTTCAATCTTGGAACTTTCAAGATCCAAAAATATATCACACTGAGAAAATTTACAAGATGATTTAATTACTATGAAAGACGCCCAAAAACTTTTCAAATATCAATTACTTTAACGAACTACGTAATGCTTCATTAGTAGTATGCTCATCTTCATTCTTCTTAGCCTTTTGTAAAGCTTCGTAACCCTAAACATTGTTTATATTTTAATTTTAGTATTATAGCGAATTCTTAAAAACAAATTCATAAATTTAAAATTTAAAAACATACCTGGTATAATTTAACTTCTATAGCGTTACAGAAGGTTGGACAACGCGCTTCTAAATTACGACTGAGATTTTCAACCTGTAGTTGTTAAAACAAACGGATGAATTTAGAAAAAAAAAGATATGTGTATAGTTACTTATCTTATATTTTATGTAAATGCTAGAAAATATGAAATTAAATATTTACACGCGGCGTAGTTTCTTTCCTGATTATAGCCAGAACTACATCGTGCCAACTACTCCTAACTGACGGATCAGTTACCAGTTGATCGAAATTTGAATTAACTATAGTTTGTTTAGTTGATGGGTCAACCCTATAAAAAAAAGACTATTATTAAACTTTTTACAAACTAAAAAGTAGACAAATAATAATTAGGGAATGAAATCGAATTTTTGACAATTTTTTACGTATAAGCCGATTAATCTGACTCTGACACAAAATTTCAATGCTACTTAAATGTTGATAAAAATATTAGGATTAACTTGGGGGAATTAGGGTAGAAACTGGTTTGGAGTCAGGTTAACAATTTATAAACATAATCGATAATCGATTTCAATCCCTACGATATTACGAATATTTAAAATATTTTTAAATGTACCTCGCGATTGTTTCGGGTAAATTATATTCTAGCATAAGTATAATAAAAGATATTGCATCAGCCATCCTGACAAGTGCATCATATAAACCACCTATACCAATGGCTTGTGCCTAATAACAAATTAAAATTCAATAAGAATTCTTTTTTTTTTTTAAAAAAAAGAATTTATTCACAAGTTTAATATAGAGTTACTTACTGGAGTCAGAGAACTACTAGATGTATTCTCGACATGGTGAAGAGTTTTTAAATCAGGGTGCCTTTAAAATTTTTTGAAATTTAGTAATTATTCCCATCATTCTTATCAAGTAAAAAAAACTTATATCTCACTTATCACAAAATTTCTTCAAATTTAATAATTTCTTGATTATATATTGAAGTTTTGGTTCAGGAATATTTGTGTCTACGTAAGTGATGGCGCCAGTTGATCTATAAACAATTAAATTTAGAATAAGTTATTTTATAGGTAAATTACTAAAAAAAAAACAACAGAATCATAAATACCTTAGTTTTAGAATTTTTTGACGCCATACAGGTCGAAGAATTCTTGCTAAGCAAAAAGCAAACCCTTCGAATAAAATCGAATATTCTAAAAGAAAATTTTTCATAATTTAATGTAACATTACTTAATAAAAAAAGACATGATGTGTACATACGAAAGTATTTCAAGGTTGCATAGCTTTCCTCATTGGCGATCAAAAAACACATTGCACAAGTTTGTTCCTGTCCATAACTAGATAAAATAATAAATGAATAAATGAAAATTTTCTTAAAAGCAACATAAGTATAATTATACAAAAGATTTACTTTTCAACAAAGGCTTTTGACACTTCATTTTGAAATCCTCTTTTGATAATATTTTCTAAATGGTCAACAGGTCTTAATTTATTTAACATTATTATACCTTAAATTTAATAAATTTAACAGATTAATAAATCAACCTAAAAAAAAAAAAAAAAAGTCTCAATAAAAAGAAACAAACCATGATGAGAATATACAAGGAATTTTCTAGGAGGAGCATAAAATTGATCGATCAAATCATTTGAATACTCCTCAAAAACTTTAGGATCATGTAATGGATTTCTAATTTCTTGAATTTCATAAATATTATGATAAGGAAATGTAAAGATATGCTCAGAGAAGATGAGCTCTTGACTCTGAAATAAATAAATATAGAGAAGGATATAAATAAATATGGAGAAGGATATAAATAAATATGGAGAAGGATATAAATAAATATAGAGAAAGATATAAATAAATATGGAGAAGGACATAAATAAATATAGAGAAATATATATATATATACATATATATTAAAAATAGAACACATAAATGAAACATGAATATTTTGAAAACATACCTGAATGAATCTCATGAACATTGCACCATAGTTAGGTTGGGTGGTGGTTACAACATGAGATGCACCTTCCCTTTTTAACGCAAAAAATACTCCGTGAAAGTATTTGAACATTGAAAATCCACTATTAGTCTGTTGGGCCACCTGAGATTGGGGTTGAGGTGGTGGTTCATGAACCTCATATAAAATTAAACAATTAGGTTCCGTATTTCTATAAGAGGTTGTATCAGTTACTACCGACCAATTGTACCCCCTATTAATAGAATAACAAGTAAAATATCCACGATGACCTAATATAAAGATGATTCATTAACGAAAAAAGTTCCCGAGATCTATATATAAATTAAATTTATATAAATTAATACCTGTACTTGTAACAGCCAATAAACAATAAAATGAGGATTCGGTGACGTGAATTGGGTGTATTGAGATAATTGTCCCTTTCAAACCAGATTTGTCATCGTTGATAGACCATTTCCCCAAAGATTTTAAAGGACCTCCATTCTTCATGATAAGAAATGACTATAAAAAAATAAAATCATTATAAAATTCGCAAATTTTTATAAAAAAAAAAAATAACAAACAAACAATTAATACCTCAATATGATGATCGGACATTACGCTTAACAAATTCCGTGCGTCATCAACCACAACAGACCTTAGACGCGCTTAAACGTTGTATAAAAATAACGCGTAATTATTTTACTTATTGTCAAATAATCAAATATAAAAAAAAAAATGATATAAATGGTCTTACATGAATAATTTGAAATAAATCTCAATTGTTGATCAAGCGTGCTAAGTGATCGAATTTCTAACCTACAAGGATGAGAAAACCAACCTTCATCCTAAAAAAAAAAAATCTCATAATAAATAAATACGCTTTTTTTTTAAAAAAAAAAAATCACATTTTTTCAAAGGATGTCACCTCATAGACTAATTCACAAAGTTCTCCAGCATCAATAAGAAAAATACGACCATCATCAGTACCAATTATTGATTCCACAGTTTTTTTACTATAATTCGCTCGATATCTATCCGACGACATATCATGAAAAACTATTCCCGTCGGAGTATTACTTAATCCAAATATATGTATGGCTTTATCGGTGACTATAACCAACACATATTGAGCATCATCAATAAAACGGCCTAAAAAAAGAAAAAAATCAATGATCAATAAATTTGTTAAAAAAAAAAAAATTCAAAATAAATTAAATAAATTCAAAATAAAATTTCTCTATCAAAGAATTAATTTTCAAACTTATTTAAAAGCATATATTATATGGATCGAAATCTTTATATGTTAAAACCGGTTTATCATTTATAATTTACCTGCTCTTGGTTTAACAAGACCCACACATTTTATATAAAGATCTTGTAAAGGATGAACATCTATGTGACCGATAGCATTTTCATCATTTCTATTAATAAAATCATGAATATAAATACGTATAGGTATATGAAAAGATTTTGTAACGCGTTTAATAAAAATTCACGCATAAATTCGCGTAATAACTTTAAACATCTACCCTTTTTCGTATTCCCATATAAATAGGTTGTCGTTAACAGTAAAATATACCAAGTTTGTATAAGGAAAACAACCTAGTTTTACCACTATTTCGTCTGACGTGTCTACATAATAATCCGTTAAGGAATATTGAAAAAAGAAATTTAATAAATATAATAAAAAACTATAATAAAGAAAGGATACTAGCAAGAAGTTCGCGTAAACGACTCGGAATCAATATAATTTTTTCTTCCTTTAAAGGAAGTGTCTCTTGCATCACAGGTTTATAACGTTCTTGAGTTCGATCAGAACTTTGCCTAAATAAAGAGGTAAGATATTTGTTGTCCGTATTAACCTTGTTAGAAATAATGCTTTCTTTTGTCACCGTGGTGGTCGCCATTATTCAAATGTTTGGAATACGAAATTATCGTAAAAAACATGGAATTTATTTCGACTTATGACTTTGTAATATTTTTTTCAAACGAGTAACGGTAACAGTGACACAATACCATTACCATAAAGTTGTGTAATTTTCATATCACGTGTTCACATGCTAAACTCATACTAACTCCGCTGTCTCCGCGCGCAGCAAACCCAAAAGGTCAAAACCTGGATTAAATCTTAAAATTTAAAAATTTATTATTATTTTTTTTTTTAAATCGTTTATGACTTATGAGTTAGTATTTCTGCAATGGGGAAACGGAGGCATAAATTTATCCATAAAAGGATTTGCAAAATTTTTCAAGCTAAATAAATAAATTTATTGTATGAATAATTACGGAATATCCAAAAAAAAATTGAAGTCGTCAAAGTTACGAAATTGTATTACGACTATTAAGGTTATCTAAACTTCTATTCTGTCAATGGTTCTAACTCCGATAGCTCCGATAAACAGATTTAGAAACGGGAATAAAGAAAAAAACTAAAACTAAAACTAAAACGCGTTATGCATAACGCGTTTTAAATTAATGAAATAAACCATTACCCAATGAATATCATAAATATTTATATTTACCCAGGTATTGTGAAATAATTTAAGAGAAAAAAATAACCTTAATTTAAATTTTTTTCTCCCTAAAAATTCTTTGTGTTATAATTTAAGAGAAGGGAAATCAAAAATTTGATAAACAATAAAAAAAAAAAAGATTGAAGCTAATACAAATTCAATGAAACAATATCGTATGAAATGAAAGGACCCTTAATTTTTCGCACGGACATGGTCACAAACAAGTTTTTATTTAACAAGTAAATATAATAAATATTTGTTTTCTTTAACTAAATGCTAACCACGTTACATTGTTATTCTTAAGATTTTTGAATATAAAGGAAAAAAATTTCACAAAATTATATAAAAGGTAAAATCTTGTTTATTAACGAGTTTATAATGTTTATTTTACTTGTGATAAATGAAATGAATGCAAAAATGAGATGAATGCAATAAATGCGGTAAAAAGCCGAAAAAATAATAAATATTAAAAATATTTATTATGAGTTGCCAAGAATAATTTTGTTTGCAAGATTAAATTAGTTAGATTAAAATTTGATTGCATACAATAATTTCCTTCGTTCAGTAATGATCAGGGATTTACGGATTTTTTATTCCCCGAGTCCAGAACAAAGGAAGGAATTCCGATAACCTTATTGCATTCTCACGAAATCGATACTTTTTAGCCGATTTTATACGATTTAAGAAAACGGATTTAGTTTTTGAAACTCAAAACTTTGTGTAATCTCTAATTATGTAGTGGTAATCCTCACAATTTAATGTTTCTCGGGTTTCAATTTTCGGGCACGCGTAACGAAGATTCATTATTATTCTTGTTTTAAAACAAGAATAATTATTTTTTTTTTATTGTACTATAATAACAATGATACAATGATAGATCTTTGATTATTTTAAATTAAGATAGATAAATCATCATTTAAAAAAAAAAA